GTATGTATGTATATATGGATGGATAGATGTGTGTATGTATGCGTGTATGGATATATGTTTGGGTGGATGGATATTTGGATGGATGAATATTTGGATGTATAGATGGATGACTAAATGAAAGAACGGAAGTGTGTATGTACGTATATATATGGATGGATATATGTATGGATGGATAAACATTTGGATGGATGGATGGATGGATGAATGGATGCATGGATATTTGGATGGATGAATATTTGGATGTATAGATGGATGATTAAATGAAAGAACGGAAGTGTGTATGTACGTATATATATGGATGGATTTATGTATGGATGGATAAACATTTGGATGGATGGATGGGTGGATGGATGGATGGATATTTGGATGGATTGATGGGTGGATGGATACAGGGTTTGTATGCATGTATGGACAGATACAGTGTATGTATGTATGGGTGGATGGATGATGGATGGATATATGGATGAATGAATGGATGAATATTTCAATGGATGCATGGATATTTGGATGTATGTATGTATATATATATATATATATATATATATATATATATATATATATATATATATATATATATATATATATATATATATATATATATATATATATATATATTAAGGGTGGAGCCGAACCCGAATACGGTATTCGGAAAGGCACGAATAGCGTGTTTTTACGAATACTTGATTCGAACAAATACTTGAAAAATTATTTGTATTCGGGAGCAAGAAAAACACTATCAAAAAGCAGCGTTTCCTCATGAGACCACAGTGCATGCCCGCGTGAGTGAGTGAGTGAGTGAGAGAGAGAGAGAGAGAGAGAGAGAGCGAGAGAGAGAGAGAGAGAGAGAGAGAGGGAGACACGCTCAGGGCAAAACGTGCCAAAGCCCGAAACTGAAAGCGAGACGTGACTTTTAAGGGGTTGTTTCATATGGATTTATTAATCATTCTTACTGTTAAGTGATCGCAAACTGCCGTAGTTTATTAAAGACGCAAACCTCTCACAGCACGTCAGCTGCGCGCCTTCAGCAGACCTCCTCATTCCTGCAGCACGAGAGCTTTATGATTGTTTATGCGCGCCAAAAGTGGCGGATCTGTCCGGTAAAATATCTGACTGCGTGTCACCGCATCCCTAAGGACTGTTTGGTGAAATATTTGACTGCATGTCACTGCATAACAAACCACTGAAACGATATAACTAGAGAAATCTCCACTGTGCCACTGTGCGTATGGCAAGCCGTTTTAGCATTTAAACCTTGTTCAGACTTTCCATAAATATATTTAGAGATATCTCTAATTATATTTTGACTTGTCATAATTATAATTCAGATTGGAAATATCTGCAAATATATTATGACTGACTAGTCATATTCCTCCATTGACTTCCATTGAAAAATATTTGCAGATATCTCTAAATAAACAAACAAACAAACTTTGTGTCTTTTTTTGTGGCAGGCAGATGACAATAGCAGGGCTGAATCTTTTAGTATTATATAGAATACTTTTGTTCTGCCAGATCTCCCAGGCAGGGTTTTATTTAGATTTATTTAGTTAATTTTAGTTTTTAGAATTCTGTGCATTGGAAAGAAGTTCTTTCAGAAGAAGAACAGTTTTTTGAAGTATTATTTGTTTTTATTCTGTCTATTCAGTGTCCTTCAACAAGAACGGTGGTGGTGGGGTTCATAATATTCACAATGGTATTTTATTAGTTGTTGGTTTAACCATGGATGAGATAATGGCTTCTATGTTATTTTCTTTTCAATGACATTTCTTTTCACATGTTCAAAAACAACAGCCAATATTGCATATCTATAATTTATATAATGGGTATAATTAAACAATACTTTCAATATAACGGAAATTAGAAGTGTAATAGAAAAAATATATATTTTTGCGCCATTTTGAATTTTACTCGAATACAAATACAAATACAAATACAAATACAAATACAAATACAAATACTTTTCCCCTCTCAACAAATACAAATACAAATACAAATACCGGCTGCTCCGCACATCCCTAATATATATATATATATATATGGATGGATACAGGCAAGTGCACACAGGGCTCAACCTGTGCAATGCACATGCCCTTTTTAGTTTTGGTTAGAAAGTGCCCTTCCAAAATGATCCCCCTCTCCCCCCCTCTCTTCAGTTAGCCCGCGATTTCCCCCAACACCCCCCCACCCCTCAGTTTGTGTGTGACACCCCCTTCCTCTCTTCAAAAATTTTTATCCTGCACATGCCCTTGGATAGTCTCTGCATGGGCCTGAATGGATGGATAGATGGATGGACGGATGGACGGATGTGTGTATGGATGGATGGATGGATGGATGGATGGATGGATGGATGGATGGAGGGACGAACGGATGAATGGATGTGTGTATTTATGTATGTATGGATGGATGGATTTATGTATGGATGTGTGTTTGTATGTATGTACAGTATGTATAGATGAATGGATGGATGGTTGGGAGGTTGGATGGATGGATGTTAGTATGGATGGATATATGGATGGATATTTAGATGTATGTATGGATGGATGATGGATGAATAGATGATGGATATTTGGATGGATTGATATTTGGATGTATAAATGGATGTTTGGATGGATGTATGGATGGATAGATTGGAGGGTCTTACATTTTTGTATTTCCTTATTAAAACTTATTATTTGACTTCACCTTACTCTACCTTGTTTTACTTTTAATTTAACAAGTTATTTATTCATATACTTTAATGTAAATCTTTTAGGTCAAAATTGACCTGAATGTGTTATAAGAAAATTTAAAACGCATCTAAAATTACAATAAAGCCGAAAAACATAAAAATAAAAGCTTAACCATAATATCAATTAAATTAAATATAACATAATGCTGATAGCATAAGAGAACTTCAGCTATAATTCAGTATTGAAGTCATCGTTGAGATCTCTGATATTGGATTGCAGACTCTTGTGTGGGCAAATACGAGCATAGTTTTGACCATTAAAATATTTATTTTTTTCAACTCTAGTGAACATAAATGTAAATGTTTTCTGTGGAGAAACATGTAAGAAGCAAGAAACATCAACACATGCTCTAACAGAAATAATTGAGAAATTAAAGGTGTCTTTTTGTAAATCCGCTAGTGGGATCTCTTCTGAAAGTCAAAAGAAAGGGAAATGTGTGTGATTTACTGAGATTTTCTGTGTTGCAGTATTGCAGAGCAGCAGTGAATGGCTGTACCTGGAGAGTGTGAGTGAAACTGAAGCCGTGTTTATCTGGTCTAATGAATCCCTCCTGGACTTACCTGCTGGTTTTGCACTCGTTTTACAATATGAAGATCAATTAATGGAGGGAGCTGTTTCACATATGCCTCTCACAAACACTCAAGACACAATAACAGTTCGCAGTCTCTCTCCTGGACACGTCTATCATTTCTCTCTTCTGCTTACACGACCCAGTGGAGCAACTCAGACTTTTGGATCCATTTTCATCTGTAACACAAGTACGTCTCTGCATCATACAACAAACCAAAAACAAATAACTGACCTCAGATCAGACTTGTTTAGATCAAGACACTGCAGGCAAAATTATTTTTGTCATGCACTGAGGTATTTGGCTTTTCATAAAGTCGTCCCAAATACACTTTTTTTTTTTTTTTGCTGTTTAATATTAATTCCTTTTATTTATTTTATTTTATAAGATGATCTCAGAGAGTGCAGAAGAGTGTACAAATGGAAAAAATCTGAAAGATAGTGAGATGCCAAATTGTGAAGGGCTTTTATATGTTAAAAGTAGGATTTTATATTGTGCACATACATGAAGCCACTGTAAATAACAAATACAACTGTGCTGTAGTTTTACAGCTAAAACGGCCTGTAATACTATAAATTTCACAGCAATTTCTTGTGTATTTATATATATTTCTAATTTCCTAAAACCTCTCTAAAAAATCTTTAATATGTCAAAAAATGCAAAAATTCTGACCTGAACAATAGTTTTTGATTTGTTTTTTTTTCATAGTTTTTTCATATATATATATATATATATATATATATATATATATATATATATATATATATATATATATATATATATATATATATATATATATATATATATATATATATATATATACGTATGTATGTATGTGTGTGTATGTATTACAGGCTGTTTTAGCTGTAAAACTACAGCTGAAAAACTACAGCCATCGGATATTAGGTATGGACATATATACTGCGATCGTGATTTTCGAAAGCCTTAAACCACTTTGTAAACGTTTATATATATATATATATATATATACATATACATATACATATACATATACATATACACATCTCCAATGCGCTTGTTAAGTGTGACGTCACGCGAAGCGGCTTCCGGGTCCAAGCGCTCTATTCAACTGAATGGGGAGTCTCATGAAATGGTAATAATAAACGTTTACAAAGCGGTTTAAGGCTTTTAAAAATCACGATCGCAGTATATATGTCCATGCCTAATATCCGATGGCCAGAAAGTGATTATTTTTTATAAATTGTTAAAATTTTGGTATTTGTTATGCAGCAAGCCCAGAGATTGTTGTGTACGCTATGATTTTATGTAAAATTAACTTTAATGTGTGATAGGAATAAAACGTGATCATAAACGAATGATTTCTCCACTCAAATGAGTGGCGGCTTGGACCCGGAAACAGTATACATACATCACAAACACGTCACCACTTAACAAGCGGATAATTGATAACATTGAAAATTATACAAAAAATTGGATTACAAGTTTCTTATTTTTTGATTTGCAATATATATATACATATTACTTATTCACCTACGTTATCTTTCCTTATTGTTGCAGAGCCGAATCCTCCTCAGAATCTCAAAGTGACATCAGTCTCATCCAATCAGATTAGAGTGTGTTGGACTGCTCCTGATTCTACCCACAATGCTTTTTTCGAGCAGTACGTCCTGCGCTGGGTGGATCTCACCTCCGGCAGAGGCCGTGCCCTTTGGTTGGACAGGATGAATCAGAGTGCTGTGATTGGTGGATTAAAGGCTTATCATGCTCACAAGATCTCGGTTTTGTCGGTCACCGCTCAGGGTGTGGAGAGCTCTGACAGCACAGCTCTGACTGTTGTCACAGGTAGGTTTTACTATAAATTTAGTGTCTAGGAAAATTCATGGATGCGTTGTATGCATTGCTTTTTTTTACTCAGAGTTTCAGAGTTATTTACGTAGAGTTTCAGTCAGAAGTATGCAGATAATCCAACAATCATAAATAGAGGGGTTAAGACAGGCAGCAAATCAACAATAACAGTAAAACAAAGGTCTAATACATGACAGAACAAGAGAGGGTAACTCTGTAGTTGCTTACTTACAGTGTACAAGACTCAGTAAAGAGTGTGTGTCTATTTATGAGGCATCTTTATTGTCCTAGAAAATCAATCCTTACAAAAATCAGCTGTGTGTGTGTGTGTGTGTGTGTGTGTGTGTGTGTGTGTGTGTGTGTGTGTGTGTGTGTGTGTGTGTGTGTGTGTGTGTGTGTGTGTAATCAGGAAAATCAGGAACTGGCGCGTGTGTGTGGTGCATGATGAGAGTTGTAGTTCATTAGAGTGGCAGATGTGTAGTTCTCCAGTGATTTGCACAGGCTAGATCGCTGGTGATTGTGACAAAATCTAAGTAAGAAAACATTTTTTGCAGTGTATGCAAATAATATTCACCAGCCTATTGTGATCATCATTAATCTTGCCACCTTGTTTGCCACAAATATATAAATTGCAAGTAAATCCCCCCCCCCCCTTAACTGGGTTTCAATGGTTTAGGTTTTCACCCAGTTCTGGAGATCCACTGATGTCTGCTGTTTGTGTGTTTTAGAGGTCAGTCCTCCGCAGAGGGTCTCAGTTAATTCTGTAGGTCTGGAGAACATGACTGTGTGCTGGAGCCCTTCACTTGATGAGGAAGTTGACCAATATTACATCCGACTCCGTCCACAAACAGATCAGGCCCTAAATAGAGAATTCTGGGTAAACAGCTCCACCTGCATCTCTCTTACGCAGCTCAAAGCAGGTGGGACGTATGAAGTGGATGTGGCCTCAGTGAAGAACAGCAATATAAGCACACTAATCACCGTACAACAGACTCTAAGTAAGATTTATTATATATTCCTTTCTCTTGTAAATCATCGGGTGCGTCTTAATCAGATCTCTAGCTCCCGGGGTCATAAATCAGCACTCCAAAAAAATATTTTTGCTGCTCGTTTAAAATTACTTATTTAAAATGAGCTGAAACAACACAGTTTTTTCTTAATTGCTTCATGTTTCAATCAACTTAAAATGGTAAAAACCTTCTAGTTAACTTAATCGATTTGCTTTGAGATGAAATGAAAGAATTGTGTGGAACCCAGCATTTTTTTCAGGTTTTTATTTTTTTGTTTTTGATGCTTTTTTATAAAAAAAATTACAGATACAATATTATGCATTAAAAAAAACACAATTTAAGAACATCAACTCTTTGGCAATTTCCAGTTCATTTTGTTTAAAACTTGATTTGCTTTGGGTGATAAAATTTTGTGAAATTCCGCCAACATGTTCTGATTTTTTTTTAAAAATACACACAATTTTTCTAGATATCCTTCTGTTTTCATCTAAAAACTCACCCTATTCCATTACGTTTTTTTTATTTTGGCTACAATTCTTCTTTCCCATATAATGTTTTTCATTAAAATTATACAGAGATTTACAAATTTCTTATTTACATTTTTTTTTTCCCATCCAAGCATGACCACTCTTTCATTTCATTTCATTTTCATCCCAATCACCAATCAAACTTTTAATGAAGCTTTGGTTGATTTTCAAATAACCTTCAAGCTCTTGCCATTATAAATCATATGTAAAAATCCTTCTTCTTCTCTTTGACATACTTTAAATAGTCTATTTTGTTTAAAATTGTGTCTGAAAAACTGCTTTGTGTCTTATAAAACACTCTAAACATTCAACTCAAAAGGAGTGGGGGGTCGCTGGGGCACTTCAGATCATTTTAGAAGGGCACTTTCTATCCAAGACTAAAAAGGGCATGTGCACTGCACAGGTTGAGCCTATGTGTGCACGTGCCTGCGTCTCTTTAGTTTGGTAAGGTGACTTACTTGATTTATAATTCATGTTTCAGAATAAATAGTGAGCATCCATGCTGATTGTGCATTGTGGGACTTTTCAGTGAGCAAACATTTCAGTGTACTGGAAGTCATTTGTGTTTGAGACTGCACTTAAAATGGCTCACTCTGTAATAAGTGCCCTGAACAAGGGATTTGATTGAGATGCACCCCATAGTCTTTTTCTTGATCTGTTAAAAAAAAAAAAAATTTATCTATATTTCAGAACCCCATAGAGTCCAGATAGCCGTCCCTTATGCAGTTGGCACACACTCTGTGGAGCTTTTTGTGCAGATGCCAGCAGACAGCTTTTATGATGGCATCACAATTACCTACCAAAATAATCAATCCTGGTCACGAGCATGCAAAGACGGCACCAAACTGACAGTGGAAAAGCTGAGTCCAGGGACGCAGTATGACTTTGATGTGTTTGTGACCAGCAGAGATGCCAGAAGTGAAGGTTTTGCTCTGCCAGCCGTTAGGACCTGTGAGAACATGTTTAAGAAGCTTTTACTGTTGACATGTTTATATAAAAAAGAAATGCTGATATGTCCCCAAGGCTAAATCAATTTGATAAAAAAATACAGAAGAATCTGTAATAATGTGACATTTTAGTGCAATTTAATATATACAGTTGAAGTCAGAATTATTAGCCCTTAGTTCCTTTATACATCAGGGGTCGCCACAGCGGAATGAACCGCCAACTTATCCAGCATACACAGCGGATGCTCTTCCAGCTGCAACCCAGTACTGTGAAACATCCGTACACACTCATTTGCACACACACTCATACATTACGGCCAATTTAGCTTATTCAATTCACCTATAGCGCATGTCTTTGGACTGTGGGTGAAACCAGAGCACCCGGAGCATGGGGAGAACATGCAAACTCCACACAGAAATGCCAACTGACCCAGCCGAGGCTCGAACCAGCGAAATTCTTGCTGTGAGGCGAACGTGCTACCCACTGCAAAATATTTGAGGGCTAATGATTTTTACTTCAACTGTATATTAACTTGAAATAAAATGTCACGTTTTTACAATATACAAATTTTGAATGGTAATGCATCACATTTCCGAAAAACATTATTAAAACTTTTAAAAGTTAGACTTAAGAAATGTATTTTGAGTGCCAACATAGGATATTATGATTAACATTGAATTTGGATTACTCCAGTTTTCAATGTCATGTGACCTTTTAGAAATCATTAAAATAGACTAAATTCTTTTTTTAAAACATGCTTTAAATTTCTGAATGGTAGCATCACAATTCCACAAAAATTTTGAGTTGAGGTAACAAAAATGTTTTAATACTTTTAAAATTATATTATAAGAAATAAATTTTGGGGTGGCGCAGTAGGTAGTGCTGTCGCCTCACAGCAAGAAGGTCGCAGAGGTTCTCCCTGCGTTCACGTGGGTTTCCTCCGGGTGCTCCAGAAAACACGTGGTACAGGTGAATTGGGTAGGCTAAATTGACCGTAGTGTATGAGTGTGGATGGATGTTTCCCATAGATGGGTTGCAGCTGAAAGGGCATCTGCTGCGTAAAAATATATGCTGGATAAGTTGACGGTTCATTCCGCTGTGGCGACCCCAGATTGATAAAGGGACTAAGCCAAAAAGAAAATGAATGATTGAATGAATTAATTAATTAATGAATTAATGAATGAATGAAATGCATTTTGAGTGCCGATTTTTAGGCTATTATGATTTTTGACTGATCATGTGATACTGAAAACCAGTGTTGGGGAAAGTTACATTTGAAAGTACTGCATTACAATACTGAGTTACTCCCAAAAAGGGAGCTAGCTACGTTACTTTGTTACTTTTTTATGGTAAGTGAAAAATTATCCATTTTTAACATTTATATAATGTTTACGATGCAAATCCTATTAGATCCATTTATTTGGTAAACAAAACAAGTCTTTCATGTAATATATCTACCATTTAACTGTATCTGCTAAAAGACAGACTATATTACTTTACAAAATGTATTGTAGGTAAATCATATGGACATTTTTATACTAGTCAGTAATATTCATGAAATTAATTCAAAAACTGAAAAAATATAAATTTACACAAATAAATAAACAGACTCAATGATGGGCTGAGAATTGCGGAAATCTGTGGATTCCTGCGTGGGCCTACTTGAGTTACTTTTGCAATACTTTTTTACCTGGCTTGATCTCTTTCAGAACTTTTCTCCTTTCTTTTTTATTAGAGGAATTCTGCAATAAACAATGTCTGTATAACCTAAACTTATCTTAACAATTAAATAAATATAATATTTTTTTTATTGCATTTTGATCACATAAATGCCACCTTTGTGGGTGTAAAATTACACTGTAAAAATCTCCGTAATTAAGCAGTTTTCCATATTTTGTGATTCATGCTTTTATTTGTTATTTTCCCACATTTATGTATTCTTTTGAATTGCGTTATGGGATCTTGATATTTCTTCTAACAACTTTTAACCTTGAAAACTTCAAAAAGTGACTTTTACGAACATTTTTAATAGCTTAAAGTGATTTATCGTCTGGGTTGGTGTTAAATATTATGCTACAAAAACCTTGTAACTAACTGCCAGTACAGTTTCTGTTATTTTACAGACTTATTTCTCTATTTCTTATACATTATTTTATTTCAAACTACTAAAATATCAATAAAAGTCACTTTGTTAAACTGTAGAGTTGAATTTTCAACATTAAAAGTCAACAGAGCAGAGATCAACATCCCATGATGCAATTCACAACCGTAAATAAATGGAAAACACTTCAGTCCAGATATCAGTCCAGAATTGCACAATATGCATATTACTTATGTCAGTAATGGTACAAATCGTATCATAGTTTAAATCAAGTGTTCATTTTATCTATTCACGTATTTTATGTTTTTTAAATGTTAATGTGTTTACAGGTTTGGCTCCTCCCACTCATGTGCATGCTGGTGTTGTGACTGACAGCTCCATTGAGCTCCTGTGGGACAGACCTGAAGGAGAAGGCCACTATTATGAGGCACTGTGTATGAACTGCGCTGATACTGTCATGGTACGATCCTGTGTGTGAGTACAGTACATACAGTTTCCAGTGTTTAATGTCTATGTCTTATGGTAAATTGTGATTTAACCAGAAAAAAAAAATCTAAATAATATTACTGAATATGTCGTGTCACGGTGGCACAGTGGGTAGCACACGCTCACAGCAAGAAGATAGTTGGTTTGAGCCTTGGCTGGGTCAGTTGGCATTTCCGTGTTTTACTGATTACTGATCATATTCATTTACACCGTGAATATCATTTTTAAGATCATGGTAAAAAGATTCACTTCTTATTTCTTAAGTGAATGAAATAACACACACAAAAAGCCATCAAAGATATCACCATTTTTATGAAACTGAAGTGAAATGCTGTTTTTCTTACACGATTGTCTGTGATACTCGATTCTGATTGGTCAATTGTGACATTTCTAGGTATGTTATGGACCCTTTTCACATTTTCGGGTTTCTCAGTAGCAGAAGTCATTAGAGTTGGGTTAACATTAAAAAAATAATAATAATTTTAAGTCCTATTTGCTGAAATAATGAAAGAAAACTCATCAAGACTTTCAGAAAAATAAAAATATTTTGTGATTAAATTAGAAGAAAGTACAATGAAGAAAGATGATATAATACATACATAAATACATGTAATTTTTTTTTTTTTACGTTAAAAAATTTCAAGGATTTAAGATGCTGATGACCGTTAAACGTGTCTTGTGAAAAGGATTCATTCCCAGATAACAACCTCTGAATAAGACTCATCGGTACATCCACATCCACATAATTGCATCCACATTCATATCCCTGTCCCACCGTGGTTTTTGACTGTTTGGCGCTATCTTGTGAATAAATAATAGCCTATAGTTTTATCAAATTCTTTGCTTTAATCAGTCAGTTTCTGTTAGCTCTGCATTTTTGACAGTTTGGCGCCATCTTGTGACTGAATAATGCGCAAGTTAGCAGCTGTTTTTGTTTCCTTCAGTTTTGCTTTTAATTAACTTAAACTATCACACATCAGAACAATGTTTGGTGTCTAATACTTTATATAGCCTATGTTTTGTGGCAGGTCGCCGTGTAATAAGCAGGATAAAGTTCATCCGGGAGTGTAATTTTTGCAGAATAATAGTCTTATCCAACAGTGCTCGCCACGTGTCAGGCTGTCGATAAACCTGACAGAGTCTATTGTGCAGTAACGGTCTCCTATACTCAAATGAGAGGGAACAGTTTGTTTAATACTTTTTTGTGTGTGTTTCTAGGTGCAGAAGGTTGTGGATACGAGGGCAGTTTTTAAAGATGTTATCGCAGGAAAGCTGTGCAACATTTCAGTCAGAACCGAGAAGGAGTTTTTCAGGGATAGTCCAGCAGTGTACCTCACCATTAGAGCTGGTAACGTTACAAACCCTGTCTATAACAGTTTCTGTACGGCTTTTGGACAAAACTTATTTTATAGAGAATGTGCAAATAATTACACTGTTAACATGTTAGACTGTTGCTAGTATGTTTAAGCTAGCATTTTCCTTGCTAGCATGTTGCTAGCATGTTTTAACACGTGCTATTTCAGTGTTTGAACACATTACCGTATTAGAATATAAGTTTTACCATATGTTCAGCATATTTTACCATGTTACTAATGTTAGTAGGCCTATGTGTTAACCTATGGTGTTAACCATGTTTTAGCATATTGCTAGCAAGTGTTTTATGTTTAAGCACATTACTGTAAAAGCATTTTTGCATGTTTTTACATTTATCTGAGGTATTAGCAAATTTTAACACTGTGCTATACACTGTAATATAACTAGCATATTTCCCACATTGCTAGCATGTTTTAGCAATTTTTTAGAATTATTTAACATGTTGCCAGCACCCTTTACCGAATTGCTAACTTGGTGCTAGCATGTTTAGTGGACACTGTGTCTGTGTTTTAAAATATTACTGTAATGTTGACATAATCATACTTTTAGCATGTTTTAGCACTTTAGGCTATGATGGTTTAACACTGTAACAATGTTATCCATGCTGGTAGCACCTTTTGTTACATTGTTAACATGTTTTAGCACATTACTAGCATGTTTTAGCAACTGTAAGCATGTGTTAGAGAAAATTGCAAGTTTTAACAGATTGCTGGCATTTTTTCACATAATGCTAGGATGTGAAATGTTTAGCATATTGACAGACGTTTTTCAGTATAACTACCATGAACTGCCATATTGTTAGCATGTATTAGCACTTTACTAATATGATTTAACACATTTGTCCTTTCTTTTTTTGCCATTTTCATTTATTTCATTACTTTTCTTTATAACTTTTGAAACCATAACTTTTGTTTGTTTGGGGTTTATCTGTTTGTAGCTCCCAGTTCGGTCAGTTTGTTGCCGTTTCAGAGGACATCAGTGTCTCTCGGCGTGCGCTGGAGGGCCTACCGGGGGGTCACAGACTCATTCATGCTGTCCATCAGAAATTCAACCTTTATCTTTCACGCCAATCAGAGTGCGTCTGATGACAGGTGAGGATTTAGATCACTTTTCTGCCCTGAGCATTCATCCTTTATGTGAGAGAGCTTTGGACTTTGTCATTTCAGAATATACCAATTTGACAACCTGTTGCCCGGAGGTATGTACACTGCCGAAGTGAGCAGTGTCAGTGGAGACAGACGAAGTCTTCCAGCTTCTGCAACTGCTAACACACGTGAGTGTGGCTGCCATTTAAGTTTGTGAAGTTGCTGAGACTTTTATGTTGAATAGCTGGGAGGGGGTTCATTTTGTGCATCGTAGGCCCTTTTTTACAATGACGGCACTTCACTTCCCCTTGTCGGCAACTCAGTGTATTTTTAGTTTACCTTTCGGTTTACCTTTGAATGAATAGGAGACTTCTCTGGAAAATGTACTAATTAAAATATTAACATTGCCTGTTCTGATTTAAGAGTATTACAGTATTGGGTATTTTATTATTTTATTTGCTTGTTTATTTTACAGGGACAATACACTTGACATTGTTATACAAAGATAACCGATGTTGTGTACATAGGGCATATACTGTAGCATAAAGCTAATTTGCAGCCCTCGTCCCTGGTTAGGCTTTACATTATAAAAAAATAAAACTAATAATAATAATACTAATAAAGAAAACCGGCAAGAATAAAACACAATACAGCAAACATGTACAATATTTACAGAGATAAACATAAGATGCAAGTCCATATGGATAAAGAGAAATGTAAATGGGACCAACCTGAAAGAGTAATGCTTAATGTTCACATTGCTGTAAAGATTTCAACCATTCTTTCAGCTTTACAGAAAAAACTGGGAGTTCTGATTGTAACTTGAAATGAACAGGCATGGCATTCCATAGATGTGAACCTTTTACTGAAAAGGATGACTGACCCACAGCGGTTCTGCATCTGCGGATTCTACAATTCCCACTTACTGCCCCTCTAGTCTTCGCCCCATCACTACTGAATTTATTTATTAACTCACAAACTACTTTAGGAGTAAGACCATGTATACACTTAAACATGTTTTTTAAAAACGAAAACTTGAAAAAACTATCAAAACTTAACAAATTATATTCTTTAAGAATTTGACAATGCTGATTATGTGTCCGAATGTTTCACATACTAAACTACTTTCTGAGTTTGAAAATGATTCTTTAAGTTATTAAGAATAATAAGCTATTGTTCATCAAGCAAAGTATATGTTTGCAACATTTTCACTTAATAATTAAGTTTATTTCCTCAATATTTTTACCTTGATGCTGCTATGAATATACATTTATATTATCTGTTATATGTATATATGTTCCAGCATGAGTAAAATTCTTTTTTAAATGTTCTCAGATTACCTGGTATGTTTAAAAATGTCTATAAATGTATTGAGGTTTATCATTTATTATTTATTGATTCAATAATGTTTTGTTCAGTTTCTCCATTAGAATAAATTAAGTCAATGTCCTGCAAATTCGAATAATGTCATAATCCATACCTGCCAACACTCCAGTTTTTCCGGGGAGTCTCCCGTATTTCAGACCCATCTCCCACCCATCTCCCGTATTGTTCTGTCTCCCGGAAAACACCTGGAATCCCCCCCAACCCCACCTAACACCCCCTTTCCCCCTTTTTATTTTAAATAATTAAAGCTTTTTGTTACAGTCCCCATGTGCACCGAACCCAACGCAAACCCATCTTCATACTCTTCAGTTCACTCCCCACCCCGCTGTTCACTTTGCGCGTACTCCTCTCCCTCCCTCCTGCTTTTCACTTCGCGCGCACCCCTTGATGAAATCTCACGTATCTTATGATCCGAATGTTGGCAGGTATGTCATAATCTAATAATACTGAAGTAAAATGCCGTCGTCTTGGTGTTATTTTTGCAATTGTACATTACACCTGTGTAAACATCTGAAATCTTTCTTTGCCAAATGTCGACAAGTGCATACAAACTTCATCTGCAGAAAAGTCAGCAACACAAAGCAATAGACTGTGTTTAAAGCACTTTGCATTTTCTTGGTTCAAGCGCAAGTCTGGATGATATGTACCTTTTTTTTTAAATGCTAGATGTCTCACCTTGAATGTCGATAGTATAGTAAATATACAGCTGACTGGATGAGTTCTCTATGGGGAGTTCTGTGTAGGCGGAAGTAACGATACACTGTGTGGAGTGAAACAGGACACTGCGTGACATCATGTGAAAAGGGTCTACTCCCTCATAACAAACTAGCAAGCGGAAGCAAATGATCAAACTTTGATTGAAGATTACCAAAGCTTTTTTTTCTGTAAATTAACTTGCATAAATGACATGTTTACCTAACCGACAACAATGTGCTGTAGCAAAATAAACAATGTACATTTTGATTTCACATGTGTAGACCCGCCAAATGTCCACATCAGTTACTCACACTAAAGTTGTTCTTAACATTTATGAATTACTTTATGTTGAATACAAAACAAGATGTTTTGAAGAATGTTGGACACTAGCAGCTATTTACATCCACTGTAGGAAGAAATAAAACTAAGGAGGTCAATAGCTGTGGTTTTTCAACATTCTTCAAAATATCTTCTTTTGTGTTCAACATAAAAACTCACAAAGGTTTGAAACAAGTGAAGGATGAGTAAATGGTGACAGAATTAATGTTTTTGAGGAAGCTATCCCTAACTTTTAAAGAGTCAATAAACCTGCTCACAAATCCACATGTTAGCTTTCCTCCAAAAACCGCTGGCATTTCGGTACTGCCTGCATAAACACTGCCCTCTAAAGTAACATGCTAATTAAAATGCAACCTTATAAATCACTCATTAGGTGCCACTCAGTTTTCATACTTACTGTATAAACTATTCTGTTCTTTTTAAAAAAATAAAATTGCTCACTTTTATTGTGTGTTCTCTTTGAAAAAGAAAGGAAAATCTTTTTATTAAACCTAAAAACCTATTAAACCTATTTAATTTGAAATGAAAATGCTTATACTAACCCTCTTTTGTTGCCTACTCAATGTCAATATCATAATACTGTATATCACAAGAAAAACTTCAGCAATTATCACAAGAAAATGTTATATCGTCATATACCTATTACCTGCTTATACAGTACCAATATACCTGCTCCGTAATATTTATGTAGAAAGTGGGATTTACTTATTTTTATTATTTATTTTATATTCAAATTTTAGTTAATTAAATTGTTTAATGAAGATTAATTAAGAGTGTTGTAATTAAGGTTTGAAATGCCATAGAAAGGTTTTATTTGTTATCACTATTTTATATGGTGCTCTGACTAACAATCAACATTTTTCAATGTATTTATTTATTTATTTATTTATTTTATATATCATTTTTGGATGAATAAAAATGTTATTTATATATTATAAAATATATTATAAAATGATTTAAGATTTGAGATCGTTTGTAGCATTACCACTGAGACTGCAGGTCAATTCTTGCTCAATGGAAGCATTATTTACTTAAAAAATCATCATGATTGTTTTTTTTTCCAGCAAACGTATTGAAGTTAATTCTGCTTTTGTCTTCTTACAAAAGATTTGTATTAAATTGCTCATGAAATAAATGTATGATTTTTATCTGGCTCTTTTATTTATTTAGAACAGCATTAAGGTCAATTGAATGAAATGTATGCTAACCAATATTAGAACAACCTGTTCCCCATAAGCATCTATGATGACTTCAGTGGCATCCACTGTGTATAGGCAGCTTAAACTCCTAGGGATAATGGCCACATACAAGGTCAGTACATTTTAGCTCTTATGTTTTATGTTTTATATTTTTTACAGACATACAGTGTCATCCTGCAACTGTTTTGCAGCATATAAAATGTCCCAAACACTATTTTAACTCTCCAAAATGGGCAGAAAATGTTGTTTTTACTGATAGTCAAAATATGCTAAAAATATATGTGTATATGTTATGAATGCATTAAAAAGCAGTCAGGAAAAAAAACTGTGTTCAAGACAGAAATAAAGAGTTTTTCATTCTAATACACACAAAGGTGACTTTATTGTGTTTTATGGATATTCGGACCACGAGTCCACATATATGAACATAATATGCCCCTAAAAGTACATCATATCAAAAGATAATTCTTCAGTTTTATTCTAATTAGGTTCCAATAAGCCCAAATAGCAAAGAGAAATAAAAAATGCATGTAAAAAAACAGCTTGGGCCTTAAGCAAACTCACACACTTGCTCTCAAAACACTTTTGTTTATCCCTCAGTTCCCGAAGCTCCCGATGACCTCATATTCATTGAACAGGAAGTGAACAGCATGTTTGTGATGTGGACACGCCCACCGGGCAGAGTGGATGGGTATAGGGTAGGTTGACTTCTTAATCAGCCAATCAGTATCGAGATCCACATTTGACAGTGAATACTGTGTATAATAATATTTTTCAATATTTAACTTTTATCTGTTTGCTTACTGTACATTTGTCAGTTGATTATGCACAGAAGTTATGTACAGTAATAAGAGTTATTAAGAGTTGATTTGTATTGTAAGCATGACTAGACTAGTGTATGGCCCTTTGCACGCCTGTTAAAACTTTCATACTGAGCGTCTCAGCTGAAATGTAGCCTGGCAACACCCTGTAGCCCCGTGTGCTCGGGTTACTGCCTTCCTCATAATGCATGAGCACCAGTCCTTCAATAGACCTCACAAAGAGAGGGAAGGTATCCAAATGTGCAAACTTCAGTGGGTGCTTTGTGTGCACTTGGAAGTTTGGGATGAGATGGCTTTTCGTTCATTGGTCCTGCCAGGACCCCAAATATCTATTGGCTAATTTCTTAAGTTCATCGATCACTTAAGCTTTATTTATTCATTTATTTTTTATTGTACTTTTAATAGTTATCTATTATGGTCACCAAGACTGATTTTTAAAGGCAGTAAATGCAGAAATCATCATCATTATGTCAGTTCTATTAATTTCAAAACTGTTTTTTCTTTATCAACATTTTATTGTTTATTGTTTATATTTTAACAATTCTTTTCTGACATTTATTATAAACTATGCTTATGTGGCTTTCATTGTTGGTGTTTTATCAGTTGTGCTATTAAAGCACTTTCTTGCATTATATAGGTTTAAGTTTAAGTTTAACAACTTTATTAATCCCACCAGGGGCAATAAGATTAGGGTAGTAGCATTCCATGATATACAGTGTCCAGAGTATTGAGTATTAGAATACTAGAGTACAGAGTGTTGAGACAAAGTATATTTTCTACACTGTAAATGCGAATAGTATTCCTTACTATCAAAATTCTAGTGTGTTTACTTAATTTTAAGCTAATTGTTGAGTTTACTAGAAATGCATTAGTGTTGCTGACATAGTAAGGTATAAAGTTCCCATAACTAATGTAATTTGAGTAAAATTGCTTATAAGGGCTAAGCCATGCTGTTACGCATGCGTACTGGGTGGTGATTTCCCATCCCCCATCCCGAGTCACAACCAACCGCCACCCAGCACCGCCATTGAAGGACAGGATTTCATATTGAGAAGATGTACTGCTGTAAATCAAGGTAAACTTTTAGTTTTAATTACTACTTTGATTTTATTTGTATAGTATCAGTAATCTGTTTATTTCCTGCACTTTGTGAAATTGTTTGCTGTTTTGTGAACTAATTAATAGCCCATGATGTTGTGACTAAACGTTTTGACCACTGCACGTTATTTGCAATACTGTCTACTTTACTAGATAAGCTATTTTTAGCTGCTTAGTCCTTTTTAATAACTATTAATAATTTGTAAAGTTAGTAGTAATTTGTAAAGTGGGCGTTATGCTCTAAAAGAGTGGGCCGCGCCATTTTAAATGATGCACTGAGAGAGCAAGAGCGCGCGCAATGATCCGTTCAAATAGATGTAAAGTTAACACATAGCTGTAGGTCTACATTTTTAAAAAAGAAAACGAAACCTATTTATCCGCATTACAAATACAGTAACGTTAGTTATCGCTGAACTTTAGTGGCGCTTGTTGTGACGAAAATATGCGTGTTTTTTTTTTAAGATTTACTTTTATGAGATCACCTGCAGGAAGCAGGTGAGGAGATCAGCTGTGATTCGGTCCGGCGTCAGCGAGCGGCTCATGACCAGACCAGTCGTTTTTTTCTCCATGATCGCCGGGGCAGCAGCAGTTTTAACCCGCCGAGGCTTTTAGAACATTATAAAGCAGATTCAGCTCAAAATGGACCCGTGAGTGTCGTAGGTAATTTAGGATTTCGATGCGATTACGATTCGTGTCACTGTATGAGGCAGATACATATTTACACATGATGCTAAAGTGTGCTTATGCTAACAATCCCTATGAAACTTAAAGTTAAACTTATGAAAATGCGAGAGATATTTAATTAACTCATTTATTTGTTTTATATGCTATTTGTCTTTTCTTTATGCCGTTTTGAAGGTTTATTCCAGTGTTGCCGTTACGTTATTAAGTGTTTTGTATTGCTGTAATGACAAATAAATCTGACCAGACGCGACTGAATATGTGTGATGGATAACGTTAATGATGAAGTGGTATAACTCGTACAACCAAGCACAGAAACATCCCTTTGTTTGCTCAATATCACACAAAGGCATCAACAAGCATTTGTTATAAGCAAACTTTCTGTAAAGAAACAGGCTTTGCCAAACCTGTTAGTTTGCATTTTTAAAGAAGGTTTCACTAATTTTTAACAATTTAGGGCAAATAAATTTGAACAATTACAAGGTTGTTTAAAATGTAGCACACCATTAGAGTATTGTGAGTGGCATATTTGGTTTGTAATATCATTATACCCTTTATTTATTTTTTATTTCAGACTACCAGTTTGTGAGCTGATATGCAGTGGAAATGTAAGTTTTGCACTTACACATCAAAGAAAAACTTTTTGAACAATACCGCACAAGCCATAGAACATATTCATGAATTGTTCTATTAACGTTACCTTGTCTCCATACTGAGTGTCAGGGTAATTTTAAATCGTTTAATGCATTAAAAGTACATTTAACAAAATTCTCAGCAAAGAACTGCATGATCAAGAATAGTCCGAATATTTTGTCCATTTGAATAATCATCTGAGGACTAGTTAGAAATAGGGTTGTTGTGTTGTGATACCATTAATTTATGTTACAATACTATACCAGCTGAAGTATGGTGATACCAAGTAGTATTGCAATACTGTAATTCATAACTTAAATCCATGAAATAAAGAAAAATGTCAGAAATAATATATTGTATATGTTATTATAGGCCTACTTGAATTTAAATAATTCCCTTATTGTTGAAAAAAGTATTTGCACATCTCTTCACCTAAAATGTATTCATTCCAGCAAAAAAAAATACATTAAAATAAAGATACATAAAGAAAAGAGCATTTTTCCAACAAACCTAGGCTATATGAAGTGGTCAAAAATTGTTTCCTGTTGCTATTTTGGGTTTTTCATCTATCATACTTTTTTCACACTTATTATCGGATAAGAATCCAAAGTAATTCAAAATTTCACTTTATGAGTCATTCTTTTTAATAGATTGTCACGGTTGTTGTAGCTATTATATCATATTGACAGGAACAGAAATAAACGAATTCCGATTCAAAATGAACCATCACAAAATATGCAATAGGCTACTATAAAAGGCGCAAATTCTACAGTTTTACAACCTTAGAAGGCTCCATAGACTATTAAAATACAATGATCTATTGTTGCTGAATCGTGTATTTTAGTGACTTTTTCACATGCAGCATTATGTATTGTAGGCAGACTGTTAATGACAATACTACCGTTTACAAACTACAGTGGCACCGCCAGTATCTTGGAGCCATAGTATCACGATACTACCATAGTACTGGTAAACCGTGCAACCCTAGTCAGAAAGTTCAGTGTCCTTTTAAAGACATCAATTGAGACAAATATTTATTCTACTTTTAATGCGCATAAAAGTAAGGCACACCAGCAACAATGCCATGATTATATTTAATCGGGGGTTGTGTTTATTACTGTTTGGTGACAAGTATAGCTCATGCTTTTGATGACAGGCGCCGGGAGTATTTGGCAGCTTTTATTATTCAAGAACATTTAACTATGTCATGTTAAAGTGTAACATCTGTTGCTAAATGGCATTGCATTGTATCATTGCATGTGTTTCTGATTTCTGTTTTTTGTTTTAGAATTTCGCTTAGCCATGTCAATAACACTTTACGTTTTTGTGCACAACAGTGACATCCAGAAGGAAGTCATAGAGGAAACACCAGCTGATGCAAGTGCTGCAGAAGGTTTGTTTTCTTTTCAAAACTTTGTGATTTTGTGAATTTGTGTTTTTGAATGTTATTAATGACTAATAATGTTTTGATTGGATCTTTGCAGAATTCAATCGAATATCAGGAAGAAATGTGAGATCCAAGTTCTACGCTGCATTGGACACACACTGCTCGTTTGATTGAAATAAAAATAAAAAAAACAGGAGAAAATTGCAGAAGAAAACTAGAAGAAATTTTCAACATGTTAATTCAAAGGTATTTTTGTGACATCATCTTTGAATCATAATTTGCATTTGATTGCAATAAATTGCATTTGATGTTTTCATTGGGCTATAATGCATGTCTACCTGTCTTTAATTTTTCAAGGTCATCTGGCAGCAGTTCTCCGGGGTCTTTCAGTCCTTTAGAGGGATGAGTCTAAAGAAATTTTCAGGATGTGTTTTGTAAGTAGTATTATTGTTTCTGCTTTCTTAGACTGGAAATGAAGCAGTCATTCCAGTTTACTTCACTTATTAATAAAAATTTTCAATTTTATAAAAATAAAACAAATGCATTTGCATTTATATATAATTATGGAAATTATAAATTATAAAATGTTTGCATTTAATGTAAGTATTTGAAAGTAAGAGGGATGTTATATTATGGCCTTTGGAGCAAGAGCATTGCTATGTTGCAAATACAGCAGCTTGTTCCGTCACAGGGTCAGTTAGCTTCATAGGCCAGTGAAGTAATGAATGCATTTCTTTAATTTTTAAACACACTTGTTTTGAAAAGGAGGAAGATTAGCTTGAAAAAAAAATCTTAATAAGTGTAATACCTATGTAATATGTTGAGAGAACTATAATTTCAGTTGAAAGAACCTGCTGGATTAAGATGTAAAAAGATAGTGTTAAAAGCCACAAAGTCAAAGATGCTCCGTATTATAACCAACCCTGTGAAGTCACCTGCTGTGGGATTGTAGATGGCTGCACCCTTGTTCTAAAAGCCATACTAAAACATCAATTTTCTTATTAAAAAATAGTTATTAATACATTTTTAAAAAGTGTGCTAAATAATGCAAACTTGACTCACTGCTTTAATCTAGCAAAACCAAATGCATTCATTAATCGGTTTCCAATTTATTATGTTTTCCCTACAAAATATTTATATTGATTATGTAGCACCAATTGGTCTCTCACACATTTGCATTTAATTTCTTGAAAATGTTTTAAAAGTACTTTTACTGCAGTTTGTTTTATTACATTACAGTGTTTCTTTAATCAAAAAAAAAATTATTGTTCCTTTAGAATAGTATCATGTTCAAGATACTGGAATTTAGTACCAATCTCTGCTGCAATTTTAAGCAGCAAATTTCCTGCTAACATTTTAAGCACTTTTGAGCACATTTTTAAACAGCACTGTTTTGCCATTCTGTTCACATGCTTAACAGAAATGACACTCAACAATGCTCAAATGTTAGCAGGAAATGGATGTTTTTAAAATTACTATATGGATTGGTAATAAATTCCACTATCATGACAAGCCTAGTAGAAGCAGTACAGGCAAATCCATCGTGTTGGTCTACATTGAAGAAGGAGCACCATAGCAAAGCCTTCTTATAAGAAGCATTTGAATGTAAAATGTACTATAAACACAAATAGTCATGCTAATAAGCAACTAGTTAATAGGGTAATTGGTTCCTACTAAAGTGTTTCTAAATTAAGCACAAGGAATTGTATTTTTTTCACCTCTGCTTTTGGTCTCCTGGCCACTACAGGCTTTATTAGTGCCATTTAGAATATCAAACTTTACTTATTTTTCTTTCTCTATTCATAGAATGTAATTGTAGAGTCGGACTTCAGTGCAGAAGATGTTGGCCTGCTGACTGTCGTGTGTGAAGATGTCTAAAGAACCTCATTATGGATGCAATGTGGGCCTTTATACTGGAAGGAAAAGTGGTTATGGACTTTGCCACATGCAGTATGTCTCTTTTTTTGCTTTGATTTACACACTGAATTCGGACTACCCAAAGACTTTGAGCAATGCATTTGAATTTGTTCAACGTGTGTTGCTTTTGCTGGGAGGGAAGCGTAATGTGTTTTATTCGTCGAGTGCCTATATACTGCTGTGCTTTATGTTTAAAGGTTCAGGTATAATGGCATGTTTAATTACAAAGTGTTGCTTTTTAACATGTTGCTGTTTGCAGTGTTACATTTAGGACTGCAGCATTTTGGTGTTTAAAACACTTTTTTTTTTTTTTTTTACCAAAAAAGTGTATTGTGATTTATAGGGTTGTCAAAAGTATTGAGTTTGGTACCAATCGGTACTGAAATAAATAAAAAAAAAAGTCCATCCATTTCCCACTAACATTGCAAGAACTGATTGGCCATTGTGTTCACATGCTCAGTAGATATGACTGATTGGCTTTGAAGGTCATTATTTTTACCACACTTCACCACTGTTCACCAGGTGCAAAGATACAAAGACACTGGATAACTTCAAAGCACAGTCGATCAGTCGATTCATCACCAGATAGCTTATATGTTAGCTTCTAAACAAATCAGCTATCGACATGGCTTTGAAACACTTCAGTGTCTGTGTAACTTTGTTTGGACTCAGTGAAAAATGGTAAACCTATGACAGTCACAGCCAATCACAGTCATTTCTGTTGAGCATGTGAACACAGTGGCCAATCAATGGTGTTTAAGAACGAGCTCAGTAGCACTCAAATGCTGGTGGAAAATGGATATTTTTAATATTTCAGTATTGATTGATACCAAACTCAATACTTTTGACCACACTAATGTGATATTTTCTGTAGGAAAATCTAAACTACACAGTCTAACAAATTAGCTTTAAAGCTTAATATCTGTTCCTCTGTGAGTGTCTATATGCTGCCATGTTTAAGGTGCTGGTGCAATGGCATGTTTAATTACACTAATTCAAGTATCTTTTTTCCAAGTGTCAAGTATTTAAAGTTTTTTTGATAGATTTTCAAACCTTTTCGAAAACTTGTGTTTTAGGGTTGAACATGTTTATTATATTTTTTGTCTGTATTGCTGTTTACAGTATATTACAGCACTTTACAACAGGTTTTTACAAAACTGTATTGTGTACAAGTGTATTGTGATACTAAAATATCACAAGTGTATTGTGAAATTCTGCTAATTTTGTCAAATAAAATGTTTACATTTAAGACCTGTATAATGTCATTACTTGTAAGTTGAACTACATATTTTATGTTCAGTTTAATTGAAGAAAATGTGGAAACCGATTGCACGTAGTTTCTTTAGTTGACATTACTTAAAATGGTGGATTAAAACAATGTTGAGACTACTAGCATTCAAGATGTTAACTGAACATGGTAGAACAGTATTAGTTAAATAGAGTTATTAAAGTAATCTTACTATAAAACCCTAAGTAAGATTACTAAATAATGACAAGTATGTTAACTAGAATTTTCTATTAAACTTACTTAATTTTTAACAGTTAGTTTACTTTATAAGTTTTAGTTTTCTTACTTCAAGGCAATAATTAAACTTAACTTAAGATTTCCTTGTAAGTTTATATTGCAAAAATAAGGCAATCGGTTTCCAAACTTTTTTTAAGTAAACTGAACATGTTAGAATTTACAGTGTACACAAAATATATTCTCTTATGCATCATCCCTTTTACTTCTTTCCAAAAATTTCTAATTTTGCCACACTCCCATATGCAGTGATATAATGTACTTTTAAAAGATGGTATAATAATAAATAAATAAATAAATAATATATATTTAAATTTTAATTGATTTATTTGGTTAGTGTCACACAATCTTTTGGATATCTTCATAATATGCTGTTTTTCAATTCAATTCAGTTCACCTTTATTTGTATAGCACTTTTACAATGTAGACATAAAAGTCGTAGTTCAGTATAGTGTTTAAGTTCAGCTCAGTTCAGTGGGGTTTATTAGTCCCTATTGAGGCCTGAACACTGAACAGCAAATCTCTCAAGCGTAGTTCTGCCGATCCCAAACCATGCAAGCTAGTGGGGACAGCGAAGAGGGATAAAAAAAACTTCACCAATTGGCGAGAGTGAAGAAAAAAAACCTTGAGAGAAATCAGACTCAGTTGGGCACGACATTTGAATTTCTCCGCTGGCCAAACGTCTTGTGCAGAGCTGCAGTCTCAGCGGCGGAGGCAGGAAGTTGACCATGACCACCACTGCAGCTGCTCAGGATACGGCCTGGTCCAGGATATGGACACCTTGGGATCATCTCGTCGCTGGTCTTGGATCCAATCAGTGGTGCTGCGTAGTCTGAGGGCCTCGGGATGAGTATCCCCAGGTGGAAATAGAGAATAAAGAGAATAATTAGCATAGCTGCTGTTCATAGTGTAAATAAAAAAGATGCAGAAACCTGTGAAGAAGTGTTTTTCCACCCAAGAAACAATTCTTGATATCATGATATTTTTGTGGAAATTGTAATCAAAAGTAAAAAAGCAGCATTTATTTGAAATTGAAATCTATTGCATGTTGGAAATGTCTTTACTGATACTTTTGATCTATTTAATGCATCCATTGCTAAATATTTATTAAATTGCAGTGTATTTAATTAGCTTCTGTTTTTTTTTTTTTTTTTAGTTTCGATATGGACTCACAGATCACCATCCTCTTCAGCACCAGCTTGATCTTCACGAAAGCAGTGTCAGCATTCATGATTTGACCCCAGGAAGTGATTACAGCTTTGATATCCAGTCCTTCCTAGGGTCCGATTTCAGCCAGACCACATCCAAAAACATCTCTACAAGTACAAACCTCTCCTAATTATTAAAGCAGTTACAATCTTAAGTTGTGTGCTAATTTACATACTATCAGGGCTTGACATTAAATTTTGATCACCAGCCACTTAGCTAGTAGTTTTCCACTGTTACTAGCCACTCGCCATTTTCACTAGCCACAGTTTTGTTGTTGGGAAAATATGTTTTATATACGTAAATTTGACTTTGGCGTGGGTTGCGGCATGCTAACAGAACTTCATTTAGATTTTTCCACTTGCCTCCTCAATCATTTAACAGTTTTTTTTGTTTATGAACTTACTCAATGAGCATGAGCAAATGGGTTATGCTGTCATAAAAAGTGCTGCATTGCAATTAGTTGTCTTTTACAGGACTTTTCAGGGCTCAACTCAATAAGGATTTATCTTTTTTTTCTCTGGCGACACTAAACTAATTATTTCCTTGCCACAAATTTTAAATAATGTGTCAAAACAAGCAAAATGCTACTGTATACATACACTTTTTATTCAACTAAACAGCTGACATTTAAAAATGTATATATTATCAAGCATTTAAAACTATGCGCAGTGGTCTGTTCTGGCTCAAGATCCCAGATCACCAGTTAACTGTGCAAACAACAACATATTAAAGCAATATTATTGTAAAGGATGATTATTAAACTGTATTAACAAAAATAACAGCAAGCTAAAGAAAGCAGGTAAAAACGTTCTGTGCACAACAATAAAAGGATGACGCCACGCACACGGTTAATGTTAGGCCAATTAATAATCTGTTCTAAATCTGTTTGTAACTTTTTCATTTAGTGGCTAATTCGTATGAATTCATACGATCTACTTTGTACATTTTAGTGCGATTTGCTCATCCCCCAATGACGTTTGGGTTTTGGGGTGGGGTTAGGTGCAACGCCTCCTTTTTGAAATCTTACAATTTAAAAAAAATGTAAAAATTAGCCACTAAACTGGCAAAACATAAAATATTTACGTTTTCTCGTGAGATCAGGCTAAAATCTCAAGCCCTTGAAGGACTGTGGGTGCACAAGCATCGCACTAGATTTTGAGCCAGCACTTGCAATTTAAAAATTAGTTTCAGCCAGCCAAAGTGGCTAGTGGGAGTGGCTGTCTAACCCGCCACAACCGAAATCTAAACGCATTTGGCGGGTTGGCGGGTGTTAATGTAAAGCCCTGCATTCTATAAATGTATTTTTTGAAAGTGTGTCCCAAATTGTAGTGTGTTTAAATTGGTATTCCATAATTACCTGGTTTGTGCACCACGTCTAGTAGAAACACAATGTGTGGAATGGATCGCTGCACACTTTAATGGCAAATATTAACATACAACATATGGCACATTGGTAGGCCCACCCAGAATATGCGCGCGCAGAATTCCGCAGATTTTTAGCCCATCATTAATTCTGTTTATTTACTTGAGTAAATGTGTGTATATCTATATTTATTTCGTTTTTTGATTAATTTCAGTAATATTATTAACTAAAGTGAAAATGTTCATCTGATTTATGTACAATGCAGTGTGTAAAGTCATATTTTCTGTCTTTTAGTAGATATATTATATGACTAACTTGCTTTATTTACCAAATAAAGTGAATCTAATTGGATTTGCATTTTAAACATTAAATAGAAGTTAAAAAGAAATGATTTTTTATTTCATATATTAATGTTTTAGTTATGATACTCCCAAAAAAAAATCCGCAGAAATCTGCATATTTTAACCAAAAATTTCAGCAGAAATAGCAAAAAACATCCGCAGATTCCGTCTGGCCCTACACAGTGGATGGGAATTCAATAAGAACTACACATAGTGCTTGTCACGATATCTATTTTTTGTTTTATGATATATTGCACCAAAATAGATTGCGATAAATTTTAAGAGCGTTTTATGCCACTCATTATGTAATGCCAGAATGACAATATAATAGCATCATAATGCAAGTTGCACTCTTCCAAAGAACACATACTATTTAACACTGAAGAATGTTTAATTTATTCATAGTCATTTTACTGTAACAATTAGGCATTGGAATCTCACTCAGTAGCCTATCAATAATGTTAAAGATGTTTAATATATTTTAATTAGATTAAAAGCCTTTACCATATGGTTGGGATTGAAGTGGCTGGTATTTAAATGTTTTTGTCTTGTCGAGTCTCTTTTGGTCCAGATTAGAGATGCGCGGATGGGCTATTATTTCATCCGCAACCGCATCACAAAACTCATCATCCGTCCGCCATCCATCCGCACTAACATTTTTGACCAAATTTTAAAACCGCACCCGCCCGCCATCTGCTGACTGAGCTCTTTATTTGAATGGCTTATTCCTTTTTATTATTAAGTGAATGTTTCTTTATTGATTATTAGAAAATAGAGAATGACATTAATGACATGCAGTTAATCCAAACGTGCAAGTCAAATCCAGCATTAATTGACGCTTTGAAGTGACGCTAAACAATACGAGGACGTGTCGTTTCACTTGATTCAATTCCTCGGTCCTTGAGTCTTTTTCTTGCGTCCTTCCCTCGCATCCTATAGGGTTGGAAAGACAAGGAAAGAAAGCAGGGAAAGGAAACGAGGATACACAAATAAGAAATGAGAAGCACCCCTATAAAGCTCTCAGAATATCAGCAGTGAACTCTGTCTCCAATTGGCGCACAGGGACAAAAATAAATAAATAGCCTAAATTAAACGCACTGTACTGTACAATTTTTTTTATTATTATTGTAGCCTAATAGAAAACGCATTTTGACACATCATTTCAACATTCAGACGAGAGCGCCTGGGCTCAATGCGCCCTGCTGCACTGAAGGAACGCTCGCTCGCAGCACTTGTTGCTGGAATGCATAGAATTCTCTTGGCAAGGTGCTGTAGTCGTGGGAATGACTGGCCTTGTTTCTCCTAAAAGGAAAGTAGATTTTCCTCTGCTGATCCGTCTATACGGAAGTTTATAGAGGAATACTTCTGTACTTCATCCAGAATTAGTGTATCCGATTCCTCCTCTCATTCTGTGAAGTCAGTCCTAGGCTTTTTCGTTGGTGCGCCAGCTATGTGTACAAAAACAGTACAACCGCCCACCACCCGCCCGAATTTAATTAAAATTGTATTTTTCGTCAAGTCATCCACCCGATCCGCGGTTTTTCCGCGGCTGTACCGCCATCCGCGCATCTCTAGTCCAAGATAGCCAAATTGCTTGTTGCTGGAATCTTGTTGCGTCAGGAAACAGTGTTACTGACTCTTTCTAAAAAATACAAAAGCACATTTTAAAAAGCAAGGTCAGTCTTGATGTTTTTCTCAATGGATCTTTTCTTCCAGGACCAGCCGGTGTCTGTTCGCTCTTTGTGTCTGATGTAAATGTCACGTCCGCCACAGTGTCCTGGGCTGCAGCCGCTGGAGGGTTTGATTTTTATAGAGTGATTGTTAGAAACAGCTCTCATAAGTGGACGATAGACGCGAGTCCACACTTGCAGGAGGTCACAGTCAGCGGCCTGTGGAGCGGCTGCTCATACAACACCACTGTACAGAGATTCAGAAACACCATCAGTGGAGCCGCTGCCACCATCAACATACACTCAGGTCAGACTCTTACCCATCATGCACTCTGGTTATTGTGCAATTAAGGAGATTTCACCCTTTAAACTGAACATTTATCAATGACTGATTATGATTGACTGATGTTAAAATAGGATTCAACTGTAGAGCCTATGGGAGTCAATGAGAAGTTTTAATTCCTTTAAGTCCATTAATTCCTTAATTCATTCATTCATCCATTAGTTCATTCATTCATTCATCCATTGGTTCATTCATCCATTGGTTCATTTGTTCATTCATTCATTCATTCATTCATTCATTCATTCATTCATTCATTCATCCATTGGTTCATTAATCCATTGGTTCATTCGTTCGTTCATTTATTAATTCCTTCGGTCATTCATTCATTCATTCATTCATTCATTCATTCATTCATTCATTCATTCATTCGTTCATTCATTCATTTATTCATTCGTTCATTAATTCCTTCGTTTGTCCATTCATTCATTAATTGAGCCATTCATTTGTTCAATTATTCATTCATTCATTCATTGGGTTATTAATTTGTTCATTCATTCATCCATTAGTTTATTCATTCATTCCAACATTCGTCCATTCATTCATTCCTACATTCGTCCATTCATTCGGTCATTCATTTGTTCGTTGATTCATCCATTTATCCATTAGTTCATTAATTAGTGCATTCATTCATTCATTCATTCATTCATTTGTTCATTCAATTATCCATCAGTTCGTTCATTCTTTTATTCATTTGTTCATCCATTCATCCATTAGTCTTTTTTATTCGGTCATTCATTTGTTCATTTATCCATTCATCCATTAGTTCATTTTTTTTATTTGGTCATTCATTCATTCCTTTGTTCATTCATTCATTCATTCATTCATTCATTCATTCATTCATTCATTTATTCAGTCAGGCATTTGTTCGGTCAATCAATTGTTCATATATTCATCCATTACTTTATTAATTTGTTCATGTGTCCATTCATTCATTCCCCTATTCGTCCATTCATTTATTCATTAATAATTCATTCATTAGTTTATTTGTTTGTTCATTCTTTCTTTCATTTATTCATTCATTCATTCATTCATTAAATCTAAACAATTTATTAATTTGTTCACTTGTCCATTTATTCATTCCCCTGTTCGTTCATTCATTTATTCATTAATAATTCATTCATTAGTTTATTTGTTTGTTCATTCATTCTTTCATTTATTTATTTATTCATTCATTCATTAAATCTAAACCATTTATTAATCTGTATTTATAAATTTGTATTAATTTTTCCACATCACATTATTGCTAAAGAGGCCATCAACAACAATAAATTGCATAAAATATCTGTACACTTCCTTTGAGAGAAGTTTCTTTTTTGATGTTGGGAGCAGGTTATTCAACCACAAAAACTCTCAGAAGAGTAAAATAACTTCATTAAAGTTTCCATATGTACACTCAGATGTGCAAAACACCAAATCTGTGTGTTTCAGTGCCTGCCAGTCCTGAGGGCCTGCGTGTGATAAGTGTGTCACCTCGCTCTTTCTCACTCCACTGGTTGGCATCACCTGGATGTGAGAAGACGTACCAGGTCCAACTTTATCCTGACCACGGCAATATCAACATTACCACCGACACAGCGGACAACAACGTCCAGGTACACACACACACACACACACACACACTCACACAGCCGTATGCCAGGTGTCAGGTAGAGCAGTATCTATGTCAGCTGGGCGGAGTGTGGGTGTGCACTTGTGTGTGGACGAAGGTTGGAGAACAGTAGAGAGAGTGAAAAGGAGAGCATCAGTAATCGAATTTGCATTGGTGGAGGAACTATATTGGTTCTGATCACTCACATACCACTGGTTAGTTACCCGTTCTCTCTTAGTGAGGGGCCATCATGCCATCCTGTTTGCCCTTGCTGGTTATCCTGCATGCGGCCCTCGCTTCTGTTCAGGTAGGCATCAGTTGCGTATTTGCATTGCATGGGTTTTGTGGTAAATAACATGCCTTTTGGGGTTTTTACTCAATTAAATGCATAGAGAGTGGTTTTAAATGCAATTTTAGTTCATCAAATTGTTTAATGAAGATGAATTAAGAGTGTTTTAATTAATGATTGAAATAACACTTATGGAAAGGTTTTATTTGTTAGCATTGCTTCATTTCAAGTTAAACCGGCTAATAATGATTAGATGTTTATATATAATATACAGTTGACGTCAAAATTGTTCGCTTTCCTGTGAATTATTAATATTATGTTATGAATTATGTTAAATATTATGTTTACAAATGTGTTGAAAAAAATCTTCTTTCCAATAAACAGAAATTGGGGAAAAATTTAAAGGGGTGTTAATAATTTCAGAAGGCTAATATTTCTGACCTTAGCTGTATATAATATGTAATATTTTGGCCTTAGTGATTTTGGTTAGTTAGTTGGTTGGTTAGTTTTAATTACAGAGACAGTTCACAACATTTGTTAGACATTCACTTTTACAGCATTTTCCATTTACTGTAAATACTGAAATAAATCAGGGCGGGAAAAAAACAAGTTCGTCATGACAATAACTGATCAACATATCTCTTTACATTAACTTACAATTATACAAAAATTTGTATTTATTTATAGGAGAAAGGGAGTGTGGACGCAATATATGCTAATAAGCATGAAACTTAGGACATTAGGTTGAATGGAAGTTATATACTCAATCCATTTGGACCAAATGTGAATGTAATTTAATTCACATTTGATTGTAATTCCATTGATTGTAATGGTCCAAATGTAATAAACGTGAATTCACATTCCCATTATTCTTATTTAGATAAACCATGTAGAGCACAGGTGTCAATTCCAGTTCCTGGAGGGCCGCAGCTCTACACAATTTAGTTCCAACCCTGCTCCAACACATTTGCCTAAAGGACTCAATTAGTTTGATCAGGTGTGTTTAATTAGGGTTGAAACTAAACTGTGCTGCGGGCCTCAAGGAACTGGAATTGACACCTGTGATGTGGAGTGATTGAATTGAAATTCAAGTGATTTTTACTTTAAACTATTTTGTTTATACATTTCATTTTACTTTGTATTGTATTTTGTAAATTGTAAAAAAAAAAAAATGTTGGGTTGGTAACAACATAAAGGATTTAAGTTAGCCTATTAGTTTTTTTTTTTTTCAAATTTAAGTGGATTGAACATAAAACAATTAAGTTGTGCCAAAAAAATAGTTGTTTTAGCTCATTTTAAATGAGTAGTTTGTTTGTGAATAAGTCATTGAGTGTACTCGTATTTCAAAATGAGATTCAAATGAAATCATCAAAGTTTTTATTTGCAATTCAGTAAATTATTCTTCCAGTCAAAATTTTTCAGACTCTGAACTGAACAGAATTTCAATTAAATTGAATTAAAATAATGAATGAAATAAAAAATTAAATTTGGAAACTTAAAAGGACACAATTTCATAGTATTTTCAAATTTCCAACTCTGCGAGATTTCTCTTCATGAGAACTCTCTCTGTCCCTGTCTCACACACACACACACACACACACACATGCACAGTGGGGTGTTTGAGAGTGATGGTGAGCCGCCACTCGACCTTAGAGGAATTCTTCAAATGGCTTGTGTTTCCTAGAATGAAAGAATACAACAGTACTGGCATACTAACAGAGACTGGAGTGTGTGCTAAATATCACTCTATTCACTTCTCTTTCTTGTACACGACTCCAGGTTCACAAAGTACAGCCATTTTACATTTTACTTTTTGATTATTCCATTAACTAATAGAGCTATTAAAAGAAAAATATATTAAAGCTATTCAGAATTCAACATCATGATCATAAACATTGCCATCAACTATAAAAGGTTGTCTTTAAATCTATTTTTCATTGATATTTGTATTTGCCCTGAGTGAACTTTAGGGTTTACAGACTTTGTAATCTTAAACAGCTTGTGTGATTGGTTGATATTTGGTTATTTATTATTTGCTTTTCAAATCAGATTACGCACAGAAATGCACAAATGTTTTAGCCCATCATTGAGTCTATTTATGTACTTGTGTAAATGTGTGTAAATATATATTTATTTTGTTTTATATTGATTTAAGAAATATTTTTGAATAATATGCAAATGTTTATATGATTTATTAAATGTGTTTGTATGGCAACACAGTTTGTGAAGTAAAATTTTTTTGGATTTCTTTTTGGATTTGCATTGAAAACTTTAAAAGTCTAAAACAAAGTATTTAAGTTCTTAAGCTCTCAAAATCATTATGCATTCTTCAACAGATTTTTTCAAAACCTTTGCGCAGAAATAGCCAAAAATGTCAGCAGATTCTGTCTGGCCTTGGATAAAATACACATTATGTGTTGCATGACTTAGATTTAGCCCTGCTGCTTTTGTCAGGCTATTTTATACTTGATTGATTGATTGATTGATTGATTGATTTGATTTGATTTGATTTGATTGATTGATTGATTGATTGATTGATTGATTGATTGATTGATTGATTGATTGATTGATTGATTGATTGATTGATTGATTTGGGTTATATTTTGTATTGAATAACGCATTCACTCATATTTTGCTTCAATAAACTCGTAATATTCTAGTTATTAAAAATAAGTTAGTAGTAGGTATAGGATATGAGTACGGGATGTAGAATAAATAAAATCATTAATGCATAATATAAAATATAGAAGTAATAAATGGCCAATATTCAAATTGATTGATTGATTGGTTGATTGTGAACTGAATACGCTTTAATTTAACCAAAGTGAAACAACCGAATCAAATTAATTTATATTTTTAGCATGTTGATCTATTAAACACATGCATGCATTTGTTTTCCTCAACAAAACATTGATGATTGCATTAATAATAGAAAATCTATTAATTTTAGATCATTTAGAATTGAACATCACAGACACATTATTAATAAAAAGTCACCTTTTACAATTAAAATGTTGTCTTTGAATCTAATAAATAGTTAGAACTTTAAAGTAACTTAATTTATGATAATATTAGTGCTGGACATAGTTTAATCACGAAAAATTGCATCCAAAATAAAAGTTTGTTTTGACATAATACTGCACTTGTGTATGTACTGTGTATATTTATTATGTATTTATAAATACACCCAATGATTAATCTATGCCCAGCAGTAATTATATTAAGTGCCCAGAAAAGTGGTGTATAAATGAAATAATTATAATAATAATCCATCTCAGGGCCCCTTTGCTATTACATAAAATTGCAAACTGTCTCAGAAAAGTTTCATCAGTAATGGTTAATATTCATTTATTTCTTTGCTGTGATTCATAGAGTGTGTCTGTGTACACGTTCTGCATGGAGTGGATTTGGTCATGTTATCTTGTTTTGCTGCTCTTGTCAGGCTATTTTATCCTCAGATCTGATAAGACTATTGTCTTTCTGGAAGGAGCCGTGTGACGTATCGCCAGTGGTAATTTAGCCTGCCGCTGTTACATTACTTAGCAGACCACCGCAGATGCTTTTGTTTTGTGATGTTTGTGAACAAATTATTTCTGGTGAGATTCATTTGTGTGTTTGTGGGTTTGCGTGAGGCGCATGGATTATTGAGGGCATCTCATGGCTTTGATGCTAAATGATGTGTTATGGAAATATTGGGATGGGTTTGATTTAAGTCTTTATTTTTTATCAGTTCGGTGATTCTTGATCTTGTGCTGACTTTTCGGTTTTACCAGAGGTTTGTTGTGTAATATAAAATTCTTCAATCTACTAGAACATATATGGCTTAAGAGGTTGTAAGCTCAGACATGAAATAAAACTACTGTATAGTCACTTATAGTAAATACTAGGGATGCAACAATACAGTTAGCCCACGGTTCAATACATACCTCGGTTTTTTAACATGGTTTTTGGTTCGGTTCTCATGGCTTGACACATGTTTTTTATTTTTTATTTTATAGGCAATAGGAACAGTAAGAGGTTAGGGTGAAAAAAATGAAAACGATTTATTGCAAAACTCATTTTACTTAAAAGCCAAGAAAAGTACACTAGTTTCTAGTGTACTGTATAAATAAATTAACACTGAAATATGAAATACTGAAAACACATGCTGGTAGCCATGTAATAATAATAATTAATAATTCCTTACATTTATATAGCGCTTTTCTGGGCACTCAAAGCGCTTTACACAATGGGGGGGAATCTCCTCATCCACCACCAGTGTGCAGCATCCACCTGGATGAAGCGACGGCAGCCATTTTGCGCCAGACTGCACACCACACACCAGCCGATTGGTGGAGAGGAGACCCAATGAAGCCAATCATGATATGGGGAGGGTTAGGAGGCCATGATGGACAGAGGCCAGTGGGCAGATTTGGCCGGGATGCCGGGGTTAAACCCCCACTCTTTTTCGAAGAACATCCTGTGATTTTTAACGACAACATTGTGTCGGGATCTCGGTTTAACGTCTCATCCGAAAGACGGCGCTCACTGAGCAGTATAGAGTCCCCGTCACTATACTGGGGCATTAGGACCCACACAGACCGCAGGTTGACCGCCCCCTGCTGGCCTCACTAACACCACTTCCGGCAGCAACCTAGCTTTCCCATGTGGTCTCCCATCCAGATACTGACCGGGCGCAGCCCTGCTTAGCTTCAGTGGGCGACCATGTGAGAGTTGCAGAGAGCTAGCTGCCAGTCACAAACTCAACTGGGGAACTTGGGGAAAACATAAAATCCTACACTTTGAAAATAATACTGCTATCCTGCCTTCAGACAGTGATATTGCTGGGTGATGGCGCTGCAGATGTGCAGTCATGGTTATACGTGTAAAACAATGCTTGCACACAGTTATTTTTTTGTTCACAGTTTTTTCTTTTATTGGCATTATACTTACCGGCAAAACCGAAATGTCCTCACACCGCAGATTAGAAAGACGCCGTCGCTTTCTCGTACTGTTGCCTGACTTCACCGCCGCTCGCAATGTTAAAGTGTGAAGTCTTGGTTAAGCGCCCCCTAACTTAAGAGCATAGTGATTGGATATTTACTCGCGGGGAGGAGTTTCCTCATCTCAGCTCATGGATTTAGAGGCACACACAGTCAATTCGGGGAGATATAAAACGCACATTAATTATTTAAACGCAAAACTGAGAAAACTGCAATTCACAAGCGCGTATTAAACCGTGCGAACGGTTCAATATTATATTGAGAACCGTGGCATCCCTAGTAAATACTACAGTGTTTTTTATCCATATATTAATGTACTTGAATTATCTCGCCTGTTAATTCTGTAGTTGCCATGTACAACAACTACAGTAATATAAACAAATTACCCAATACTGTAATTGTCCTCAACTACAGAATATATTATACTACAAAAGACCACAGTCTGATGAAGTAATATCAAATTATTTACACACACACACACACACACACACACACACACACACGCACGCGCACACACACACACACACACACACACACACACACACACACACACACACACACAAATAAGTATATCTGATCATATTTTTTCCTCTGAAGAAAGTCTTATTTGTTTTGTTTTGACTAGAATAAGAGCAGTTTTTATTTTTTTTAAACAGGTCAAAATTATAAGGAAATGTATCATATTATTTAGTTTTAATATAGTTAAAGTATAGCAGTTTTAAATATTCTTCTCGTCTAAAACTTAAAATGCTAATTGAAATTATAAGCATTGTTTTTGTACAGTATATATACATGTGTCTCCTGCAGGCAATCAGTATTTTATATGCTGTGTGTTTTAGGCTCAAGTGTCCAGCGTCACCCCAGGAACGTCTTACACCGTGACGGTCAATGCAGTGGCTTCATCAGGCTTCAGTTCTCCTGTCAGCCGAATACTGGTCACCACTATTGAGTCCTGTAAGTGTGTGGGCTCGGCTCTTATTTACAATGCTTTCCTTTTTTTTTTTCGCCATACAGTAGGTCATATTCAGACCAGTGTTTCTAGACTAAGTGTAAAGCAGAGTGTTTTAAAAATTATTTTGAATCTGTGAAAGTGTTCAGGGTGCCACGGTGGCGCAGTGAGTAGCACGATCGCCTTACAACAAGAAGGTTGCTGATTCGAGTCCTGTCTGGGCCTGTTGGCATTTCTGTATGGAGTTTACATGTGCTCCCCGTGTTTGCGTGGCTTTCCTCCGGGTGCTTCGGTTTCCCCCACAGTCCAAAAACATGCACTATAGGTGAATTGAATGGACTAAATTGGCTATAGTGTATGTGAAGGAGTGTGTATGGGTGTTTCCTAATGTTGGGTTGCGGCTGGAAGGGTATCCGCTGCGTAAAACATATGCTGGATAAGTTAGTGGTTCATTCCGCTGTGGCGACCTCTGATTAATAAAGGGACTAAGCCGAAAAGAAAATTAATAAATGAATGAAAGCTGAAGTGTTATCCTAATTCAGTGATATTATTAGGTGGAGTCCATTTTTGTGTCAGTGTCACACTCCATTCCAGTGTTTTAGAGTTACTTTGAGTTTACCTGTAGTATAATTGCAAATGTACACTTTTGCTACGCAGTTTGCAAACGTTTGTTGAAACAATGGATTTAGGAAACAATCAATGAACTATGTTTATAAAGAAACTGTTTATAGAAACTATGTTTATAACGAACTTGCGACTTTAGTTGGCTAATAAGTTGGCCCTTCCTACACTTCAAGAACTGTACTCTTACCCAGCACAGTACCTGTTCGAATGGTTACCGTCTGATCGGCGCTTCAGAGCACCAAGCACAAAAACAGCCAGACACAGGAAAAGTTTCTTTCCTCAGGCCATCTACCTCATGAACAGTTAAATATTCCCCAACTGTGCAATAAATATGTGCAATACTTTCTCATACGCATTTGTACACAGCACCTTATATCAATATACAATGCAATACTTTCTACATTCACACTACATTTGTACACAGCACCCTATAACCTGTAAATTTATAACAAATCTGTACATATAAGTCAACGTCCAGATTTCTTGACTAACTGCATCTCCGTTTAATGTTTATCATCTTTTTTTCTCATATTTATTTTGTATTGTCACTTGTCACTTTATGTACACTGGAAGCTTCTGTAGCCAAAACAAATTCCGTGAAGCACACTTTGTAATAAAAATTATTCTGATTCTGATAATGTTTTATGCGAAACGCACCACTGGGCGGGTTGTTAAATTTTGGGTGCGTTCGCTCACACTGGCCCGACAGTGGAAAAACGGTTGTTCCTTGCGCCACCCTTGCAAATTTGGTAAAAAATATGGAGGACTATTAGTTCAGGAGGGCTAAAAACTAGGGATGTCCCGATCAGTTTTTTTGCCCTCCAGTCCGAGTCATTTGATTTTGTGTATCTACCGAAACCTGATCAAATACATCTATAATACATAAAAAATAATGAAGCAGAGAGAAGAAACTGATCCAGGATGTTCCTTATTTTTTATTTAATTCACCTTATTTTAACATTCAACAACTCTGTTAACAAACAGAGCACTTCTGTGAGGTAGCTTGAGCAATCAATTCATAAATAACATCAATTCTTTACTTTTGGACTTTAGTGCAACACAACAGTAGTTATTAAAAAATTAAATATAAAAACAAATAACACCTTAACTTAAAACATTCACTCATTTTCTTGTCGGCTTAGTCCCTTTATTAATCCGGGGTCGCCACAGCGGAATGAACCACCAACTTATCCAGCACATTTTTACGTAGCTGATGCCCTTCCAGCCACAACCCATCTCTGGGAAACATCCACACTCGTACACTACAGACAATTAGCCTACCCAATTCAGCACCAGGAGGAAATCCAAGCGAATGCAGGGAGAACATGCAAACTATACACAGAAACGCTAACTGAGCCGAGGATCGAACCAGCGACCTTCTTGATGTGAGGCAACAGCACTACCTACTGCGCCACTGCATTGCACTACCTACTGCGCCACTGCATTGCCTCAACTTAAAACACCCGTCAGGAAATCCCAAGTTTACATATCTCACAGTTTGCCACGGTAATGTTGTCGTCATCAACTCTGTAATACCTCCAGACCACAGACATACTCGCGCTTTCCAAGCTGCTTCCCTGTTCTACTTTGTTGCAGAGACGCTATTGGTTAAATGCTGACAAAGTGATGTCTGTGAAGATCAAGAAAGAGGTCTAACTCTGTGCCACCGCATAACTATATATGTTCTGAAATGGTAGTCCCGTGGACGTTTCTAGAGATCGTGAAAAACGTTCCATGAGGTACGTATTTGTGAGTTTTTGCGAATCCACGAGAGGCCACTGTGTGCACTTTTTCGCATCTCGTATGTCTCTCGCGAGTGCTGTTCGCGTCCGCGCCATTCTCGCGTTAACCCACAAGAGGCCACTGTTGAACGACCGTCTGTTCGACTGGCTGAATGATTGACTGGCCGACCCACCCTCCTCCTCCTTCCCTAAACTTAACCATTTTTACCGATTGACCCGCCCACTTACTTCCCTAAAAACTTCCCTAAAACTTCTCACCCTGTTATTCACTTGTTCATTTTATTTTTTGAGTATTTTGCCTGATTTCTGGAACCACTCTTCCCCGCACTTGAACCCGAGGTCAGCTCCTCTTTGCGTCTCAAGTCTGCCGATGTACACGACAAGCTAACTGTAAAAACTAATTGTGCCACGAAAGCCCTCCACAAGGAGGTAAGCAGTCAGCCGGTAAGCGCGAAAAGGAACGGCGCTACATCGCCCCCATAGCATTCACCTAAAAAATGAAATGCAGCCATACGTACCTCCGGCTACATAGTTTGCGGACTCCAGAAATGTCCGCAGGACTACGTTTTCAGAATGAGCCTGGGTTAAAATATTTGAGTCCTGATTGGGAGGTAACATCAGATTTAGATCGAGTCTGAAACTGCGTGATTGGCCCGGTTTTCGATCACGTGAACGGATCTGTACGTCCCTACTAATAACTATATACGCAACCATGTGAAGGCTACACCATAACTATTGCATGCACTTACAGTTATGCAGAAGTATAAACTGGCCTTTATAAAAATGAATATCCTCAATTCTCAATTCAATTAATATTCTCGATTCAAAAATTGCAATTCTCATACACTGTAAAAAAGGGGAAGCTGATGTGTTTATCTTTATCTGGAGTGTGTTGCAGTCGTCAAAATCAATTTAGTGTTTTCCTTTGAAAGGGTAAATCCAATGAAATGTAAAACTCTTTGTATATGAATCTATGCACACTGTTTTCCACTCGAGATGTGTGTGTGTGTGTGTGTGTGTGTGTGTGTGTGTGTGTGTGTATATATTTATGTTTGCATAATTGATGCTGATTCCAGTTAGCAGGCTTTGATACGCGGGTATCAGATTCACGGGTCCCTCAGAGAATGGCATGAACGGGTCACGCTTTCTGATGGTTTATATTGTTATTCTCCTAAATGTCTGACACCTCCAGCACAACAGAGAGCCTTCTGAAAGACCTCCGCATTTGATAATGACTCTCGATGATACCAAATCTAGGTCAGGGCAACCGTATCCGTCCTGCTTCAGTGCACATCAAGAGGAGATGACGGAAGCTAATGCAAGAAGTGACAATCGATTGAAAATTAATTGTGCGTAAAAACTGCATACAACTAATTGCAATACAAAAAACAAGTAATTACAGTTGTATTAAATGTGTCATGCAGCATATGAGAACATAATTTGTGATGTACGTGTTTTTATTAAATAGTAATTGATCTGCTAGGATCAATAAAGCTGACTAAAATGGGATATTATATTGAATGTGTTAAAAACACGACTCAAATTGTTTAAAGGTGCAGCAGGTGATTGTCTTCAGAAACATTTTTTTTTTGTGCTGGTTGAAAGTCTCTTGAAATTTGTTGCACCGATGATTCCCAAAATTCTGATAAGTAGCGCAAAGTAATCCGTCAACAAATGTAGATTTGTACATCAGCAGTAAAAACAAATCCTGAATCAATATTGAAGTTACTTTTGTACGCTGGAGCAGTGGTATAGGCCCACCCGCAAGAGTTAAGGTCTGAAGTGAAGACAGTCGGGGGGAATTGGGGGGAGGGGGGGTGTGGCTTATGATCATGTGAAGTAGATTTATCACACGTGCAACCCTCCCTCCCACCAACCCCACGGTGCGTGTCCTGTGGGCGCCGCAGTAAGGATGACAGGTTCTTTTAGACAGGTTATGATACATTTTAAAACTATATTATTCATGCAAAGCTGATGTAGATTTTGTTGTTTTATGAACTTTATTTTCTTTATTCTCCACAAGTGGAAATTTATCAGTGTTTTCACCACACAACCACATCAGTGTCCACATTAAACACCTCACAGAAAAAACAGGCAACACAAATACATTCAACGTTATCACATATATCACATTAAAAAACCCTATACATACTTACTGTAGAACCCAGTATTTTAAATTCTAATGGCACATTTGATACACATTTTCTTTACTTGAGGTTGCCTAAAACGTCTTTTTGATGGGAACTTAAGGGATGGGAACAATCTTCAATAATGACACATGCTTTCTGTTTAATTCTCATTGAATACATTTAATTTTGTTGTCTTTTTTATCTACAATTGCTCTGGCAATTTTTACTACTCGACACAGTTTTTGCTTTTCCTTAATTGGCAAAAGTCCATACCATGCAATCATGTTAAAACTCACAACACTTTAAAATGAAGTGAAGTTTCATAAACTAATTTCGAGAGGAGCAAGTGATATGATTGAGCACAGCTGGATTCTCATCTGTAATAAGTAAAAATCAAATCAGGGTGATCCGAGCTTACAATAAATAGACAAATTTTATCCTTCTGCTTTATCTTCGTTTTGGAAGAATCACCTCTTCCACCCCATCTCCTCCTTTTCCTCCCTTTTGATACCTAACTGATCTTGAACCCCCTTATATGCTTATTGACTGGGCAGGAGCCTTGGGCTCAATTATCTTCGAGCTCAGGGTTCTCTCCCAGGACAGCATGACAAACCTGCTATTAATCCCAAGCATATCTAAGTGTGAACTCTTGAATGATTTATATACACAAAATTGTTACAGTCAGTAATAGCATGTAAGTATGGTTTAGTCCTGCACCCCGCCGTCCAAGCACCATAGTTGCTTTAAGACAAATTGCGTGAGAGAGTGCGACCAGCGATCCTTGCATGCATGAAATGTTGCACATTATGACAAGTTTTGCTTGCTACACAACTGAAAATGTGCTAGATATAAAACAGTTTTTTTTTTTTGTTGGGAATCGTAGTATTATAAAGTAATATAAAGTTTTCTAACTGGCGAATGACTTGATCTAGCGGGCTGTCTACTGTTCATTTTCAGGAGGCGTGGCTTTGGACGGCAGGGGAGGGACTATGTTTTTAAAGCTGTTATGCTAACAGATAGCATTTTGGAAGATCACCTACTGCACATTTAGTTATTTGCTTAGCTGTCTGTGAATGCTAAAAAGGCTGTTTAACACTTAAACTATATTGTATTTATAAGTGTTCAGTGTGTTGTTTATATAAATATAGAAGAATATAGCGAAAAGAATATATATTTGTGTTTTACAGAAATAATTTAACTAGCCAAACACAATCAAGCTTTCAACAGTCAAATGAAATAAATGGCTCGAATTAATTAATTACTTTGCTTTTCATCTACGTGCATGAATATAAATAAACAAATAATTATGTGAAAAAACCACGTAGTTATAATTGTGGTTGACCAATTATATTCAGGTATTCAATGAAGCTGCATTGCCACAATATCATATAAAATGATTAATAAATTGCTCAAAATGATTGATTGAGTTTTTATCTTATTGCATGTAAATTAGAACTGAATAATGTGTAAAAACTGCATAGAAATAAATGTAATTAACCAATTAGATTCAAGCATTTAAAAATGTTAAATACGTAATTTAAGTAAATTACATAATGTATTGAATGCATCAGAAGTGGCTCAGATTGTGCTTCTATTTTGTTTATCAATGAACACAATCATTGACCATTTCCCATGAAGGCTGGGTTTAGGGGTCGGGTGATATTATTAGTGGATATTAGAGTATAAAATACATTACGCAAATGGAGAGTCCTCAAAAACTACAAAACAGCATGAGTTAGTGTTTGTTCTTGATTACATGGTTTATGATGACTTTATTAGATTGTATAATAATTGGGTCACACTTTACAATAAGGTTCATTAGTTAATGTTAAGTCATGCATTTACTAACATGAACAAACATTGAACGATACATTTACTACAGTATTTATTCATGTTAATAAACATTACTTAATGAAAATACAGTTGTTCATTGTTAGTACATGTTAACTCATGGTGCATTAACTAATGTTAACAAGCATGGACTTGCATGTTAATAATGCATTAGTAAATTTTTGATTATGATTAATAAATGCTGCACAAGTGTTGTTCATGATTAGTTCATGTTAGTAAATGCATTAACTAATGAACCAAATTGTAAGGTGTTACCAATAATTGTACATGGCTTTAAATTGTATAATGACAAGGCTATGATCTGGTTGTACTCTTACGAGGACAGGTCTTAATTTATTCAAACTTAATGAGATCTTTAGACATTTAAAATTGCTTTGAGTAGATTAAGGCCATATAATAAGTATTTTTTACAGTATAAAATACATTGTGCCTATGGAGAGTATATTAAACCATATATAGAAATATATGTTTGTGTTTAAAGGTGCAGTATTGGATTGATCTAGTGGTTGAACGAGGTATTGCAGTCCAAATTCAAATTATTTTAGAGGATTTTTTTTCACCTGGTCCCTCTGATGACGACTTGAAGCACACATGGGTTGCCAGATTGACAACACAGCCAAGAGCAAATGGCTTGACGATCGAGCCTTGCACTGTACGTTTCTCATCTAATGTTTACATTTGTAATATTTGCATTATTTGCTAATTAAAAACACCTCATGTTTATTTTTATAATTCAAAACCAGCATCTCATTGCAGAGGCTGCTGAATACTAACACCTGTTTTCCATCAAGGCAACCCGGGTGCTGAAATATAATTGGGTTAACTGGTTGCAGGCGGAGTTACATAATCAAAACAAAGATAGACATTGTGACATTTTTAAAGCAGAACAACAGTATTTAGCATTGTTTTTCACATGAGTATGTTCACTTACATGTTTCTGAAATATCTGCAAGCATATTATGGTATTTTTATGCTTTAGAAGAGTCAAAAACTTTCCTACAGCACTTTTACCCACACCTAAACTCTCCAGGTAGTTGCAGATGAAGATTTAAAAAAAAGTCATAAAAATAATATAATATACTGAATGCATCACAAACTGCTTAGATAATTTCATTATTTTCGTGTTTGTGTGTGTGTGTGTGTGTGTGTGTGTGTGTGTGTGTGTGTGTGTGTGTGTGTGTGTGTGTGTGTGTGTGTGTGTGCAGTACCAGCGGCCCCCTCTAAACCTGAAGGTGAACGGGTCGGTTCCACCGGCATCCTGCTGTCCTGGCGGATGCCGATGCCTCTCGACCCCTCCATTCACTCATTCGTCATCAGATATAAGGAGATGTGTCCATATCCAGACCCCAGCTTCACGGAGATCACCAAGAGCCTGGACATCCCAGAAACCCTGCTGAACACACTCACCCCTGGAGCCACATACAACATCAAGGTGCAGAAATGATACAGCACACACATCACATCCAGTTGTTTAACAGCAGAAAAAATTGAAGTCTAGATGGTATACAATTGCAAATACGTACAACATTATAGCATCATTTTTGTGACGCTGTACTACAATAACAAATATTTTTACATTGCTGTGAGTGTTGGGTTTAGGGTTGTGGTAGACATGAATAAAATACAATTTAATGGAAAATTTCATAAATAATATAGATAATTATTATTATAATTGCTGTTGTTACATTGCTTTGAGGGTTGCAGTAGAAAATAATAAAATAAAATTAATTCAAATCAAATCAAATCAGGCCTTTATTTGTCACATGTCGCATAGCATTTAGAAGGTAAGTCAAATACATCTGGACAATTAGGCCAAAAGAACGCCCTCTCAGCTTGCCCTTGATTAGGGCAAAGTGAGAACAGGGAGAAAAACAGCCCAATCTTAGCATAAACACACCGGCAAGACACAACATTGAAACAGGGGATGGGAACAGGGGATGTGGAAAACAATCCGATGAGTGGCAGCCAACTGGTCCAGTAGCCATGGAGGCGCAAGTCACAGTCCCGCCCATGCCCATCATGGGTGAAACCACACAAAGGCGTTTAGATGAGGGGATCGGTGGTGAATGTTTATCTGTAGATATTGATAATTTAGTAAATTATCAGTTAATTTTGCTAATTGATCATTTAGTAAATAATATAAATAAAGCTCCCACTTTATATTAAGTGGCCTTAACTAATACATACTTACATAGAAGTTAATAGTTTGTTACAATTGACTTATTGTGTAAATACATGCATTTACTGTGTACTTATGCTTGATTAAATACATGTATGTAATTACATCTGTAAGTAACTTTTGTAATTAAATTTGTAAATACACTGTTGACCATCCCTTACACCTTAACCTACCCTTAAACCTACCCACACCACCAAACCTGTCCATAACCCAACCTCTATCCATATAACTCAAAAGCACCACAAGTGTTCTCAAATATATTATAAACACAGTAAGTACATTGTTTGTATTTTTTTGATGTAAGTACATAGTAGTTAAGGACACTTAATAAAAAGTGGGACCGATTTGCTTAACAGGATACAGTATATTAGTGTAAGACTCCATTACGGGGATGCACCAAAATCCAAAGTTCTGGACACACTTGGATGTTAAATAAAAATACTTTGTAATAATTATTTTATACTTTCAATAAATAAAATAAGATAATTTATTAAGACTTTATAAAACTAAATCAAGAGCCAAAACGTTACAGATTTTATACAAAAAGCAATAATATAACCACATTTTATTGAGTAGTCGAAAGGCATGACATTGGCATTGGCATGACAGCATAGTAGCACTATTGCAAACAGCAGAAACAAGTATACTACATATAGAAATGTACTGTCTGCATGTTGTTTGACCATACTTCATAAATTCAGTGCATCCATAGTATATTTAAATACACTATTAATTTTGCTTATAAAAAAAAAAACCTTCAACAGTTGTAATTCATTGCTAATTTGTCTTTTGTAAATCCATGTCTTTGGACAGTAGCTACAAAGGGTTTTTCACTAACAAATTAAGTTCATTCATTCATTCATTCATTCATTCATTCATTTTCTTGTCGGCTTAGTCCCTTTATTAATCCGGGGTCGCCACAGCAAAATGAACTCATCCAGCACGTTTTTACGCAGCGGATGCTCTTCCAGCTGCAACCCATCTCTGGGAAACATCCACACATGCATTCACACACACACACTCATACACTACGGACCATTTAGCTTACCCAATTCACCTATACTGCATGTCTTTGGACTGTGGGGGAAACCGGAGCACCCGGTGGAAACCCTCGCGAATGCAGGGAGAACATGCGAACTCCACACAGAAACGCCAACTGAGCCGAGGATCGAACCAGCGACCTTCTTCCTTCGAGGCGACAGCACTACTTACTGCGCTACTGCGTCGCTACACATTATGTTGTCAAAGTCTAATATAACCACAGCAGATTTTTAAACATTAGGAACAGAACAGATGCATACCACATTTGACTATAATATGCATTGATGAAAATAAATAGGAACTAATTCACAGTTACTACTACAAAGTGGCATCATACCATATAGCAATGCAGTGTGTGCCAGGTTTGAGAGATATTTTACAGCATCATTATAAAATGTGTGGTCAGTTTGATTTCTTTAATGAAAAGAGAAATTCAATAAGAACATTAATATTGTAATATTTAGTCACACAATCTATCAAATCATTCTAAATTTGCAGATTTGATGAGCAATAAAATATTTCAGATTATGACACTACATTGACATTGACATCAGTAATCAAATTATTTGCCCTTATCTGAATAAGACAATAGCCCCTTTCACACATACATTTTCCGGAAAGCTTGTATGTGTGAACAGGTCCTTTTTGAAAATACCGGTAAATTCGTTCTGGCTATTTTCCGGAAAGAGAAGTTGTAAGATTACCGGCAATTTGCCGGAATGCTGCGCTGTGTGAACGCAGAAGGAAGATTGCCGTAATAAGCGCGTGCACGTCTAGAACGTGCTGACGTGAGACGTCTGCTTTAGCCAATCACAACAGTCAGACACATTTACGTAGCGCGGTTTGTGAGAATAAAAGCCTTTGAATATTTTTCCAGACACATTTAGCGGCTAGAAGTTAGTCAGATCACGTTTATATGTTCTTCTTAATGCCAACTGTGTAAATAATCATCGATGAGATGCTTATGGTAAGCCGTTCTTTGTTCACCTTCAAGCTTTGCGTGTGCCTGTGAAACAGCCTGTGAGTGCCTGCACACGCACATATTATGAACATCTCGACATGCGAAAGTGATCCTGCGAAAGTTGTTCACAATATTGATCATCCACAGAGTTTGTAATTTAGTCAAATGTTTACAAACACAAGCGCAGCCGTTTAAAGCTCATTTGTGGTGAATGATGTAAGAATTTACCGGTATTTTAGAATGGATGTGTGAATGCTCTTTTCCGGAAAAATTCTGTAACGTCCTCGCCTGTGTGAACAGCGCTTTTTTTTTAATATACCGGTAAAGTTGTTCCGGAAATTTTCCAGATATTTACCGGTATCACTGTGTGAAAGGGGCTAATAGTATGATTAAGGTGTTTACATGAGCTACTTTTTGAATGTTCTTTTCATGATCCCGTTTTAAAAGTTACAGCACACAGATTGATTATCATCATTGCGTCACCGCACTATCCACGTTTCCTCTAGAATTTCATGTAATTTCAAGTGTTTCATTTCATTTTTAATTTTTCGACTTTAACTGCAGTTCTGCACTTTCGCTTTCATTCAGGAACATTTCATGCATGCTCCCTGTGACAAACTGAGGTATCGGATGCAAGTATGAACTGCTGGAAGAGTGTAGTTTTAATGGAATTTAATACCGCACACCTTATGAGAAAAAACCTCCGCATTTCATGATGCAGGTGTCTGTGGCCCTTTACTGACTTGGTAGGTGCAGAGAATAGTGTCAAACACGTGTGTGTATGGACTACCTTGTCACAACATGGGGTGAAATTTCCTACACAACAGTAATATTTTGATTGCGGTGTTTATATGTCTGTACTGCATATAATGTCTGTACAGCAAGAAGGTCGCTGGTTCGAACCTCGGCTCAGTTGGCGTTTCTGTGTGGAGTTTGCATGTTCTCCCTGTGTTCGCGTGGGTTTTCTCCGGGTGCTCCGGTTTCCCCCACAGTCCAAAGACATGCAGTATAGGTGAATTGGGTAGGCTAAATTCTCCGTAGTGTATGTGTGTGTGTGTGGATGTTTCCCAGAGATGGGTTGCGGCTGGAAGGGCATCCGCTTTGTAAAAAAAACGTGCTGGATAAATTGGCGGTTCATTCTGCTGTGGCGACCCAGGATTAATAAAGGGACTAAGCCGACAAGAAAATGAATGAATGAATGAATAAAATGCAAAATGTGATTAAATGTATTGTTTGCTGATTAAATGTGTTGCTTTATTGCCAAAATGCCTTTAAATACATCACAACAGTTCTGAGACAAAAGGCATAATTAATAGTTATAAACTTGCAATTGCAAGAAAAAAATAATAGTAAGATAAAAAAAATTATCTGATGATCTGAAACATTAAAGTGTGTTAAATAAGCAAAAAAAGAAATCAATAAGGGGCAAACTATTTTCTACACCACTGTTTATTTATTGTGTCTGTGTGTGTTGGTTCAGTGGCAGAAACAGGCCATAGAAGTGTCCAGGAACACACATAACCTTCAATAACTCCCAACATTAAAACATAATGGAAATTTCAAGAGATTTGCAATTCCTTCCCACCTCCAAAGCATTGCAGACTTACTGAATAATAGTGCAATATCCCACAGTTCAACAGTTGAATTACACTATTCCCCAAAGACTTGCTTCTCTTGACCTTCTCCTTATTCCAGTAACCCCTTTAAATGTGTGAATACATTAATAAATAATGTTAGTAATATTACATCTACCGCATGTGTAGCATGCTGAAGCCCCTTTCCTTTTCCTTTTGTCGCCTCTAATGAAGCAGCAGCCAATATGACGAATGCAAAACCAAAAACAGAGTTTGTTAAACTCTATAGAGAAGGCCAGCATTCAGCAGACATTACTGGATTAACTGTCCGTGGGAAAGTTGCCAGTGGCCTCTATTCCATTGATCCCGCTCAATAATTTATCAGCGGTGAATAATTCATCTCCAACAGAGAACTCAGGATCCACGAGGGATCTCTGTTTTCCCTCATTTGTCTCATGAATTCATTGGCAGGGTACACGGTGAACTCTGAATTGACTTTTTGTGCGAGCGTGTGTTTGTACGTGTGACAGTGTTTGATGGCTCTGTTGTGTGGAGTAGATCGTCTTGCATTGAAATCTTCATTCAGTGTGTTTATGTAACCTCCTCTGCTAAGTCACGGTGATAAATCAAGCCGACGTTATTATGCCTTGTGCAGGTTTGTGTATATTGGTTTTTAAAAGCTTTTTTTTTTCTTCTGTCTGTAGGTTGCGGCAGTGAATAAAGCAGGAGTTGGACCATTTAGCCAGTCTCTGTACTACAAAACAGCAGAGGCCCGTAAGCAGCATTCATATGCCTTATTCAAAACTGAGCTTCTTTGGCGTGTAAAGATGTAATATATTGTAATGTGTGTATTTATGTAATGTATTGTAATATATGTAATATATTGTAATGTGCGCATTTATTATGTATGGCCATACACCAAAGCGCTTTACAATCATGAAGGAGGGGGGGGGGGTCTCTCCACACCACCACCAGTGTGCAGCATCCACTTGGATGATGCAACGGCAGCCACAGGACAATGGCCCCTGTGTGCTTACCAAACACCAGCTATTGGTGGAGTGGAGAGACAGTGATAGGCCAATTCAGTGGATGGGAATGATTGGGAGGCCATGATCGTAAGGGCCAATTGAGGGACTTTGGCTAGGACACCGGAGTTACACCCCTACTCTTTACGAGAAGTGCCATGGCATTTTTAATGACCATAGAGAGTCAGGACCTCAGTTTAACGTCTTTCAAAAGACAGCGCCTACTTACAGTATAGTGTCTCCTTCACTTTTACTGAGCCATTAGGACTCACACAAACTGCAGGTTGAGCGCCTCCTGCTGGCCTCATTAACATCACTTCCCATCCAGATACTGACCAGGCTCAGCCCTGCTTAGCTTCAGTGAGTAAAGCCTGATTTATACTTCTGCGTCAAGTGACCAGCGTAACCCACGGCGCATGCAACGCACGTGGCTGTGCATTTATACTTCTGCGCGCTGTCTCTGTTGGTCTGCATTAACACTTCCGAAACGCTAGTTGGCAGTGAGGTGTAAATCTTACTCTGTGTCGAGTTTCTTTGCTGCTTTTTTGCGTTTCCTGAACACTTCGGGGATGTACATGTGGCTCAAACTCGCTCATTTTGAGGCAGGAACCGGCGGACGTGCAACATTTAACTATGAGGTAAACACAAAACCAAACTTTCCATCTGGAGCTCCTTAACGGGACTCCACACTTGTAAACAATCGCTCGCACCAATCACGCGGCTCTCCGTCCCGCCCAGACTCCTCAGCGCTACCAAGCCGACCAATCACAGAGCTTGCGCTACTCGTTGTTGCGACGTGTAGTTACATTTTTTGAGAGGTGCAAGTCAGTGACGCCGATGGCCACGGCGAAGGGCTATGCGTCAGCGCCGTAGCATACGCCGGCGTTTGACGCAGAAGTATAAATCAGCCTTAACAGTCTTGGGCTGCAGGGTGATATGGCTGTGGCAGCCATGACTTTAAAGACTTAGTCCTCATTCACTTTTCATGCGTACATTTGAACTCACAAAACTCTTCTGCCTAATTCACAACCAGGTGTAAAGTAAATAATTACAAATACTCAAATGACTATAATCGAGTAGTTTTTCTCAGGAATTGTAATTTGCTAAGTATTTTTAAAAATGTGTCCTTTTACTTTCCCTTGAGTACATTTTATTGCACTACTTTCCTTCAACCTGCAGTCACTACTTTATTTTTCTTGTCTATGGGGATTTAAAAAATCAGTCCTGCAAATCCAGTTATCAAATCGCACATAAGGTGAATCGTCACATAATGAACTACCTCAAGTCATGGGTGCTTTATTATTGCAGCAAACTGTTTAGAAGCATTAAAAGTGTCCAAGAAGATGTTCAAAATCTTTACACGCAATGACACAGACTGTTTAGATGCAGGTCACTGATGAGAAGATGACAGATGTTTTCTGTATGATGACCGAAATGGCCTCAAACACCCAGCAGGCAAAGGACGTTATCATGATGTCAGATTGACGTTTGAACCCAAATGTCATGGATGTTGCTTTTTATTTGGAAATGAAAATCGGGTTGAGAACTCAAAGTCAGGCCAACATCAGTCTCCAAGGTCTAACCTAAAATCAACCAAATATCAACTTGTAATGATGTTACAGCTTGACGTTGTGTTGATGTTCCTACTATGAAATCTATCAGGGGTTGGATTTTGGTTGCCATACCTGATAAACAAAAGTCAGTATTTGATGTCAATATGATGTTGGCTTAAGATGTTTGCTCGACGTTGGATTTTAGCCACTTTCTAACAACATAAAATAAACCATATATCAACTTCATTTAACGTCATTATTGGACATCAAAATATCATTGTCCTTAGATGCTGGCTAGATGTTGAATATTGGTTACCTGACATCACAACATAAATCAAACCTAATATTAACATCACATGTTTTGACCCATGTGTTTATATTGATTCTCACAGCTCCTGGTCTGGTGTCGAATCTCACAGCGTTTGCTGAGGATCACACATCAGTCATTGTGACCTGGTTTCTCCCTGTACGTATTAATGGCCTCATCACTAAGTTTGCAGTGAAAGTCAAGCATGCTCGAACAGGCCAGATCGTCCGCACGAAGGAACTGAACGCTGAGGATATCATGAACGGAGCCTTGCCTCACTGCAACGTACGTCTTTATTTGTTTATGTCACACTGGACCACAAAAACAAGCCTCAAAAATGTCAGTTTTTATATTGATGTATAATTATAATTGCTCAGTCATGTACTTTGTCAAGACGGGACAATTTTTGGCCCAGATACGACTATTTGAAAATGTTAAATCTGAGAAAATACTGAGGAAATTGTGTTTATTAGGTCGAAATTAACTTCTCAGCGATGCACATTGGCAATCAAAAATTGGGTTTTGATGTATTTATTATATGGTTGGAAATGTACAACCCCAAATCTTACAAAGTTTGCACAGTATGGAAAACGTGAATAAAAAAGAATGTAGTGGTTTCCAAATTTACTTTGACTTGTAGTTTATTGCAGACAATATGAACACAAAATATTTTGTTTTGTCTGGTCAACTTCATTTCATTTGTAAATATTCATCCTTTCCTGACATTCAGACCTGCAACACATTTTAAAAAAGTTGGGACAGAAGAATTTTAGAGCTAGTAATCGGGTAAATTAATTAAATAATGATGTGATTTGAAACAGTTGATTTCAACAGCTTATTGTAGTTATGATTTGGTACAAAAACAGCATCCAAGAAAGGAATAGTCCTTTAGGAGCAAAGATGGGCCGAGGATTGCCAATTTGTCAACAATTACGTGAGAAAATTATTGAAATGTTTAAAAACAAAGTTCCTTATAGAAACATAGGAAGACATTTGAATATTTCAGCTTTAACAGTGCATAACATACAGTAGTTAAAGATTCAAGGAATCTGGAGGAGCTTCAGTGTACAAGGATGCAATTCTAAGCTGGACAACCGTGATCTCTGATCCCTCAGGCATCACTGCATCAAGACTCCTCACTCATCTATAAGCGATATCACCACATGGGCTCAGAACTGCTTTTGCAAAATTTGTCAAGTATCACGATATGTAGTTACATCCACAAATGCCAGTTAAAAACTGTATTATGCCAAAAAGAAGCCCTATGTTAACAGTGTCCAGAGGCGCAGTCGACTTCTTTGGGCTCGATGGGCATCCATCATGGACCATCACCCTGTAGAAACATGTACTGTGGTCAGATGAATCAGAATATAGGTATTTTGGGGGAGAAAATAGACAACATGTGCTCCGGACCAAAGAAGAAAAGGATCATCCAGACTGTTACTAGCAACAAGTCTAAAAGCCAGGGTTTGTCATGGTATGGGGTTGTGTCAGTGCCTTGGCAAAGGTAACTTCAACTTCTGTGATGGCACCATTAATGGTGAAAAGCACATAGAGATATTGGAGCACAATATGCTTCCTTCTTTTCCAGGAACACCCATGCATATTTCAGCAAGACAATGCAAAACCACATTCTGCACACATTACAAAGTCCAGGTTGCGGAGGAAGAGGATACAGGTAATTGACTGGCCTGTCTGCAATCCTGACCTGTCTCCAATAGAGAATCGTGGTGCATTTTGAAGCTCAAGATGCAGCAACGATGACTCCGTACTATTGCCCATCTTGTTTTCAGGAAGAATAAGACAAAATGGCACATGAAACACTTCCTCACTTGTTGTCCCTAAACATCATTTAAGTGTTGTGAAAAGACATGGCAACATTACAAATTGTTAATGCTTTACTGTTGCAACTTTTTTTAAATGTGTTGCAAGAACCAAAATTTAATTATGTGTTCAAAAAAGAAAAATCACGATGAACACATTAAATAATGTCCATTGTCTAAAAAGAAATACAAGTCAAAGTAAATTTAGAAATCACTTCTTTCTTTTTTTATTTGCGTTTTCATATTGTCCCAACTTTTTCTGATTTGGGTTTTGTTATTATTTTTATATTAAGTTATTATTTTTTAACCAATACAATGCATTTTTGCAATTGCCAAAATTATACCTGTGCAACATACGATCTTTTGTGGTCCAGGGTCACATATGTGAAGTCATTCAGAAGAAACCAAAGTGGTGTGTGCATTGATCTATCAATCTTTTGTAATTAATTGTTGTGTTTAATGTGAATTTAGGATGCTGCAGATATTTTATCCCGTGGGACTCCGAGCCCATCCCAGACTTCCCAGTTGACATCTGCTGTGTTGCCCCCGATTACACTGTCAGCAGTTCCACCCGCCTCCATCTGGAGTGTACCAATCAGTGTGAAGATTGATGAGCTCCGCCCCTACACTCCTTATGTGTTTGAGGTCTCCGCCTTCACCAGTGACGGGGAGGGCCAGATCGCCAGCACTATGGTCCGCATGCCAGAGGCTGGTTAGTGTTCATACACTTAATTCTCAAAAAATATATCTACATAGACATCAGTTTTAAAGTTTAGAGTTTGAAAACAAAAAAAATATTTTGTTCAGCTAGTGTGTGGTTAATTTATTTGAAAACTGAAAGCAATTTAGAATGTTTCACTTTTGTGAGCTTGAAATGTCTTTTTTATTTTGGTTAATTGTATGTTTTTAATTATATTTATTTTGAGATTTCCATGCATATATTCTAGATACTTACATGGCATATACAAGTAAATGAATAATTAATATTGATAATAATAAGAAATTGTAATGAAGGATTGTGTGAAATTCAAGACTGAAGTAATACATTTAAATACAAATCTGTTCATTTAAAGGACACCTGTAATGAAAATCATCTTTTTACAGCAGTGGATATTAATGTGCATTCTGTCGCGTTTGCCATGCGAAAACAGTGCAAAGTTAAGCGTGTGTGTGTGTGTGTATGTGTGTGTGTGAGTGAGTGTGTGTGTGTGTGTGTGTGTCTGTCTGTCTGTCTGTCTGAACTTTATAACAACTTTGTGTGTGACTCACCGAAAGGTTTGAATGAACTCCTCAACAAATACATCAAATAATCATTGGGAAAGTTTTTACTGTAGTATTTCTCACGGACGTCACATGAGATCTGCTTCCTTCATGTCTTTCACTGTGCTGTTTATCTGATGCAACCAAGGTGGAGATTGAGGCACACTCTGACAGGCTTGTGGGAATGGTGGGCGAGGAGAACCAGCATTAAAGGCACAGGCCACAAAAACAGCTACTAGTGTGTTCAGAGCAGAAAATTCCAATATGCTGGAAGATATAATAAATAATCTGATGGGTGTTTTGACTTTTCTTAAATCTTGAAAAAGGGGTAAAATAGGTGCTCTTTTAAATTGTAAAACAACAAATCACAATATTAAAAAGACTGTATTTGTATAAATAGGGTCTTGGTCAAGAATAAAAGACATTTTTCAAAACATTTAAAATTTTACACTACAATTTGACATTTAAAATGATACTTTTTTTCAGACCTGCACTTTTTATGTACAATTGATAATCATATAAAATGTTATTTCATTTTGAAATGTTAAATATTACTGTGGTTGACTGATTAGCAAAGCCCTGTAGTTGCATGTGAAACACCATGACAAAAATGTTTACAATTGTTATTTCACAATTATAGCATTAGATGATATAATAATAGCATGAAATGATTTTGTTTTAAATATGCCTGACAAGAGATATAAAACTGTTGTTACACTGAATGACATTTAAGTGAGTGTCTTCTGATGATTCGTTATCGTTAATTATTGTTTTTGCATTATTTTTTTATTTATGTTTACACCTTAAATGCTGCCTAAAAATAATTTGTGTTGCAGCCCCTGAAGACCCACCGCAAAATGTAGTTTTAAGAAACATTACTTCTAAATCCGTGTCTCTAACTTGGGAGCCTCCAAAGATCATCACAGGACGCTTCAGTTATGTTATCCAGCTTCACAGCTCTGAAGGTAACCTTTACTAGCATCAGTTCAGTCCATTGACAGTAACAATTATTTTATCAGAGAGACACCACGTCACTAAATACTGTACCTAAACCATAGTGGAGTTTATAAAGCTGTGTGACATTAAATGTAGCACATTCAAAGCACATCCTCTGATTTTTTTTTTTGAATGCATCTGCGTGTTTCAGGGTTGATTAGTGAGAACAGCACAATCGATCAGATGTTTATTTACACTGGACTGACTCCATACACAACATACTACATCCATGTGATGGCCAAATCAGCAGGTGCCGCAGGACCAGCAGCAGTGATCAACATTACAACACTAGCAGAAGGTAAAAAATATATACAGTGTGCAAAGTTTTGATTCTCAAAAAACATTCAATGGGATCCGGTACAATGAGAAGTGCATGTCTGGAGTTTATTTTTTGTCACATTAGTCAGTACCAAAAGGCAGAAGTTTATGTATTTTAATAAAATGAAGATGTTTGCTTTGTATTCCTTGTGTTGTTGGGACGAAATGGCCTCCCAAAAGTATAGCAATATATAAACATTGTGATCTTGTGGGGACATTTTTGGTCTCTATGAGTAAAATAGCTCATAAACCAAACAGAATAAAGTATTTTGAAAATGTTAAAATTGGTGGTTGGCCGTTATCATCATTAACGTGAGACTCTTATTGCGCAATAAAATCGCCTCTAATCTATTCTTGTAGGTTGGGTTGAGAGCTAGGTCTGTTCTACACAAGCTATGGTTACTTTCTCCTTGATATTTTAGCGCAACTGTATACCTGACTGGTGAGCCATCTGACAAAAAAGTGCCCTTCTAAATTAAATCAGCAGGATGCCTGACTTTACCTGCAGTTCGGCAGTTTCACTTTTAACATTTTATTCATGCTGCCATGACAAACTGGGGTATTAGACGCAAATAAGGAGTAAGGACTGGAGAGAGTGTTATGGAATTTAATATCGCACGCCACATGGAAAAAAAAAAACTTCCGCATTTTGCAATGTGTGTGTGCGGTCCTTTACTGACAGAAGCTTGTGTGGAGCTTGTCGGAAAATATGGCAAACATTCCTACATGACGGTATTAGTTTGATCGCAGTGTTTACTTCAATAATGCCTCTAATATCTGCATACTCCACATGTCTTCATTCCATTTCTGTTTAGTTCAGTTATGACTTTAGTCGGATAAAGGTGATCAAAAATCGCTGTTTGGAGCTTATATAGGCCTACAGTTCACAGTTCATGTTTAACTGAATAAACAGTGAGTAAACACAAGTACATCTTATTGAACATCATTCATTTTCATCGGCAATTATTATAGTAGAACAGTTTCTCAAGCAGTTTGTGATGCATTTTGGAGACAGGAAATGAGCCCCTGGTCTAATGAGCCACCTCGCCAGAGAAACCCGTTCTCAAAGACTTATCATTTTGGTAGCACATACATTCTGAATGGTTTCAGCAGAATTCAAATGAGCCATTTTTATCTATATTGATTCTTAAAATAATCTAGGTAAAAAGAATTCATCTATGCCCACCTATAATATATATATATATATATATATATATATATATATATATATATATATATATATATATATATATATATATATATATATATATATATATACATACATACATACATACATACATACATACATACATACATATATATGATAATACGTGTATATATATATATATATATATATATATATATATATATTACAAATAAATAAAATTGTTTTTATTATCATACAATGATTATTTTAAATAAATAACAGAAATTAATCCTAAATGTAACTGTAAAACAATGTAAAGACACAACTGGAGTGATATGCTAAGAAATCTTTTGCATGAATTTTAATGACAAATCTATAGAATACAAAAAAAAATTGTGTTTTATGTAATTATCTGTTGTCTTTTCCTTGACCCATGGCTGAGAATTAATGTTATGAAGTCTTACCTCTCTGGCTTGTTGTCCCTCCTTTATGCTTCATAGCCATGCTTAGCCAAAATAAGATCATCATCATCATATTATGACTTTAGTTTTGTCGACTTGCAAAACTCGCTGCATGCCAACACTTCTGCATAAAAGTTAATCCGGTTTTATAGCGCATGAGCACCGTGTATTTTATCAGGACGCGCAGCGCACGGGAATGGTTTTCTGCATGTATGCGTCAATTTGTTTTCACCAGCGCTGTTTTGGTTGCACATAGGGAACAACAAACGCATATGCAAAAGATGCCAAATGTGAATGGCCTCTTACGTCTTCATTCTGGGATTACCACTAAAAATTAATACGCTTGCATAAAAAAAATCCTGTCTCAAAGCTTTTACTGTCTGGGGCTTGTTTTTTTTGCACCGTACCCTGTGCCGCCCTGCCAGAAAGATGCCGCCCTGGGCGATCGCCCATATTGCCCATGCCTAAATCCGCCACTGATTATAAGGAATGTAACATTTGAAAAAGCAAAGCCACATTCGCTGTATGAAAATGTTATTACCTCAACCCTAAAAAGACTTGCTTAACCAAATTATGTTGTGCTGACTGCAATTTAAAGAAGCACTTAATCACTTTAGACTCCGCTGATGTAGAATTGCTTTTGTTTTTCCCCCATTTTTATATGACCCAGCAAACCTTCAGTCTACAAATTCATCTCTATATTCTGCAACAGTGGAGAATTAATGGCTTGTTTAGTTTTGTACAGACATGCAGCCAGTGATGATTGATTGTTGGTTTTGTGTGTTTTCTATCAATGCTTGATGGTGACATTGTGAAGCGTGTCATAGAGAACAATTAATTTTGTGACTCATCTGTATGGAGAATCTCTTCCCGAAAGGCTCGGGGAATAAGTGTTTGTGACTTCTCTAGTATTCAGACTCCAGGGTCAAAATAAGCGAGGGTTATAAATGAGATTTATATTTTGCTGGACTGGGTGTAATTACTTCTGTCTGCAAAATCCGCTATCTCTAATTATACCTTTAATTGGGTTAATTTAGCTGGAGGAAATGACTTTTTTTTCATGCCGAGCCAGTTGGCGCCGCGTTTGTGAATGCTCATTAAATGCACAGAAAAACAAGAAAGGTTATTTGTTCATTTAGGGTTGCTTTTATCTAAAATTAGATTTCGGTTGAAGGCCTCAAAGCATCCGCTGCCGAAAATGTGTGATAAATAAAGGGTGGCCTTTTTCTCTGTACAAATGGGAAAATTGAAACTGTTCTCTCTAATGAACATTAGGTGGGCACATTAAAAGATTTTGGTCGTATTCTTTCATTATTCAATCATTCAGTCAGTCATTCATTCATCCATTTGTTCATTCATTCGTTCATTCATCCATTGATTAAGCAAGGATAGATTAAACTTATTTTACAAATGTGACACTGGGTGACGCAGTGGCGCAGTAGGTAGTGCTGTCGCCTCACAGCAAGAAGGTCGCTGGTTCGATCCTCTGCTCAGTTGGGGTTTCTGTGTGGAGTTTGCATGTTCTCCCTGCGTTCGCGTGGGTTTCCTCTGGGTCCTCCAGTTTCCCTCACAGTCCAAAGACATGCTGTACAAGTGAAATGGGTGAGCTAAATTGTCCATAGTGTATGAGTGTGTGTGTGGATGTTTCCCAGAGATGGTTTGCGGCTGGAAGGGCATCCGCTGCGTAAAAATGTGCTAATGAATGAATGAAGTGACAGTAGTTAGATTTTCTGACTGAACTTTTTAAAGAATTATTGTTTCTACAAAATAATTAAAGATATAAGTAAATAACAAAAATAGTTATTGTAAGTTTCTTGATCAAATGTGTATAACAGATCAAAGAAAATCAACCAATTGTCTTTTTTTTTTAGGAAAGACAATACAAAGAAGACATCTGTATCCTTAAGCATGCTTTGTGAATATCAAAACTAAATGAAGAGTTCAGATGCAAAACCCTCTAAATCCATCAGACCTCTTTTCTTGTAAATGAGCATTTTCTATAAGGCTTTTCTTATAAGGTTCAGAAGTTTCATTTTATATGTAATGAAAAGGTTATAGTTAGTAAATAAAATACCTTTTTTTTTTTTTAAATGTCACTTTAGACAATTCTTTTTTATTTTAACAAGGTCAATTTTCTTTTTCTTTAAAACCAGCTAAATCCACACACACACACACACACACACACACACACACACACACACACACACACACACACACACACACACACACACACACACACACACACACACATATATATATATATATATATATATATATATATATATATATATATATATATATATATATATATATATATATATATATATATATATAAATTTAAATATATAAAGCTGTCACGTAAATGACGGTTCATTCCGCTGTGATAAACCAGGGAAAAAGCAGAAGGAAAATGAATAAATGAAATCTGTCAAGTAAGTGCATTAATTGATAACGTTAAAACTGACATTAAATAAATCTTAACAATCTGTTGGCATTTCTGATATCTAGGATTTAGATTTAATGTAAGGAGAACAATGTAAACATTGCAAACATTGTAATCTAAGTTGAGTTGCTATTTAATGTAGCTATAGTTAATCGGACTCATTCAAAGTAGCGTTGCTGCGCAAAAACACGTTATGAAAACATGCTACACTTCGGAATACACATTGTGTTTTCTTTTTCTTGTAATGCACAGAGTTTTGAGGTAAGGGACATTTCCATTTGTCATTCACTGACAGTGGGACAGGCTCATCCAGCTCATCAAACTCCGTCTTTTAAAATCAAAAGCGGAATAAAACAGTTTCCTCATAAAAGTGGGCGTATCAGCGCTGCTACATTGAAAACATATGATTCGATTCACGCTTCTGATCCAAGGATCTGGCGGCTTTTGCTGTCAAAGCCAGGTGGCATTTAGCGGCTTTTGTGAACAAACTGTTATTTCTGAATGCGCTGATGCTGGGATTTATATGATTTAAAACAAATCTATTTGTTGATGGTGTAGTATTTGCCTAAAGCATTCACTCAATGTCATTAGCTCATTTTTGGCGGAAGTGGAACTTAGCAGCTTTTGCATCTGAACTCTTCAAATATTCTTTGTGGTTTACACTTTTATTAGAAATAAATTTGCACATTTGTCTTTAATATTACTGAATTTTCGTATTTCTTTTTTTTTTTTTTTTTTTTTGTGAAGGACTTGAAGGTATTATATTTCTGTGCTGCAGTCACTGGAGGTTCTAAAAGCCCTGTTTAAAGAGATGTGAAAATATACTTTATATATATATATATTTTTAAATATGAACGTTTACTCATTATTTACTCTCCCTCAAGTGGTTCCCAACCTTTATGAGTTTCTTTCTTCTGTTGAATGCAAAATAATATATTTTAAAGAAAGCTAGAAACCATTGACTTTCATAGTAGGACAAACAAATAATATGTGAGTCAATGGTTGCTTATTTTAAGCTTTCTTTAAAATGTCTTCTTTTGTGTTCAACAGAAGAAAGAAGCTCATAAAAGTTTTGAAATTAGTAAAAGAATAAGTAAATGATGACTTTTTCATTTTTTGCTGAACTATCCCTTTAAGTACACTGCAAGGTGTGTTCATACTTGTGTGTTTTTATTTCCATGTCAGCCCCGAGCGCAGTGTCTCTTCTGAAAGCAGAGGCTGTGGACTCCACATCAGTCCGTCTGTCCTGGCGATCCCCAATCCAACCCAATGGTCTGATCACTCACTACCGCATTCTGGTGCTGTACCATGATACACTTGTACAGGACATCACCCTGAGAGGACAGGTGACCACTCAATAAACTACACAAGTGTTCATATTTCAATATCCAATTTATTTATATTAATTGTTTAATTATCGGCATGAGTTAAGTCTCCTTTTTGTGCCTGTAAATATAAATAGGGCTGAAGAATATATTGTTTCTGTATTGATATTGCAATAAGTACATAAGCAATAGTCAAATCACAGGATATTATAACCGGTGTTATAAACGAGCAGGAGCCACTTTTAAAAACTTATACAGTCATCCCAACGTTCAACCAGGGTGCGAATTACACATCGACGATCAGGGGAGTCGGGTTTTTGGGTTATGTTTGGTAATATGCCTCGGTGAACCAAATTTAAATATTTAATTCAATTACATCTAGTTTATCAAACTTGTTATTATTTTCATTGCTTTGAGGGATATTGACTTGTTCACAATGACATTTGTGATATTAAATAGACGGTGACAGGTTTGCTTTCCTGCACCTATTTATAGATGATCATGAAAGACTGCATGTATTTTTAATTTTACTGTTTAACTTCCATGTGCAAGCAAGTATATAATCAAATACAAACTATAGATCTAGTTTTTACAAACACCTATAAACGCCTTTATTAAAGAAACACGCACAAACAACACTTACACTGTCTGTCGGTGCTCTAGATTTGCCGGTTTCAAACTGATGAATTAATATTTCTGATGCAAACATGCATTCACAATGGTTTGAACCATAGTAGGGGTGGTAAAATATATATCTATAATTTTAATTCTTAATATTATTTAAGATGCAGATCGGAGCAAACTATTTCTTTACTATTAAACCGCAGACCCTTCCATACATCTTGTTTTGATGTTCTTAAGGGGGGATTAAACATTAATTAGGGGTGTCAGAATCTCCCAAACCCCCCTGCAATTCGCACCCTGCGTTCAACCATAAAGTTACCATGGGCATGCCAACCTGATTTCACCAAGTAGGACATGTTCCTGCATAAACATCTATGCTGATCTTGTAACAATATTCCAATGCAGCCTGTTCTCATGAGGAAATGTAAGTATTTTACGTTTTGTCAGTTTAGTGGCTAATTCAGTCGTACGAAAATGTAGGATTTAAAAAGGAGGCATGGCACCAAATCCCACCCCTAACCCCAACTGTCATTGGGGGATGAGCAAATCGTACTAAATTGTACGATTTAGATCATACAAATTCATACGAATTAGCCACTAAATCAAGTTACATCATCTAAGTTACGAATTGCTGTGAGATTGCGTTGACCGATCAGAATTAAGGGAGATGTTTACTGTTTATGTTAAGTTAGGGTTATGCTCTTCTACATGATTGTTATTCAACTATTATTCCCTCTGATTTTGGGAATAATTTACAGTTATGGTTTGGTTTAGGGGTAGGGAATAGGTATGGATTACATTTTCCAAAAAAAATGATGTTCCAGGATCAACACAGATGTTAATCCAGGATCACATCGTACTTGGCAAAATAATGAAGATATTAAGATAATAATAAAGGCATAAGAAATTACACTTGTAACTTAATTGTGAGATTAAATGTATTTGTGTTTATTTATACAATGAAGACTATACAGTGTCATTTTACATTTGATTATTAGATTTGTGTATCTGTAAATCCAGAAAATTAAAAATCACAGTGTATTTTATTTGTATATTATTGCTCTACTGTGTTTATGAGTTTTTGTTATCAGTTTATTATATTTTAGGCGCACTTCCTTACAAAACCATCCTAATGTATATAAAATTGTGAATATATTGTTATATTCAGAATTTTAATAATATTGTCTGGGGAAATTATACTCAGTATCGCAATATACAGTTGAAGTAAGAATTATTAGCCCCCTTTTAAAATTTGTTTTCTTTTTTAAATATTTGCCAAATGATGTTTAACAGAGCAAGGAAATTTTCACAGTATATCTGATAATATTTTTTTTTTCTTCTGGAGAAAGTCTTATTTGTTTTATTTTGGCAAAAAAAGCTTTTTTTTTTTTTTTACATTTTAGTGACAAAATTATTAGCCCTTTTAAGCTATATGTTTTTGTGATAGTCTACAGAACAAACCATCATTATACAATAACTTGCCTAATTACTCTAACCTGCCTAGTTAACCTAATTAACCTAGTTAGGCCTTTAAATGTCACTTTTAGCTGTATAGAAGTGTCTTGAAAAATATCTAGTCAAATATTCTGTACTGTCATTATGGCAAAGATAAAATAAATCAGTTATTAGAAATGAGTTATGAAAACTATTATGTTTAGAAATGTGTTGAATCTTCTCTCTGTTTAACAGAAATTGGGCGAAAAAATAAACAGGGTGCTAATAATTCAGGGGGCTAATATTTCTGACTTCATCTGTATGCATTTATATATTGATTAAAAATAAAAGATTGCAATGTCAGTTAAATAAAAGATCGCAATGTCAGCACCGTGCAGCCCTAAATCCGAATATACTGATTTAACATATACTATAAATTACTTGAATGAGATTTCAGAGGAGGATAAATTGACTCGAGTTTAGGGTTCTAACAGCCTGTGGAGCCCTCAACTTCAGACAACTTACCCTCTTTGAACGTGCGCAGCTGTAAGTAAACACTGACTTCATTGAACAATTTTAAATCATCTTATTGTATCAGCTGTAATCATTTATAAATAAATTAAAATGTATTCTGGTGTACATTCACTTACACGAGGTGTCTACACAAATAATATAAATCAACCCCCTGGTCTGAATGTTGACGTGCATATGTGCAATTTTATTGTGTTACAGAATCTCATTTCTCCACTTCGTCGCAATGCAAGGTCACTTGACTTCACCACAGAATCTGTGTTTACTCTTACCTCACATGAAACATTTTCCACTCTGGGTCGTGATTTTACCAACACTGATACAGAAGCACCATCAGCCCTTCCTCTGACCCCGAGTACCCCCCACACTCCTCCACCATGGCTCACGGTGACCCACGACAGAACCGACGCATCCGTTCAGACTCAGACTGATGCTGTAACTGAAGACCTGACGACTGAACACCCACCTGTCACTCCAGGCACTGACCAATCATCTGTGAACATAAGCCCCTCCCACCCACATCGAGTCACCAGGTCGACTGGCTCAGACTCCACCCAGCAGGAGACCAACCCTCCAATCAGTGCAGCCACCACTGTCGGCATAGAGAGTAAAATAACTCTATTCACTTACAATTGAAGTCAGAATTATTAGCCCCCCTGTTTATTTTTCCTCTAATTTCTTTTTAACGGAGAGAATACTTTTTTCAACACATTTCTAAACACTATAGTTCTGATAACTAATTCCTAATAACAGATTTCTTTTATCTTTGCCATTTTGACAGTAAATTATATTTTACTGGATATTGTTCAGTATACCAGTATTCAGCTTAAAACTGACATTTAAAGACTTAACTAGGCTAATTAAGCAAGTTAGAGTAATTAGGCAAGTCATTGTATATTGATGGTTTTTGTTCTGAAGACAATCGAAAACAAATATTGCTTAAGGGGGCTAATAATATTGACCCTAAAATCATATTTTAAAAATTAAAAACTGCTTTTATTCTAGCCGAAATAAAATAAATAAGACTTAATGCAGAAGAAAAAATATAGAAAACACTGCTTAAAATTCCTTGCTCTGTTAAACATCACTTGGGAAATAATTTTAAAAATTCACAGGAAGGCGAATAATTTTGACTTCTACTCTACATTTTAAGGTTTTGTGGTTTGGTTGAAATATTTCTGTCAAAATGACAATCATAATAAGTAACAGGTTTGAATGGGGTCTTTTAGCAATTTGACCCACAAATCTAAGATAAGGAGGCAAAATACTAGTTCCTTCATCCTTGCTTTAGTCTTTGACCTAATGACAGTAGATTGTTACTTAATTCACTTTGATTTATGCAACATATTTTCTTAATAAACTAAATAATACTGTAATAATAATGTAAGTGACATGAAAATAAATAAACACAATTGAATACAAAATTATTAGCCATCCTGTGAAAATGCCATTCTTTTTCAAAAAATTTCCAAATGCTGTATAGAGGAGTTTTTTTTTTCAACACATTTTTTTACATAATATTTTAATAACTAATGTCTTATTTATTTTCCCATGATGACAGTAAATAATATTTTACTAAATATTTGCAAGATACTAGTATTCAGAATAAAGTGACATTTAAAGGCTTAACTAAGATAGGTGTTTATTAGTCAAGTCATTGTAAAAGAGTGGTTTGTTCTGAATCCAATCAAAAAAAATTCTAATAAAATTTACCCTACATAATATTAGTATTTTTTTAAACTGCTTTAAATCCAGCCAAAGGAGAAATAAAAATCCTGCTTTTAATCCAACACTTACTCTGGTCCCCCGGGCTCTGCACTAGTTGGACATTGCAACCTGCAGAACCTGGGAATTTAAGAAAAAAAGAAAAAAGAAAACTAATAAAACAAAATACAACAGGAAATGCTGTGTAAAATTCCATCCTCTGTTGAACATTACTTGGAAAATATTTTTTTAATTATATAATTTTCACAAGAGGGCTAACAGTTTTGTTTATAAAACTATACATAAAAACAGAAAACAAATTTTTAAAGGTGCTGTTGACTTGAAATTTTCACCAGATGTTGATAACAACAAAATTAACCCATATATGCACATAAAACAAACTAATTTGTTTACTAATTAAGTTCTTTGTAATAAAAGGAAATGACACAGGGAAAAAGTATTGAACACATGAAGAAAGGGAGGTGTAAAAAGGCAGTGAAAGCCCAGACAGCAGCTGAAATCTCTCAGTAGTTCTTCAGCAACCCTCTGCCCTTCCTCAGTGTAAATTAAAATTAGCTACTTCAGTTCAACATCTGCATTAGCAGGAGGATGAAGATGACAGCAGAGTGGACTTTTCAGCAAGACAATGATTCAAAACACAGCCAAGGACACTCTCAAATGCTTTCAGAGAAAGAAAATCAAGCTGTAGAATGGCCCAGCCAATCACCTGACTTTAGTCCAATAGAAAAGACTAAATAAGTTCAGATTTGATAAACAAGACCCACAGAACCATCAAGATTTTTACACTCTGTTGAAGTCTGTGAAAAACTCACACCTGAGCAATGCATGTGACTCCATATGAGATATGTCTTTAAGCTGCCATCACCAAAATATCCTTTTATATAAAGTATTAAATACGCTTCAGAAGTTCAGGACTTTCTCCTTTCGTTATTTCATTGTTATTACACAAAACTGATTTTTCAGATTTCTTGTTTTGTTTTGTTTTTATGTTTGTATTGTTTGGGATTTTACCAAAATCTGCTTCAATTCCATGTCAGCAGCTTCTTTAGAAATATTAAAAGGAAAGAACATGACTTATTTAATACTTATTTCTCTGTTGTACATACAAACATTTAGTTTAATCAAATGTAAAAAAAAAATAATAATAATTCAATCAAAGTTTTTAATGTTATGAAGCTAGATGAGGTTCTATGAAGTCTTTACTGAATATTTACTTAAAATTCCAATAGAGAAAATCAACATGAACATTTAAAATGTAGCCAGTCATTGTTGCCCCCTGTTATCCATGTTCTGATTCTTTGTGCTGTTTTTTGATTACCAGTCCTACCAGCCACTGAGGTGTCAGCAGACCTGTCATCTGATCAAATCACGCATGTGGTTCGAAGACTGAGTCCGTTCACCGAATACAAATTTAGCGTGTCAGCCAAAAACATCATTGGGGAAGGACCTTCCACCGAAGTTACAGTGAAAACAAATGAACAGGGTAAAACATCTTCAGTCCTCTGAGCAGAATTAAAGCAGTTATGCATTAAATAACCACAGTGTTTCCCCATAGTGCCCAGCTCTGTTCAGAATGTGTCCTATCAGAACCTGTCGTCTACATCCATCCGTGTTTCATGGGAGCCGCCGCTAAACCCTAACGGCAAGATAACACACTATGCTGTGTATGCGCAAAATCTGCTTACTAACCAAGAGTTACGACAGATGACGGACACCACCACTGCTGTCCTCACAGGTGAAACACACACTATTTAAACATAAACACACGTTGTTCAGTAGTCAGATCTGTTGTGCTATTGTTTTTAATACTATAGTTAATAAGACGTGTTTCGTAAGCTCCATGTTTGCATGTTAAATGAAGATCGTTTTAATCAAATGAAAATTTGGTAACACTTTAATATAAGTACCAATTCCCAGTATTATTAGTGACGTATTCTCTGCCTCTTATTAAGATATTGGCTGTTTATTTGCACTTATAAACTACATATTCTGCATGATCTTATTCTACATTCCTATTCCCACCTAATGCTTAAACCTACTGAAACCACTATTTTAACTTCATAAACTGCAAATTAGGCGTTTATTGAGCTAAAAGGTTTGATGATAGCAAGAGTTGTACCTTAAAGTGTGTCTGAACAATTTTATTTTTAGTGTAGAATTCAACAGTACAGTTTTAACATTGAATTAATTTCACATAAATAAATTACATTTTAACATATTCTCAATAAAAAAAAGTTTACAGTTTTTACAGTATTTTGATTAATAAATTCCACATTGGTGAGCATATGAGACTAATTGACATTCAGTTTTTCATTTATACTGCACTTTACCTTTTTAGGGCAGTATATTATGGCCTTTTAGCCTATTTTTTATTATTATTATTATTATTTTATTATTATTAATAATATTATTATTGTTGTTGTTGTTGTTATGATTATTGTTTTTAATTTTTGTCATTATTTTTATTATTATTATTATTATTATTGGTATTATTATTGCCATTTTTATTATTGCCATCATTATTATTATTATTGGTATTATTATTATTATTGTTTTTATTGATATTATTATTATTATTATTGGTATTATTATTATTATTATTATTATTAGTAGTAGTAGTAGTAGTAGTAGTAGTAGTAGTATTAGTATTATTAGTATTATTGATATTATTATTATTATTATTGCCATTATTTTTATTATTATTATTATTATCATTGTTGGTATTATTATTATTATTATTGCCATTATTATTATTATTATTAATATTTCATTATTAATATTATTATTAGTAGTAGTATTAATAATAATAATAATATTAATTGGGGGCAACGCGGTGGCGCAGTTTGTAGCACGTTTACGTCAAAGCAAGAAGGTCGCTGGTTTGTCCCTCGGCTGGGTCAGTTGCTCCCCATGTTCTCCCTGTGTTCGTCTGGTTTCCTCCTGGTGCTCCAGTCCAAAGACATGTGGTACAGGTGAACTGGATAGGCTAAATAGTCCGTATTGTATGTGTGAGTGAGTGTGTGTGGATGTTTCCCAGTGATGGGTTGCGGCTAGAAGGGCATGCTCTGCCTAGAAGATATGCTGGATAAGTTGTGGGTTCAGTCCGCTGTGGCGACCCGAGATTAATAAAGGGACTAAGCCGAAAAGAAAAAGAAGTGTCTGCAAACAATTTATATGGGCTGAATTTAAACAAGCAAGTTACTAAATTTAATTAGTTTGTTTAAATTCAGCCCATATAAATTGTTTGCAACCACTAGCCTTAAAAGAATTGAGTAAATCCAATAAATACTGTTTTCAGTGTAATGCTGTGACATTTCGGTCACCATTTAACTTTTATTTATGATCATCATATCCGCAGGTCTGGACAAGTACAGCAGCTATAAGGTGCGAGTGGCGGCGTCCACTGCTGTGGGAGAAAGTCCTCTAACCAATGAAGACTACATCTACGTTGTGACACTAGAGGATGGTATTGAGCTGATTATTTCTCCTGCACATGCTTAAGTGCCCTTAAACACTCTTGCGATGGCTCAGCATGTCTCCATCTGTCTTTCAGTGCCGGATTCGCCCCCACGGGGTCTGACCATAGTGAAAACCACCTCCTCCACCGCTACACTCTCCTGGTCTCCACCCGAGAAGCCCAACGGCATCATCCGCATGTATGAGATCTCCTACACCAACGGCACATACAGTAACACAGTCAACAGCACATCGGCCAGTGCAACGCTCCGATACCTGAAGCCACACACACACTACAATGTGACTGTCCGTGCATTTACACTACTCGGACATGGAGAGCAGATTTCTGAAACACTACAGATGCTGTCAGGAGAGGATGGTGAGTCATTGTGTGTGTGCGTGTGTGTGTTCATGTTTAATTGAAAAACTAGAAGACACATTAAACTTTAATCCAATCTCATCCTGAAATCCCTTTCAGAAGGTTCCTTTTATTAAGAGGCTTTCACACACATAGTAATCTAATCTTACAGGGTCATGAGCTGAAATCAATCGAAATAAAATACATCTGAATTTGTTTGATCTTTTGACATATAAGAAGCCAAACACACTGTAAGTTCCTCAATTAAAAACTGTTTATTTTAAAGTCAGTCTGCCAAAATGCTGGTTTTGCAGTTAGGCACTTTGTTATGTAGCAGTGTGGCTTAACTCGGCCTCCATAGAAGGACTTCATAGATATATACAGAAGATATCGCATACGGACCCTGAGCATGCTTCAATAGTGCCACTAGGGGGGGAAGTTAGGACGATTATAAGGGCCCATACATTCAGGGGGCCTCCAGAGACTTTATCAAGGGCCCACGCAACCCAAGCTCTTCACTTTCATCAGCGATCAACACCCCCCAACCCCCCCACCCCTATGTTCACTTTCATCCGCGATATCCCCCCCTCTTCACTTTCATCCGCAATCACAACCACATACCCCCCTTCACTTACATCACCGATAACCCCCCCCTCAACCCCCACTTCCAATTCACTTCATCCGCATTCACAACCCCATTCCCCACACCAACGATCACCCGCATGTAAATGTGTATGTAAACAACAGCAGGAGCTGCGCGTGAGAAAGAACAACAAACTTGCGCATGCAAAAGATACCAAATAATGGCCCCTAACGCCTTTATTCGGGGTTACCACTAAATTAAAGCACTTTCTTAAAAACGAAGTAAATCGTATCTCAAAGCTTACTAGGCCACCTTTATTTTTTTTTTCTCCCTATGCCGCCTCCAGCAAGATGCCGCCCTGGGTGGTCGCCCATAGTGCTCAGGCCTAAATGCACCACTGGATATATGTATATATCTTTATATATATACGGCTCTGGATGGCCAGTCCTCCACTGCACCTTTGTCCTGTATTCATTTCAAAGGAGCACTACCCTGTACTAAAATGGTGGTGCATTCCTTCCAATAGACAACAACAGGGTAGGCGACATCTAATGTAAATATCTATGGGAGGACTTCAACTCCTGCTTCTGTATCACTGCCTGTGTAGACCCGCCCATATTTGTGTGCTGTATATGTTTCTTTATTTAGCCAGGTAAAAAAAACCCATTGAGGCCAAGATCTCAGTTACAAGGGTGACCTGACCAAGAGGTCTGAAGCGCACAACTTCTTAAAAAAAAAAATAATTATAAAAAATAAATATAATTTAAAATACAGTTTGGTTATCCAGCTATACCACATTACAAAATATTGGACTGTTGTTGTTTGTTATAAAGGATAGAGCGCAATGATTAAACTGTCATGAGGTCAGGCATTTTGAGATTAGACTGAAGAGTATTCCAGGATGAGGGGGCGCCATGACTAAAAGCTTCCCTATTTCAGTTCAAACCCAGTGAACAGACAACTGATAAATTTGGCTTGAACGTAGGACAAAGTGACTTTTAGATCTTTGAAGAAGGGAACATAGATATAAAGTCGCCAACTGACCAGAGACAAGTGCAGGTCTATGCTGAAACCAAGTGTGCCGCAAGCCTGCGTTTGAGTGAAGGTCTTGGCCGTTAGATCGCCCCCTGGGGGCTGGCTGCAGTACAAGTCATAAAGCCCGCTTCCTCCGTGTTAATGAAGGAGACTTGAGCCCAAATAAAAAAAATTATTATACTTGCAATAAAATGTCCCGAAAGATGGTTCTGGTCGATTAAGGCACTGGTTATTGTGCTGAAATAGGTGCAGATCTTCATTTTTGTAAACAGTTTGTTTTTAGCAGTAATTTAATGCTGGGCGTGTCATCGTGATTGACAGCTGTGATTGACAGTTTCTCAAAACAGCGCGTCTGAGCTTCGGCAGAAGACTGAAATGTTATTATTCGATTTCTGTGATATTTTACCATGACAAAATGAGTTCAGCAGTAAACTATAGTTTCTGACATACATGATCCTGGTGGAACACTGTTTATTCGCTAAGTTCAGGGCTTTTTTCGGGCTTTATTAGTTTGCTGATACACGCCTAACCACCCAGATAGCAAAACACATTTCCGGCTAGATTCTCGCCTGCCGGAGACTTATCCCTTAGAGCTCAGACTGACTAATGTTACCTCTGCTGGACCTACTCCGGATGCCTGGACTCACTACCCGATTCCAGCCCGAGTCAATCGAGCCAGATGCGGCGGCCGAGCGAGCCGGCGCTGCCGCATGCGAGCCGGAATCAGCCCGCGACGCCGCGAGTAGGTTATACGTTGCGGTCCGGAGCTGGCGCGATTGAATATATAAAACCCTCATATTTGTTAACGTTATTACATCCATTTGTGTTGATATGACAGCAAACGCATGCTGAGAAGTTCGGGGGGCGTGGTTGATTTTACATAAAGCGTTTGGTTGGAAGCTCTACTCATTTTCGCGGCTCCTCCTCTGGCTCCATCAGACAGTCCTTCTGCGCATGTCAAGGCTCCAATTCAGCAGTCTTTTGCGACAGTTTGTGCCCGTCAAGCAGGCGTTTTGCCCTCAAGGCGTTCAATGGGAAAAAGGGCTGTCGCGTCGTCCATATTTTTTACAGTCATTGGCTGAAACTAAACAAAAATAATTTTCTTACAACAATTTTTATTTTAAACATTGTCATATAATATAATTTTCAGTTTAGCAAAAAAATTAAAAAATAGTTTATAAACTCAAAATAATTGAATACACTTTGAATAAAAAATTAAATACTGATATTAATAATAAGTAATACAGCAGTAACATATTTGTCTCATATATTTCAATGTCCATCAGTTAAACATAGAGCCACCATCTCGATTCTTCTAAATGCCATAGAATACTTTCCAAATAGACCAAAATAGGTGATCTTTTCTAAGGCAAGACAAGAGGTCATCCCCTTTATCCACTGACATACACCAGGACTGTCCTGTTTTTTCCAAGAACACGCAATTACATGCTAAGCTTCCAGTAAACATAAAATGAGCAGCAATCTTTCATGTTTGGTCATATTAAAGTTCAATGGCCAAATGTGCAATATACACAAGCTGGGATCAAGAAGAATTCCTTTACTCATCAGGGATCGGCACAGCGGAATGAACCACCAACTATTCCAGCATATGTTTTGCGCAGCAAGAGGAATTACTTTACTAAACAATAAAGATACAGTAAAAACACTTTAAAAACATCTTTTTTTTTTCTAGTCCAACCTTTGTTAGAGATTTGATTCACTTTATTTCTAATGAAGTTTCAGACCACAACAGTAAGAACTTTTCCCTTTATCCTACTGTGGATTCATTGATTACAAAGAGCGGATGTAACCGTAAAGACAGTTATTTAATATTTTATTAATTTTTCACAGTATTCCACTTTTGCTATGCATTATTTATGAAATGAATGCAGCCTTGCTGAGCAAGAGAGTTTAAGAAAAAAAAGAAATAAAATATTACAGACAGCAAACAGTGATGTCTGAAAGCATCGTCATTCATAAGACTTCCTAATATACAAGCTCAAAAATATTGAGCCATGGTGCTTATTTGGGCGATTCATCATCGATTGACCTCATTTCCTCATCATGTTCTCTCCTCTGCCATTTCAACTTACATTCCACCATAGCTTAGGTCATTGTTTTACTGTTTATGTTGGTAATAAAAATCAAAAGGAACACAAAACAGGCCAAAATCTGGGGGCACGGCCTAGTAGTTTGCTATTCAGGTTCAGCATATTGTGCTACGATCTTCAAATATTGTTTGTGAAATTTCTGCCTTGAAACTCTATGCGCATGCAGGCTGATAGCTGATCTGTTCCAGCGTCATTAACTACGTTGTGCAGGAGATTGGTTGCTGTCACCACAGCAGCCAATGAGCTTGCTCCTTATCAGTTTAAATGCTCCGCGTTATTTTATGCTGTCCAGCTGCAGCATATTTCCAGAGACTCTCCTCCACCCCAGCTCCACCTGTGTCTACTACGGGGGTTACATATATATTATGTTTGCAACAGCAGCAGCAGCATGTTATATTCCCAGACGGCATGTCTATGTATATACTGGCAGTAGCAGGTCTCGGCTCTGCCATAATAATCAAAGCAGCAGGAGTATATAGCAGATCTATACCATCAAGACCAAATACGTCAGCATTGCCACATACATATTCACTACCGTGCTAATTCAGCGTTCATGACAGAAGTTAGATTTAATTCATGTTGTTGAATAACCTGACCAATAAAGGCCCAGTTTGTTTTGCCATGATGACAAAAAATACTATTTAACTAGTTATTATTTTTGGACTAGTTTTTACTATATTTTACTGTAGTTATTTTTGCTAGTATATTTATATTACTAGTAAGTTAACTTGAAAGAGCAATTTAAAGGCATAACTAGATTAAATAGCAATCAACTAACCATGTAGTCAGCAATGTTTTGTTCTGTTGCCAAAAGAAAAAAAAAATCTACGTTATAATCTACGGCTATAATATTGATTTTAAACATTATTTAAAAAAATTCAAAACCGCTTTTATTCTAGCCAAACTAAAAGAAATAAGACTTTCTCTAGAAGAAGAACATAAAACAGGAAATAATAAGTAAATAATAATAATAAGTGGTTGTTTGAGTTACTGTTCGCTATTTATCAGCTGGAACCAGTTTGGCCTTTTCCTCTGACCTCTGGCATCAACAAGGCATTTGCGCCCAAAGAACTGCCGCTCACTGGATATTTTCTCTTTTTCTGACCATTCTCTGTAAACTCTAGAGATGGTTGTGCATGAAAATCCCAGTAGATCAGCAGTTTCTGTAATACTCAGACCAGCCCAGTCAGAAACCAACAACCATGCCATGTTCAAAGTCACTTAAATCACCTTTCTTCCTCATTCTGATGCTCAGTTTGAACTGCAGCAGATCATCCTGATCATGTTTACATGCCTAAATGCATTGAGTTGCTGCCATGTGATTGGCTGATTAGAAATTTGCGTTAACAAGCAGTTGAACAGGTGTACCTAATATAGTGTATGACAACCTTAACTGTTTAAAGGTTTTAATTACTAGTTAATTAGTTAAAGTTGTTAGTAACTTATAAAATTACGGTAACTAATAACTTTACCCTTTCTGATTTTGATTGTAATAAAATAATGTGCACCTCTTGAAAAGCTGATGTGAAACAATAATTATTGTGAAAAGCTCTATACAAATAAACTTGAATTAAATTGAATATATTTTGTATCATCATTTCTCCCAACATGCCGTTTAATTGTTTATTTCAGTGCCTGGCAGTCCCCCTTATGATCTGTCCTATGAGAGCATCGGCTCCAGCTCAGTGAACGTATCCTGGTCTCCTCCACTCCTCGCAAACGGTGTCATCCTCTTCTATAATGTGGAATACTGGAACGCCACACAAAGCCTGAACCAAACCACACACATGCCATACATCGTCCTGTCTAACCTGCGAAAATATGCACACTACCGCATCAGCGTCCAGGCAGCCACACAGGTGGGCATGGGCAACCACACCAGCGAGATCCTCAACATCACCACACTGGAGGACGGTGAGTGTCTGCTGTAATAATCTGGCTTCATAATGTTTAACACTCTTCTTTATCAAGGTGAACTCATCAGGATCAGGCTGCTTCTTGTTAACATATCTCTTTTACAGCATTTTTGGTGAAAATGGATTTGTGTAATTTACCTTTATTTTTATTTATTCCACAGAACATGTTATGACTAAATTGTGATATTTCCAGCATGTTCAATCGTCTTACAGGCAAAATGGGTGCTTTTCTTTGTCTTTGGTTGGACGCTCTTTCCATTATCAGCTGTCAGAATGGACAGATGCTGCACATTCCCTTACGGTTGTTAAAGTTTTTCCCCACAGTTGTGAGTGTATAATAGTTGTTTTTCCCAAACAGTACCCAGTTCTCCTCCAAAATTCCTAATTGCCAGGAAATTGTCAGATACTGAGGTAGAGTTGTCCTGGGAGGCCCCGGAGGAGGCCAACTCTGAGATTTTATACTACATAGTAAGAGTGTGGTGAGTAAAGATGATTTAAAAACTTTTTTTTTTTTTGTAAAGTGAGACTATACTTGTAATGTAATTAAATGTGCTTGTGTTTTATTAGGAATCTGAGCACTGAGTTTGTGGCCAATGTGACGGAAACATCAGTAGTTGTGAGTGTGGATGGACCGGGTCAGTATAACGCCTCTGTGAGCAGCTGGACTCGACTCGGGGATGGAGGATTGCTGATTTACATCACATTCAGTACTATAGAATCAGGTGAACGGACAATCTGCTCTAAACCACATTACATGACAATATACTGAATGTTAGTAGTTCAAATTATTCCCATTCACAAGAATTTAGGAAAACAGCTAAAAACGCTGTATTACATATGCCAGCCTAGTACAGTATGTGCTGTAAAGTCACAGTTTCTAGAGAAGTACTATGCACATGTCATTTTTAAGCAACTTTAAGCATTGATAACAATAATAAATTGTCTTTGAGCATTAATTAACATATTAGAATGATTATTGAAAGCATCATTTGACAGAACTTTAGTAATGTTACTGAAAATTGAGCTTTGCATCAGGTTATAGTTGAATAGAAAAATGTGATGTTAAATTATTTTTCGAATAAATGCAGCCTTCATCTGCAAATAGACTATCCTTAATTTTCTCCAGGCACCACAGCAATGACTCAACATACTTAGCCACATGTCACGACTTTCACTTTCATAATAAACATATTATCTTACCATCACCAAAACTATGAACTGTATATTTAACGTATTTCAAGTCATTTCAGTTATACCACTTGTAAAGTTTAGTGTCAAGTTTTTATGCTGCTCTTAATGACAGTGAGACAGCTGACGAAGCAGCATTGCCCTCATAGTCTGGACACTGACCGTTCTCTGTCTGTGTTTCAGCCCCCTCTGACCCTCCACAGGATGTAGTATACACACTCCTTACCATCAGTACAGTGCGTCTCAGCTGGAGACCCCCAAATGAACCCAACGGCATCATTCAGTACTACACCATCTACTACACAGACAATAATACAGAGTACACAGAGGTATGCACACACACACAGATGTGCATCAGTCTGTTGTTTCACTTTTTTTTTGTTTCTTGTTAGCAAGCAGGGTTGTGTGATGACAATATAGGCTAGATGTGAGTTAATAAAGACATTATTTACTTTTGTTGTTCTGATGTTCTTGAAAGCTACAGCACATTTGCAAAAAAAAAGCATTGGCTTTAACCAATGTTCACATTTTTGTGCTAGAAATGTATGCAAATGAGCAAATGTTGAAGTAAATAAATATAATGGCCAAATGAACGATACAATTTTAGAAAACTTAAAGCTAATAAAGTAATACTAAACATTTTTTGTACTTGGTAATCAATCAACTCTATATATTTTTGTTTAGTTTAATTTTACTAGAGATGATCTGATTAGGTTTTTTAGCCCTCGAGTACGAGTCACTTGATTTTGAGTATTTCACCTAAGTCCTCCACACTCCATCTATGGACCACACGTGCCTCACTTGTTCTAGAAGCACGCAGGCCTGTAGAAATGCAGAGGTTGTCCAGAGGCATGCCCTGCCATGTCTTTGGACCCGATCGTGAAGCCAATGCTGAAATGATCTCATATGGAGCACCCGAGTGACGAGACAGTGGCTGCGGATGCTATATGCTCCAGGACCCTCTGAAATAATATCAGTGGGACCACAGTTTCTCTGTCGAACTCTCTCAGACAGGTCAGCATCAGCTGGGCGTGCTTTCGGTGTAGGCGTGCCGTCATGGTTATCGAGTGTAGCTCTAACTGAGAAAAGAGATGCTCTACACATGGGCGAGTTTGCTCTTTTTTTGGTTGACCTAAGGACCCTAAAGGTTGAGGTGCCAAAGCACTCTGTCTCCGTGCGTAATCAATTGATCCCGCAAGTGCGCTATTACTAGCCAGCTGAGAAAATTGAGTATTTGAGTATCAGGCCAAAGGTGCACTAGGACACCCGCCTTGAGCTTGGTGAAAACCTGTGGAGAAAGAGAGAGCCCGAAGGGGAGGACTTGTACTGCCAGGATCAACCTTCGAACGCAAACCGCAGAAATTGACAGTGGCTTGGAAGTATGGAGAAATGAAAGTACACGTTCAGGTCTATTGCTGCAAACCAATCCTAAGGACGAACACACCGGAGGATACGCTTCTGCACAAGCATTCTAAACGGCAGCCTGTGAAGACAGCGGTTCAAAACACGTAGATCTAGGATTGGCCATAACACACCGCTCTTTTTGGGTACGAGGAAGTACGAGCTGTAAAACCCGCTCTCCATCTCGGCTAGAGGGACCGGCTCAATTGCATCCTTTGCCAGGAGGACTGCAATCTCCTCTCGCAAAACAGGGGTGGACGCAGGGCTGATCCTGGTGAGCCATTGCGATGGGCTGACCTGCGCTAACCAGGCTGCCAGAGTCCTGGCAAGTGGTATCATTGACACGATTCCTGACGTACTAGCGGTGGGGCAGCGCAAAGTGGGAGGACTCAACCGGGGAGCGCTGGGATCCTGCGGAAGAGCAAGAGATGAGAGATTCATTCTCACCTCACACCCAGGCTCCCGAGGAGGGGCTGGGAGTGTGAGTAAAGGGAGACCAATGGCATGCTCAATCTGGGGAATCGACTCGTACCTCCTGGCTGCTCTGCCATCAAGGGTGGTGAGGGCGGAGGCGCCCAGACTTGAAACGCAGTGCTCGTGCCCATCATCCGGGGCCAGGAAACCACCGTATCCAGAAACGCACAGTTGGAGCGACATCTTGAAAAAGACATGCTGCACAACTGTGTTGCTCTTTTAGAAAAATTCACAGCTCTGGAGGACTGGACCCAAAGAAAGCCAGGCAAGGGAGAAACCCAGCTCGACCGAATGCCGCTGCGCTTTGCACACTCTGGACCAGGATAAGCAACCTGCTTACTCATTTTCTCTCTCTGTCAAGATTCACCTGAAGAAAACCCTTGAAGACTCTCTCAGAAGCTTAGTGAAAGGCTCTGAAAGTGAAAAGGTGGTCTTGGCGAGGCACGAGCTGCGTCTTTATACAAGATTAATTGTAATTGACACCAGCTGTGCATGCTGACGCTGCTAACTCATTGGCATTTCACTGGCCGTTTTTATACTCTTTCAGACGATTGGATTCTGATGAAATCCCTATAGTGGAAGTTTTCCACAAAGCATTAAAGTTCCCCTCCTGATGGGAAATCATAGCCATGGTCACAGGCAAAAGGTCGGTGCAGGAGACAAACAACATAAACGAAAACAAAAAACATGGTAGAACAAGGCAAGAAAACCCCGTAGAAATGTTACAGGAAACATACATCAAGACTCAATGTGTGTCTGTGTGAGTGGGAGAAGTGAATATATAGTAAATGTAAACAGTCTATGATTTGTTTTCAGCTGTGTGTGTGCAATCAGGGAGAGAACTGCAACCGGTGTGTGTGTGTGAGGTGCATAATAGGATATTAAGTCCAGTTTGGTGGCAGATTTGTTGTTCTCCAGTGATCTGCAACTGCTAGATCACGGATGATTGTGACTAAGGATGCACTGAATTTACGGCCACCAAAAATGATTTGTTAGGCCCGAACAATATCTGGCAGAGAAACAATAATTTGAACCTCTACAATCTGAGGGTTTAAAAAATCACAATATTGAGAATACATTGAAAAGTTGTCTAAGTGTTTAGCGCTAAATATTACTAAAGAAATATTAGTTTTGATAGATTTACAGTAGTAATTGTACAAAATATCTTCTTTATTTCTAATTTAAATGTATTTTTGTGTGTAATTTGTGAATGTAAAGATAACTTATGCAATGCCAGTTCAGACATACAGAGGATGAACAAGCTGTCTCTCTGTTTCTGTAGAGGGTTCCTGGTTCAGAGCACCAGCTGCTGTTGTCTGATCTGCAGGCGGGACAGGACTACAGTGTATGGATGAGTTCCAGCACCTCTGTTGGTGATGGGGGATTGTTCAGTCCCTCTCTAAACTTCACCACCTTAGAGGACGGTCAGTCTCCTCACTCACTCAGGGGAGAAGCGCAGCTCTGCACCACTTTTCCAACTGATTATACCTCCAAAAAAATCGCACTGAAACTCTGAGCACACCGTCAGCATATCTTGTGAAAGGAGACAACTTCCTCCAAGCTGCAAACTGGGATTGTTGAGTCCTCCTTGTGAGACTGAGCGCATCTGATCTCAAAGCCTTTCATTTGCCGGTCTCTAGACTATCCCAGCTTGCGTTTCCTCTCACAGGATTTGTTGAAAAATAGAAAACAGCGCATTGCTGTCAGTGTTTTTCTCCAATGCCTTGTTTAGGAGTATGTTATGTAACATGTTATATATTTGTCTTTGGGAATATGTCAATGTGACTAAAGAAATATCAATAAATAATCCTAGTAAAAGTCACATGAGATTTAAGAGAGATCTCAACAATTTCTCAAACTGTGCTCATATGTACCAAAATGAAAAGATCAGAGACCTCAAAATGAACTCTCACACATCAAAAAAGCACACAAAGTGTAAACAAAGCAAAAACAATCATATTTTAGGGCCTATTTTATGTCCTCCAAGGAACTACTGTTGGAGAAACATGTGAGTTGATACAAGAGGCTTCACATAACATCTCTTGAACTATAAAAAGTAACATTGAGTACTAAATTGTTCTCCTGTGATGTTTAGCAAGTGAATATAGTGGAAATGAAAATTATAAATCAAATTTAAATTTAATTTCTTTCAGAAATACTTTAATTTTTAACATACGAAATTTGAAGGAATTTTAGTGCATGTCATGTTTTTGCCAAGCACAGTATATGATGCGATCCTAGATTAACAATCATGTTGATTTTGGAGCATCGTTTTTGTTCACAATGTAATTATACCTATTCTCTACTCCAAAACCCAACCATAACGAATTATTCCCAAAATCAAAGTGCATAAACCTCACCGTAAGCCTTAACAGAAACGGTAAACGTTTTTCTTAATTCTGATTGGAATGTTGTTCCAGGATCAACACAGATGTTAATGAAATCAGGTTGGTGAATTTTAGGTGTCTGTATCATGGAAGAGTTTTACAAAAGGCACTTTAGCAAACAAAAAACAAAACAAAAAAAACCGTTGTTTTTGTAAAGCACAATGATCAAAATTAGAAAACAGCAGTGATTTTCTACAGTAGAATGAACAAAAATGAAAGATGAAATATATGTAGGAAGTGTACTTGACTCTGAATGACTAAAACAGATCTGCATCCACAGGACACATAGTTCTCTGACTACTGGGCTCTTAGCCCTAACTTTGTTAGTAATACTTTTTCAGAGATTTTCAGTCAGGTTAAGGTCAGGACTCAAGGCTGCCATTGCATTATTTCAATGTTTATCTAAGTGACATTGAATCTCAGCACTGTCGGAAGGATTCAGTCTCTTCAGAAAGGTTGGAAAAGTCAGTGAAAACTGAAAATTTAGGCTGTCAGTTATTAAGAGTCTATCAGATTACTAAAGAAAACACAAGTTGTCAGGCGGCGTATTACTGAGAGTTTTTATCATAGGTTTTAGCTTAAGATATGATACGTTCAATTAAGATTTTTCACAAATTCATATTAGGGCTGCACGATTCTGGCTAAAATGAGAATCACCATTTTTTACTTAATTTATTTATTTATTATTTTTTTTTTGCTTAAAATGAAAATCACAATTTTCTCACGATTCTGTAATGTAAAAAAAAATTATATGAGTAGCCTATTATTTTTGTTAATTCTTAAACATGGTAAAACAACAATAATAATATCATGCCTATGGTGGGTCTACTGTTGGTTAAAATGCTAAAAAAAAATTTTTAGACTTGGAATGGTGGACTTGGACAGACTTTAAATTTGTCCTGGTCGTTAATGCCAATAAAGTGACGACATCAGAATTCAACGATTCACAATTCTGAAGTTGAATTACTATGTTTGAGACTTATGACATTTATTATTATCAGATTACTTCTTGCATTATATTGGACATTATATAGACTAGAGAAGTTATACTGACCCCGTAAACATTTATTTTCATGCACAACACTTGTGTTCTTTATTAAAGAAAAAAACTTATCAAATGTGGGTCATAATATGTCATAAATGATGTGCGCGCTTTCGGTTTCACATTTACTGCCGAGTGCACTCATGTCATGGCTGTCATCACTTTGAGAGAGAGAAAACACACATGCAAATCAAACTGTCCTCACAGCTCCCAACAATCACTCTGTGCAACAAACTGAACATTATTTACAACTTTATTACCTGTTAGTCACAGCCTACGCAGGTTCTGTTCAAGTAAACATCATTGGTGGGCATGCATGCATCCTCTCGATAGTAAACAAATGTGTGATTTCGCAGCTGCGAATACATCATTACATTAAGACAGAAATTACATTTTTGGGTCAATTATACATTATAAATACAGGTGTGACATTTTTAACACCATTGGGAGGTGTTCACGTTGCTGAGCAGCGTATATAAAACAATATGAATAATAATAATAATAATTCCTTACATTTATATAGCGCTTTTCTGGGCACTCAAAGCGCTTTACACACAATGGGGGGAATCTCCTCATCCACCACCAGTGTGCAGCATCCACCTGGATGACGCGACGGCAGCCATTTTGCGCCAGACCGCACACCACACACCAGCTGATTGGTGGAGAGGAGACAGCGATGAAGCCAATTGGAATATGGGGATGGTTAGGAGGCCATGATGGACAAAGGCCAGTGGGCAGATTTTTGGCCTGGATGCCGGGGTTAAACCCCTACTCTTTTCGAAGGACATCCTGGGATTTTTAACGACCACAGAGAGTCGGGACCTCGGTTTAACGTCTCATCCGAAAGACGGCGCTCACTGAGCAGTATAGCATCCCCGTCACTATACTGGGGCATTAGGACCCACACAGACCGCAGGTTGGGCGCCCCCTGCTGGCCTCACTAACACCACTTCCGGCAGCAACCTAGCTTTCCCATGTGGTCTCCCATCCAGGTACTGACCAGGCGCAGCCCTGCTTAGCTTCAGTGGGCGACAATGTGAGAGTTGCAGAGAGCTAGCTGCCGGCTAGCTTATGACTGCCTTTATGCTTCTCTCCAACTTGAAAAAATAATTGGCTGAATCGTAGAGATGTTGGACTAATTTAAGTCTAATTAGAGTCTAATTTGTATTAAGGAAGAATACAAATTATTATTTTTTTGAGTTTCTTATTCTATCTTACAAAATCATATCTTATCTCTAATTGGCAAATCTTAACGTGTGACATCAAGTTCAACAATCCAAAATTAAACAAATGCATGAAGCTTATGAAATATGCCTGAAAACTGCTCTTTTAGTCTTGTTATGGTTACTTTAGACAGTATAAGCAGTGACCTTTATAAGTTAGGTTTGTTGTAATTTTGATCTCCACTATATCTTGACTGATTTTATTATCTGTATGTCAAGGTTTTGTGTAAGAGTCATAGTGACAAGTTTTAGTGTGATTTTGGGAAAAACGGTGTAGAGGTGACCTTCTGAGACTGATGAAGGTTTTCTCCCCTGGTGTCTGAGATCTTGGATGTGTTCTATATCAATAAATAATGTCACCGTCCTGTTTGCTTCTCTGTGAGTGATTGTGTTTGATCGGTTTGCAGTTCTTGGAGAATCACCCAGCTTCAGCAGCAAAACAATCTGGGACACAGAACATGCTTGAGGAAGAATTTCCTACCAACACAATTGATTCTGTTTCTCTTCTTCTTCCTTCTTTTCTTTGTCTGTGATCTTGACTTGACTTAAATTTTGCAGATGCTGTGCTGGAGATAATTTACAATTCTTTTCATTTCCTCAGATTTGCTGATTTATGTAATTCTTTACAATAATATACAGTATATGTGTGTTGTTTGTGTGTTTATGTATTTCTTTTTAAGTGATATTTCTTAATATTGGGTTTAAGATGGCATGCTATGTTCACTGCTTTTAATTTGATATTATTGTGTGACATTTATGGTCATATATGTTTTTTTTTTCTTTATAATTAAATTCAGTCTGATCCCCACAATGTTCATTACCTATTGAAATAAAATATAATAGAATTTTTGATTATATAAAAATTAGCATTTTTAAAAATCTTAGATAATCGTTAAATAAATTAAATATGATGCAAATTAATCTTAGTTTAAAGTAAATGATAATTACACCAAGTCTTATTCCCCAAAACTGTCATTACCTAATGCAATACAATATAATATTATTTTATATAATATACAAAAATGTTATAAACGTCAAGCTTTAACCATAAAATTTATTGAAAAAAAAATTTTAAATCATAAAAAATTTATCTGACAGTTCAATATAAATGATAATTAAATCTCATTCCCCAAATTTTCCATTACCTAATCCTCATTCGTTCATTCATTTTCTTGTCAGCTTAGTCCCTTTATTAATCTGCCACAGCGGAATGAAGCGCCAACTTATCCAGCATAGTTTTATGCAGCGGATGCCCTTCCAACCGCAACCCATCACTGGGAAACATCCATTCACACTTATACAATACAGTCAATTTTAGCCTACCCAATTCACCGACTGCGTCGCCATTACCTAATCAAGTAATATATCATTTGATTTTCTATATAATACCGAAAAAATTATTTAAAAAAAAAAAATCTGAGATATCATCTATTAATTATTCAATTAAATATCCGACTAATTAACCTCTGTTAATACAAATTATTAAAAACAAAATGTATACACTACATATGTGTTTAAGTCTATACATATACACTCACCAGCTATTTTTTTAGGTACACCTTACTGGTCCCGAGTTAAATCTCCAAGAAAATACCCCTCACACCATTACACCACCACCAGCAACCTGAACTGTTGATACAAGGCAGGATTTCTTTCATGTTGTTGACGCCAAATTCTGACCCTACTGTCTGAATGTTGCAGCAGAAATCGAGACTCATCAGACCAGGCAACATTTTTCCAATCTTCTATTCTCTAATTGTGGTGAGCCTGTGTGAATTGTAGCCTCAGTTTCCTGTTCTTAACTGACAGGAGTGGCACCCGGTGTGGTCTTCTGCTGCTGTAGCCCATCCGCCTCAAGGCTGGAGGTGTTGTGCATTCAGAGATGCTCTTATGCAGACATCGGTTGTATCGACTGGTTATTTAAGTTACTGTTCTCTTTCTATCAGTTAGAACCAGTCTGACCATTCTCCTCCGACCTCCGGCATTCAACAAGGCATTTGCACTTAGAACTGCCGCTTACTGGATATTTTGTCTATTTCAGACCATTCTCTGAAAACCCTAGAGATGGTTGTGCGTGAAAATCCCAGTAGATCAGCAGTTTCTGAAATACTTAGAGCAGCTGACAACCATGTTCAACCATGTTGAAAGTCACTTAAAACACCTTTCTTCCCCATTCTGATGCTCAGTTTGAACTGCAGCAGATTGTCTTGTCCATGTCTACATGCCTAAATGCATTGAGTTGTTGCCATGTGATTGGCTGATTAGAAATTTGCGTTAACGAGCAGTTGAACAGGTGTACCTAATAAAGTGGCCTTTGAGTGTGGTTGTGTATATATATCATAGTAATGACATTGTTATATGCCATTTTCTGTTAATGAACCCTAATGTTCTCACAAAGCTATGTTTTGCTTTAGATTGGGGATCAAACCTCATTCCCTGTTTTGTTTGCACACTGAAACAGCGTCTGTTGTTGATTTGTTCCCCATTCTGAAGAGCAAAAGTGTTTAATTCTCCACATGTATTAACTGTCTCTCTTCCACACCCTCCTCTTGCTGTAGTGCCGAGTGGTCCCGTCCACAACCTCAGCGCCACCATCTACAGCTCCACAGCGGTGGTGATCAGCTGGGATCCTCCTCTGGAGCCCAATGGTAGAGTTTACTACCAGCTGAGCCTGCAGGAGGCGGGCATCACCCACCCGTCCATCAACCGCACAGTCAACATGACCATCACCAAAACCACCACCGACACCATCTACCTCTTCACCAAGCTCAGGAAGTATTTCCCCTACATCATAAACGTCACACCAGCCACGAGTGCAGGATCCGCTGTAAACCACACTACAATGCTACACCTGCGGACAGATGAAGATGGTATGCATAAATATCTGTTCATACAGATAACTCCTCTAATATTGGCCCCCTTTTGATCTTTCGCTCAAAAATTGAAGACATCTGAGTTTGTTTTCTTTGCAAACAATATGCGGGGATGTCAGATCGAAGTTTAAGAGATTTCTTTTTGCAAGATCCAGCTGATTTCCGCAGTTCTTCATCTGTGATTCTTTGGAGGTTTTTTGGCCCCTTGATTCATCATCATAGTCTAAATGTAGATTCATCACACTTTCAGTTAAAGCTGCTCAATTAGGGAAAAAAAATCATAATCGTGATTATTTTAGCAAAAAATGTAATCACTATTATTTCAAACGGTTATTAGTGGGCCAGATGACCAAAATGCTTTTAATTTTATTTATGTATCGGTACTGGTGGGAGGCATGCCTTGGTGTCCCCGCCACCAGTGACAATATACAGAACAATCGCACTGTTACGAGTGTGATATTGCGTTTATACAACAGTTCGACAGCATAATCGTGTATATAAAAAAGAAAATCAAACACGGAGAGTCTAAAAACTCTTTTGTAAGAGGAACTGATTTCTTCCGCCATATCTGCAGCTGACTTCAGAACAGCAGAAACTGTTGCTACTTCACCATTGTCACTTTAGAGCTAGTGTTTGAATGATTCCCCCAAGCGTAATGTCTAAAGTGATGACAAAGCAGATGATTTTGCTGACATTTGAAGATTTAAGGTAGAGATCTGCGCTGGACCAAATTTTGAATCCCGCTCCCACCCGCACCCGCCAGGTTTTAGCCCGAACCCGACCGCTCCCGCTTATATTAAGAATTTGTTGTCCCGCTGCCCGACCCGCCCCGTTTTCTGCCCGCCGCGCTGCTAAAGAGCGGGGGAGAACAAAACCGAAAATCACCCAGCTATACAGTCCAGACAGCCAAGCTGTCTGTATGAACACACACACAGCACCAAGCACACACACACACACAGACAAAGCTCTCTCTCTCTCTCTCTCATACGCGCGCTCGCACTAACACACACACAAGCACCAAGCAGACACACAGGCGTTTGCTGTTATATCAACTCAAAGGCTTGTAATACCATGTATCAAGTACCAATGTAATACCAAAAGGTTTTATATAAAGGTATTTAAATACTGAGTCGCGCCAGCTCCGGGCCGCAGCGCACATTACTCTCGGGCCAATTCCGGCGCGGATGCGGCAGCGTGGGCTCTCTTACTGTCGCCACATCTGGCCCAATTGATTCGGCCGAGTCGAGTCCGGCAGCCGGGGCCGGGCCGAGTGGTAAGTCTCCGGCATGCGAGAATCTAGCCGGAACTGGCCCGAGTGTATTTTGCTATCTGGGAAAGCTCTCTCTCTCATTCGCGCGCACGCACTAACATACACACCAAGCACCAAGCACACACACAGGCAAAGCTCTCTCTCTCTCTCTCATTCGCATAGCAATATCCGCGATATTGCTAGACAGCCCGCTCCCGTCCCAAATTAAACCCGTTACCGACCGCTCCCGAGATTTATTATGAAATTTATTCCCGTGCCGCAGAAATCTGGTCGGGTCCTGCGGCGCCCACAGGACAGCTGCGGGAATGCAGACCTCTAATTTAAGGCTTGATTTGAGGCAACTTGACATGAAATGCCCTTTGTTTACAGTTTTTATAGAGTAACAGTCTACAGTATTTCTCTCTTGCTATCAGGATATCACAATAATTAACCCCAAAAAAGCAGAGCAAACACTCCCAGACTGCTGTTGTGTTTGCGATAAAAAAAAAAAAAACGCTAAACACAAGCGGCTATTGCTTATTTCTTTCTATCAGCACAACACACATTCCTGATATGCGAGTAAATCAGTAAAATACAGCACTACAACATAAAAAAGAGAGAGATCGACTTATATCACTTACCAGCATACCTGCCAACATTTATCTCTGAAAATCTGGGAGATTGGGGGGAGGGGGTGTTCGGGTGTGAGGTCTGAGAACCGAGACAGGAAAGTAACTGCATTAAAATAGGCACTGTCCTGGTAAATAAACTATGTAGTTGCAATCTATACAAAATAGAGAGATCGACTTAGAATATCCCTTACCAAGTTAATAATGATTTGAATAGCTGTAGTTAGAAATCACGCTGTTTTAATCTTCTAAGCAAAGGCTTATTATGAAGTCCTGGCACTATCTTGTGGATGGACAACGTCAACCGTCTTTGGCTAATGGACGCCGACGCGCTGTCTCTCAGAAATTATAAATATTTTGAAATAGGCAATATCCTTATAAATAAACTGCAAAGTTTCAATCTAAACGACAACTAAAAAGCCCCAAATGTACATTATGTTGTCCAATAGCTGCAATATTTGTCAAATTGTAGTGGGTTTATTGATCTGCTGTCACTCTATGTAGACAGAGTAATACACAAAAGTGAAGAGGCTGTACGAGAGCTGTTATTGCAGAATATCACACTGCTATCAGCCAATCAGATTCGAGAACCAGATAGATAGATACAGTGGATGGATGGATGGATGGATGGATGGATGGATGGATGGATGGATTGATTGATTAATTAATTTTTTTTATACTTTAAAATAGGAAAATTATCCAAACTCTAGCTAATGGTCTAATTCGATTCAGTGATTTAAGCTAAGCTAAACTAAAAGTGCTCCTGGCAGACCTAGAGATCAGCTTATTGTAATCAAAAATGGTAAAATGTTGGTTAACTCCAGGAGAGCTGTAAAATGAGTCTTTAAAAAAAGTGTTCCTTTAATCGTTTAACGATTAAAGGTTGATGACAGATGGATGTTTTTTAAGCTGTGCAGTGTTTGCAATTGTTTGATCTGATATTTTTTGTTAATAATTTGAGCAAAAGATCAAGTTTAAAGCAAGCCCATTTTTTACCAAAATATTACAGATGAAGTATTTGTAGGAAGTGTCTCTAAATGGGCAAAGTGGTGGCGCAGTAGGTAGTGCAGTCGTTTCACAGCAAGAAGGTTGCTGGTTCGAGCTTCGGCAGGGTCAGTTGCCGTTTAGTGTGTTGGAGTTTTGTGAAATTATCCATAGTGTATATGGGTGTGTATGGATGTTTCCCAGAGATGGGTTGCAGCTGGAAGGGCATCCACTGCGTAAAACATATGCTGGATAAGTTGGCCCTAGATTAATAAAGAGACTAAACCGAAAAGAAAATGAATGGATGAATGAATGAATGAATGAATGAATGAATGAATGGATGGATGGATGGATGGATGGATGGATGGATGGATGGATGGATGGATGGATGGATGGATGGATGGATGGATGGATGGATGGATGGATGGATGGATGGGTGGGTGGATAGTTGAATGAATGAATGAATGAATGAATGAATGTCTCTGAATGACTTAAACACGTCTGCAGCCACAGGACCTACTGTTTGCTGACTAGACTAGGTCCTTATTAGCTTTTTATTAGAGTTTTTTTAATCAGGTTTAGATCAGGACTCAAGGCTGCTATTTCATTATTTTGTTTTTTCAATGTGACACTGAATGTCAGCACTGTTGGAAGGATTCAGTCTCTTCAGAAAGGCTGGAAAAGTAAGTGAAAACTGGAAAGTTAGGCTGTCTGTTAATAAGAGTCAGATCATTAAAAAAAAAACACAAACACTACCAGTTTCCAGAGGGCATATTACAGAACATTATTTTTTTTACCTTAGGTTTTAATTAAGATACTGTATGATGAGTTTAGGATTTAGCAAAAGAACAAGACCCTTTTTTTATTTTTCCCCATATTTATCAATGATGCCAGTGTTACCTTTAATAGTACATTTATGTGTCTGTATTCTTACAGTTCCGAGTTCTCCTCCATTGTCTGGATCAAACAAGAATCTCTCCAGCACCTCCATCCAGGTGTCGTGGTTTCCCCCAGTGGAGGCTAATGGCGAGATTATAGAGTATGCTGTGAATTTACAGGGTCCTTCCACCTCCAACAAAAACTACACCTCTGAGACACATCTGGTGCTGTCAGAACTCACTCCGTTTACACCATACAATCTCTCCATCGCTGCGGTCACTCGTGTCGGTACCGGCCCCCCGGTGGTTCTTTCACTACATACTGATGAAGCAGGTCAGAGACGCACCACTATTTCTGCTCAGGGGGAACTGCTCTTAACGTTTGAATGTGGAATTTATTTGATATCACCTGCTTTGCAAATCCAAGTGTCCAGGCTTAATGTGTGTAATGCCCAATGTGTTCAGGCCCGATGTCTCCGCCACGCAATCTGACTATATTTAACCACACTGCAAATTCAGTGTGGCTTCAGTGGGAACCAAGTCCAGAGCCGAATGGAGTTGTACAGCTTTACGGATTCAGAATACTGGAATTGAATACAGACTCTTTCAGATACCAGGTACGGCACACATACGTACATCTCTACACAGTATATAATGTGATGATATATTTTTCTGAATGGTTAATGAAACTTAAATGCTCCCATTTTTCCCAAGAACTCATCTGATGCGTCCACACAAGCAGAACTGGGTGGCTTCAAACCTCATAATTCATATGAAATCAGTGTGTGCACATTCACTAGAGCAGGAAATGGAGATCAGTACAGCCTGCCTGTCTTATTCACCACCAATGAATCAGGTAATACATATTCACTGATGCATTTCACTGTTTTAATGATTCTCTGATATGCAGATAAGGAAAAAAATAAGGGGCCACTTATATTTTGCTTTAACTGCTGATGACATATCTTTTAAAATTAACATAAAAGTAATTTAGAGTATTTTTACATAAAATAAGAAAAGTACCATAATTACCAGGTTTGTGTTAATTTAGACAACATAATGCCAATGTTTTTACTTCAGAACAAATTAGAAATCAATATTTGGAGTAAAAACGTTCATATAATATATATATATATATATATATATATATATATATATATATATATATATATATATATATATATATATATATATATATATGTATAGTTGAAGTCAGCATTATAAGCCCCCCTAAATTATTCGCACCCCTGATTATTTTTTACCCCCAATTTCTGTTTAATGGAGAGAAGACTTTACAACACATCAACACATTTCTAAACATAATAGTTTTCATAACTCATTTCTAATAACTTATTTATTTGTATTTTTTGTCATGATGACAGTGCATAATTTTGTCCTAGATATTTTTCAAGACACTTCTATACAGCTTAAAGTGACGATTAAAGGCTTAACTAGGTTAATTAGGGTAACTAGGCAGGTTAGGGTAATTAGGCAAGTTATTGTATAATGATGGTTTGTTCTGTAGACTATCGAAAAAATATATAGCTTAAATGGGCTAATAATTTTGACCTTAAAATGGTTTTTAAAAAATTCTAAACTGCTTTTATTCTAGCCAAAATAAAACAAACATGACCTTGAAAATGTCTTTGCTCTGTTAAACATCATCTGAGAAATATATGTTTTCCCACATATTCTGACCCTACTATCTGAATGTCACAGCAGAAATCGAGACTCATCAGACCAGGCAACATTTTTTCAATCTTCTATTGTCCAATTTTGGTGAGCCTGTTTAAATTGTAGCCTCAGTTTCCTGTTCTTAACTGACAGGAGTGGCACCCGGTGTGGTCTTCTGCTGCTGTAGCCCATCCACCTCAAGATTCTCTTCTGCTTGTAACGGGGGTTTATTGTTGCCTTTCTATCAGCTGGAACAAGTCTTGCCATTCTCCTCTGACCTCTGGCATCAACAAGGCATTTGCGCCCACAGAACTGCCGCTCACTGTATATTTTTTCTTATTTGGACCATTCTCTGTAAACCCTAGAGATGGTTGTGCATGAAAATCCCAGTAGATCAGCAGTTTCTGAAATACTCAAACCAGCCCATCTGGCACCAATAGCCATCCCACATTCAAAGTCACTTACTGTAAATCACCTTTCTTCCCCATTCTGATGCTTAGTTTGAACTGCAGCAGATCATCTTGACCATGTCTACATGCCTAAATGCAAGTTGTTGCCATGTGATTAGCTGATTAGAAATTTGCGTTAATGAGCAGTTGGTAGATAAATTTGGAAAACATGCTAACAGACCTTTATAGAATAAAACAACTAGTAATGTTTTACTCAAACCCATATAAAAGCATTTGTGTAGCAATATTTATTTTGAAACGTAATATGCAACGTGGAAATTAATTTCTGTATTTAAATGATCATTCTCTTCACTTGTTCAGTGAAAAAAAATTAACTTAGCCTTTTCCAACCATATTATAGATATGCTTTATTTGGTTGGATGCATATTTATTTATTTATTTATTTATTTATTTATTTATTTATTTATGTGCCTCAACATTTATGTAGTGATTGACTAGATTGACTAGAACTTCATCTATTTTAATTTATTTTGTAAATTTATAATTTGGCTCTCCATATGGAAGTGACAAATGTAAATTATATATTTTGATTTTGCTTATGTATGTATGAAAAACCTAATTTAAATACAGAAACACTTTACCATTTCACATAATCCATTGTTATTTTGCATATTATATTTCATTTGCTTCTCATATGCTTCCAAAAACCCTTAACTAATGGATCCTGTAAGTCCAGTTCCATAGCTCCATAGTTCCATAGTTGTATAGAAAGATCAGAAGATTAATTTAATGCATCCCTGATGAATAAAACTATTATTGTATTCTTTAAAAATCTCAGTTTGTCAATTTTAAAATAACAAATAACTGCACATTAAACTGCACAATCCTTTTCTGTTCAAAACTGAAGGATATTTATATAATAAAGAATAAAATAATAAAAATATCTATTTCTATAATTTGTTTATTGCAGTGTCAGATGCTGTTGGGAATCTGAGCTGCTCTGGATTGGATTGGGATTCAGTCTACATGGAATGGGAGCTTCCGGATCACCCTAATGGAGAGATCCTGTATTACCTCATTCGCTCTGGAGATCTGGAGGATGAGGCTCACCCTGTGGTCCTCACACACACTGTGGCTCACACGCTCACTGGCCTTTCACCTCACGCTTTCTACCTCATCACTGTGGCTGCAGTAAATTCAGCCGGTGTGGGAGAAGAAGCAAACTGCAGCGCACACACTCCACCAGAGTCAGGTACTGCAGCTGAACTGTGGCTTTCATAGTTTTCAACTGCACTTCAACTGTATATAAATACACAAACCTGTACAAGAAGTAAGACATGAATTAAAGGGCACCTATAGTAAAAAATCTACTTTACAAGCTGTTAGGACAGACATGTGTGTAGGTATAGTGTATAGACGGTCATATTGGGGTGATATAAACACACCCAGTCCTTTTTTCTTCAACTTAACCGTAGCTAGGCGTAGGAGTGCGCCCCCCCACCAATATTGATTGACAGGCGCATCACCATATGCTCAATTTGTTGATTCATGTCCGCCATTTTCAGCGTGTGAGGCTCATTGGGCTTGTTGTAAAAAAAATAAATGATGAAAAAGAAGAGAGAACCCAGTCCAGGAGACTCGAAACAAGCAGAATTCCTTTATTGAGACGTGTTGGTTAATCTGCAGTCATACAGCGTCTTTAAGATGTCCATGTGTCTGCAAGAGCCTACTAGAGGTCCGCAGTCTGCAAGTTCTTTCACAAGTCTCTCACAAGTCTCTCACACAAGTCTGAATTAAGACAAAGATTTCATGTATATATTGTGTTCTTAGGAGGAGGGGATATGTCTAAACAAAGCATGCACATTAAGAGTTGTGGTCGGCAGGGTAAACTGCTTTTTCAGGCCTGATCTCAACATGTTCTGGAGACAGAAACCGCCTGACCAGTTGATCGAAAAGAGAAAACAATAGACACAACCATGCTGTGAAAATGACAATTTGCATTACTTTGGCTTAGCCTCTAGTCAGAAAGACAAAAGGTTAATGTCCCTCCTAGCTGGGATGTTAACGAAATTATATAATTAAAACCAGAGAATATAACCTTTTAGTTATACGTAGATTATTGTTCATTTAAAATGGGAGGATATAAATTTATATTTCCACAAGCTCAACACAAGATCAACATTCACCACATGATCGCTCTCATCGGAATTGTTGTTTGTGTTGTAAAAAAAATAAATGAGTGAAAAGAAAGAGAAGAACCCAGTCCAGGAGACTCGAAACAAGCAGAATTCCTTTATTGAGACGTGTTGGTTAATCTGCAGTCATACAGCGTCTTTTAGATTTCCATGTGTCTGCAAAAGCCTACTAGAGGTCCGCAGTCTGCAAGTTCTTTTACAAGTCTCATCCAAGTCTCACACAAGTCTGAATTAGTCAAAGATTTCATGGCTATATTGTGTTCTTAGGAGGAGGGGATATAGCTAAACAAAGTATGCAAATTAAGAGTTGTGGTCGGCAGGGTAAACTGCTTTTTCAGGCCTAATCTCATCATGTTCTGGACACAGAAACCGCCTGACCATTTGATCGAAAAGAGAAAACAATAGACACCCCATGCTGTGAAACTGACAATTTGCATTACATTGGCTTAGCCTGTAATCAGAAAGACAAAAGGTTAATGTCCTTCCTAGCTGGGATGTTAATGAAATTATATAATTAAAAACCAGAGAATATAACTTTTTAGTTATACGTAGATTATTGTTAATTTGAAATTAGATGATATAAATTTATATTTCTACATTTGTAACTTAGTTTGTTCGTAGGTAGGTTTGCAAACTAATGTACTTTTCAATGCGTCTATCTTAAACTTCAGCCATTTGCATTTTGTGCAGTCACAGAAGCTCCCTGTGAGTGTGATCTTAACTAGGTGCAGCTGGAAAGTGCGAGCGTCTTTGCCTCACGTGAGTGCCGCTCCATTGGAAATAAAATAACAAACTTGCCTGCAGGTCGCACACCAGAAGCGCCGCTTGGTGACGTGCAGCGTTGCGCCATGCAGGGCCATGGATTTTCGAATTCTAAGCATAGGTTTCTATCAGTGTACACACAACAGTGCTTCAAGTCGTCGGCTGTCCGCGGCGCCCAGCCATGATTCAGGACACTTCCTGTTTCTGCCGTGCCACAAAGCACTATCTGAATAGGGTTTATGCCGAGCTAGTGCTGTTCCCATGCTGATACACTTCCGGTGACCTGTTATTGTGAACTTTTTTCCATTTTATACGGTTCCTTATACAGCATCGATGTTGTAATGTCATTATAATACATTCAGTTAAATAAACTTTAGCATTTATTTGGTTGCTCAAGCGTAAAACGAGACAAAAAGCTGTTTACTCGCACGCGCCCGTCAGAATCGGCAGGCTAACGCAGAAGCTCCATTGAATATACTGGGGTAAAATAAATGCTCATATTATAAAGATATGGCGGGGGAAATGTAATTTAATGCAGCGCCTCTAGTACAATCTGAGACCCACTTTAAATCGGATATCACTCAGCTAATGGAGATCGCTGATTTTTAAAGAAAGCAGACCTTAAACGTGCCAGTTTTTGCATTGGCATACTGTTCGCTGGAAGCGCTTAACCCAGGTTACTGGCAAATTAAAAGTCCTATTAGCATGCTTCAGCATTTACCCCATAGTTTCATTTTAAATAACATGCAAATGTCTGTGTCTGGTGTGCCGTGTCGCGGCTCAGTCAAAGTTAATTCAGTGTTAATTCAGTTATTAGTCTCGGTGTACAAGCTCGGAACTTTAAACTAGCACACAGTTGGCTGTAAAACTATACAAAGACACAAATGATTGTTTACCCTCTGCTTGGTCTGTGTTCGAGTCGTACATGTACGGCTGAACGCTGGTTCTCTCACTCATGCTGCTTCTCTCTGTCTGCCTGTTTGTTGCCAAACACAGAGCGGGGGAGCTCTTGGCTCCGCCCCTATGTTACGTTAATTTGAAACTAATTTTAATGTGAAGCAACACACCCCTAAAACAGCGAGCTGTGTACACGACCCCAACATAACCCTTTTTAACACATCATAATAAAAACATCTGAACTGTGTTTTGAATTGAACCTAAACTGGCACCCTCAGAAGAACCATAATGTTAATATTAAATCATAAAAAAGGGGTAAACTATGTGCCCTTTAATGTTGAATCGTTTCAGGCAGTACAGAATTGCTTCTTTTTTTGCGATGTATTGGCATCTCAATCTTTTCTATCTTTACATTCCTCTTTACATTCACAAACACAAAAAATTCAACACTGTTTTCTTTCTCCTTCGGCAGTTCCCGGTCCCTCCCATTCGCTGACCGTTACGGACGTCACCTCTGACAGTGTGTCTGTAAGCTGGCAGCGTCCCGTTCATGTGCCAGGTCTTTTGCAGGGTTACAATGTAGAGATCGAGCAATTATCCAGAAACTGTGAGCGGCAGCAGCAGCAAGTGGAGTCTTGTATGGAGGCTCAGATCTTGGAATGGGTTGAAGGAGAAACCACCAGAGCCACACTGACCTCTCTGCTCAAATACAGACAGTATCGTATCAGGGTCGTGGCCTTCACCAGAGCTGGAGCCGGAGAGCCTTCAGAGTGGATCTACACACAGACGCTCGCAGGAAGTATGTTAAACACCTTCATATGTAAAAGAGTAATCCAATCTCTTTCATATTTTCATGATTTCATATCTTTATGATTAATGCTTGAGTCTTACATAGTGCAGATAAGTTAGATATTATTATAAATTCACATATTTATGATAAATTCCTTCTTCCTACAATTTGGATAATCACTGCTTGATAGATAGATAGATAGATAGATAGATAGATAGATAGATAGATAGATAGATAGATAGATAGATAGATAGATAGATAGATAGATAGATAGATAGATGGATGGATGGATGGATGGATGGATGGATGGATGGATGGATGGATGGATGGATGGATGGATGGATGGATGGATGGATGGATGGATGGATGGATGGATGGATGGATGGATGGATGGATAGTAGGGGTGTGACAAGACGAGACACAAGATTGGGTTCAGGAGACAAAGATGAGACGTCTACACTATTTTTAAGAAATTATGAAATATATATATATGAAAAAGACTTTTTCAACTAAAAATGTCACAAAATGCAAAACTATTTAGATGTTTATTTAAATCAAGTTGTAATGAATGTTATTTTACTTTTATTTTAATAAATTCTATGCTGTAAAGGGCATGTAAAAAGCAAAATACACTCACCGGCCACTTTATTAGGTACACCTAGAGGAAAAATATCTAGTAAGCTCAGTAAGTTCTGTGGCCGCAAATACCGAGTTGACACCAGAGGAGAATGGCCAGACTAGTTCCAGCTGATAGAAAGGCAACAGTAACCAAAATATCCATTAGTTACGTTTATTTCTGCTGCCACATTCGGATGGTTGGGTCAGAATTTGGCATCAACAACATAAAAGCATGGATCCATCCTGCCTTGTAGCAAGGTTCAGGCTGGTGGTGGTGGATTAATGGTGTGGGGGAAATTTTCTTGGCACACTTTGGGTCCATTAGTACCTACTGAGCATAGTGTTAATGCCACAGCCGACCTGAATATTGATGCTGATCATGTCCATCCCTTTATAACTACAGTGAACCCATCACCTGATGGTTACTTCCAGCAAGATAACGCACTATGTCATGAAGCATGAATCATCTTAGATTGGTTTCTTGAAGATGACAATGAGTTCACTGTACTCAAATGGCCTCCACAGTCACCAGGATCAATCCAATAGAGCACCTTTGGGATGTGGTGGAACGGGAGATTCGCGTCAGTGATGTGCAGCTGACAAATCTGCAGCAACTGCATGATGCTATCATGTTGATATGGACCACAATCTTTGAGGAATATTTCCAGTACCTTGTTAAATCTGTAAAGGATTAAGGCAGTTCAGTCGGCAACTAAGCCGTTAATAGTAAGGTGTACCTAATAAAGTGGCGGTGAGTGTATTTTAAGTACTCATTACAATGTTTCAAACATACTAGCTTAATAGAAAAATAACACAATATCTATAGCTTAATGTTGTTTTTTAATTGAACATATTTATAGTTTCTAAAATCAATTAGTTCAGCAATATATAGAAAATTTAAGAATATATTATATACATATATAAATGGATTTGGTAAATAAAAATGGATAAGACATGTTAGTAGACATCATGCATTATTCAGTTAATAATAAATTGAGTAGAACATGTAAATAGACATCATGCATTATTATTTTTTTAGTTGTCTCAAAATTAACTAAGTTTTGTTTTAGCAGTATTTTTTAAAGGGCTAGTTCACCCTAAAATCTAAATTTCTTCACCATTTCCTCACAGTCAAGTGGTTCTAAGCTTTTATAAGTTCTTTCTTCTGGTGTACACAAAAAAAAGATACTCTAAAGAATGTTGGGGGGAAAAACAGCCATACTATGAAAGTCAATGGGTGATTCTTCCAGCATTCTTCAGTATATCTTCCTTTGTGTTCAACAGAAGAATGAAACTCAAACAGGTTTGAAACAAGTGGAGGGTGGTGTGTAAATGTTGACAATTGTTATTTTTGCCTGAACTGTCCCTTTAAACAACCTTAAAGTGATACATTTTAAGAAAAAAGTAACACAGCATAACAACAATGCATGGGTTTCATTGTGTTTGAAACACACTAGAGTTTTCATTTTGTTAGATGCTGTTATGAAATATCCGCAGTGTTTGGGGATCTTGTGAATCAGAGCAGCGTTCTCACAGCTTTAGCTCCATACTGAAAATCAATGGACTGTTGTTGAAACTCAGCCTGGTCCATTAGCTTTGATTCAAGATTTCTCAACAGATTTTCCACACATTTGCCCTTTGTAGAGAGCGCTCTTTTGATTCTGTGTGGGAGAAACATCAGAAGTTTGTGGCTGTGCAGGGAACATTTAATAATCCTCCAGAGCTTTTGAGCTACAGTGTAAGATGTCCCTTGGGTTGTCACATGCACACTATACAGGCCACATGCACAGTAAAGTTTCAGGACTGACAGTCACGTTTAAATACAGGAGTGTGTTTAAATACTTAAAGTGTGTTTTGAATACTAAGTTCAGTCATTTACAGAGTCATTTTAACTGGATGTACATTTACATTTACAAAAACTTTTTAGCAGACACCTTGGTCCTAGAGGAGGCATTCAGCAATTCAACAAGAAGAGGCAATACACACAAGAAGTGTTAATTATACAAAGGAACTGTTAGTGCTCAAATAATTAAGTGTTAGAGTAAGGAGAGGAAAGTGTTTTTTTAGAGAGAAGAGTGTTTTACAGGTGGTTTGTCAAACCCACTTACTTGTGTGAAGCACACTTCATAAATGCATAATGGGTTTTTTTGTACTACTATAGTTAGTAACCATATTTTAACGCTCATCAGAGATGTGTGTCTCTTAATAATAAAAACCGCATGGATATGGGATGATTAGTCTCAAACTTGTAAACATATTTATGCGTAATCATCCCTAAACATAAATGCTGCAAAGGCATTTTACTATTCATTCATTCATTTTCTTGCAGCTTAGTCCCTAATTTATCAGGGGTCGCCACAGCGTAATAAACCGCCAACTATTCCAGCATATGTTTTATGCAGTGGATGCCTTTTCAGCCGCGAACCAATACTGGGAAACACCCATACACACTCACATTCACACACTCATACACTACAACCAATTTAGTTTATCCAATTCACCTAAACTGCATGTCTTTGGACTGTGAGGGAAACCGGAGCACCTGGAAGAAAGCCACTTAAACACGGAGAGACCCACACAAAAATGCCAACTGGTCCAGCCGGGTCTTGAACCAACAACATTCTTTAAAGTGCCGCCATGCATTTTAGTATGCACATCCAAATACTTTCCAAATATGTCCTGTAAAAACACACGCTGTACAATGATTTATTTTTGGTCTGTTTTATTTAAATCTGATCGTCGCTCTGAAGCTTTAAATTGTGTATGTGGGAAGTTAAAGAGATAGTTCACCCAAAAGTTAAGTTATGCTTTCTTCTGTTGAACACAAAAGCAGATATTTTAAAAAATGTTGGAAACCGTCAACAATTGACTTCCATTGTGTATTTATTTCCTACTATGGATGTCAGTGAAAACCAGTTTTCAGCATACTTCAAAATATCTGCTTCTGTGTTCAGCAGAAGAACGATGCTCAAACTGATTTTGAACCAGAGTGAGCAAATGGTGAGTATGTTTAACCTGTGGTATATTTCTTTAATTTAGGAGTTGTGCTAGTCGTGTAAATTACTGTCTTATTAACTATGTATGTGCAGAACTAGATTAGGTACAGAATGTCAACTAAAGAGCAAATTTAGTTGCAGTATGACCACTGAAATTTTCATATGTGTTTCTTTCGTATTCATATCCAATAAAATTGTCACATACACAAAACTTCCACTCTGAATCCGATGCGTATTAATTAATCCATTCTGAAAACAGGCCAAACATTGTGTCATAACATTATCTGTGGCTCATGTGACTTCATTTTGCCTTTTGCTTGCACGGTGACTCTGAACTGTCAAAACACCTCTCAAAGTACTTTTTCGGATGTGAAAAAACTGTAAAAATATGACACCCAAAAGTTTCGGAGGCAGTGTGTCAATACGATTGACACAAGGTCGAATTTTTTTTTTTATTATGCGAAAATTACAGACAAAAAATTTGGATTCAATGTGCAATAACCTTTCCTCTTTGTTGCTTTTGTCTTAGACCCTGACGCTCCTCCTGGCGCTATCTCTGTGGTTCCTTCTGCCAATGGGTTGAAGATTGAGTGGGACAAACCATCAGTCATCTCGGGGCCCACATCATACATCATCGACATCACTGCTGTGAGTTAACGAATTTGACAGTTCATCATTTATTTGTTCACTTCTAAACAGGTCTTGCTTAACTCTTTCTTTGTCACAGCTGGACGGTTCGGGATATAACATAACTTTAGTGCGGCATTCAGAAGAGATCAGGACAGTGATTGTCGGGAACCTGAGTGCATTTACTCTGCACTCTGTTACCATCACCGCCTTCACCGGGCCACTCTCCAACGCTCGCAGAGACGGCAAAGCATCTGAACCTGTCCTCATCAGAACCTTGGAGGATGGTGAGCTTATTTGTGCAGGCTTTGTTTATTAGATTTCCATTGCATGCATAAGTTAAAAACAATACTTCATACAAAAATGACTATGACATTTTTAAAGTAATGATTATTAAAATTTTCAAGCCATCCCGGTTGTATATGACTCTTTTTTTTTTTTTTTTTTTTTCAGACAAACACCGTTGGAGTAGTTTTAAATCTTATCCTGGCTGTTTATTCCATACTGTATACTGGTGTAGCCCTATTTTAAGCTTCCAAAAAGCACAAAAATATGTTGTAAAACTAACACACACCACCAGGGGGTTATGAAGCGACTGCCGAATGCATGTTCTCAACTTTTCATGACGCATAATGTACAGAATCTGCAGGCAAAGGACGTCAACATGACGTCATATTGACGTTGTACCCCAACATACCCTAACGTCGTGGGGACGTTGGATTTTGTTTGGAAATAAAAATCGGGTTGACGTCAGAACCCAACATTAGGCCGATATAAACGTCCAACCTAAAATCAGCCAAATATCAATGTCTAACAATGATACACCTTGACGTTGTGTGGACGTTACCACTACGACATCTATCAGACGTTGGATTGTGGTCTCTTTCCAATACAACCTAAAATCAACCAAATATCAACATAATTTGACATCATAATTGGACATCAAAATAACATTGTTCTTAGACGCTGGCTAGACTTTGAGTTTTGGTCACCTGACGTCATGACCTAAATCTAACCAACTATTACCTGCTTGTGATGTTGTGTGCCTGCTGGGACATTTCTTTAGTGGAAGCTCTGATGAGAGTAGACGAACGAGGATAACTAAACACTGGCAACTAACTGAATGTTGAAAACAAGACTTCACTGTAAGGAAAGAAGAGCTTAAGTTTTTTTGCACAGCCATGTTTGTTTTAACCAAAATACATCGCCAACATCATCATTGCCATTGTCATTATCCTTTAAATCTTTATCACCATCATCATCATTGTCATTTTCATCACCATTATCGCTATCATCATGTGTCATGTTGTCATCATCATCATCATCGTCGTCATCATGCATCATCTGTCAAGCAAAGAAGTTGTCAAATGCTTTTGAAAGCTCCCGGATCTCAGTGATATGAGTTTATAATTTACTTGTTTTAAATATTTTTGTTACAACCCTGCTGAAAAAAACAGCTTAAACCAGCCTAGGCTGGTTTAACACATGGATCCATTTCATAAGACATGTGTTAACCCCCTGGTGGCATTTGGGTTAGTTTTATGACAAATTTATGCTTCAAAATACGGCCACTACACCATGGAAAAGCCAGGATAAAATGTAAAACTTCTCTGACTGTGTTTGTCTGACAAAACGAAGTCAAATGCACTGAGGATGGCTTGAGGCTGAGTAAATTATGGGTCATTTTCATTTTCGTCTTATCTGTTGCTTTAATCACACTTGTGTTTTCTCCAGAGCCCAAAGATCCTCCAAAAAACGTGACATTGACAGTGATTCCGGAGGAAGTGACGCGTGTTTATGTAACATTCTCCCCACCGGATGAGCCAAATGGAAACATCAGCGCATATCGTGTCGACATCTACCGCAACGGGCAGCTGGACTTCTTCATCAACAGCCTGTCTGTGATCAGCAACCCAAATAATACCATGACAGCCATAATTGATGGATTAAAAGGTGGATTTAATTACAGCATAAGGGTAAGAAAATAAAACATGAGCAATTTAGGGTAACACTCTATCTGGGATACTTGCATCATATAATACCACATTAAGTACATAGCAACATGTATTTAAAACTGCATCTAGGTAAAAACTAAGAAGGCAGCTCCAAAAATGGGAAGCGTTATTTGCATGACTGTTCTTAATCATTGTATTCATGTGGTTTTAAATCCTAAAACTATGACTGCTCATAATAGTACTTCCAAAAGTAAACTGCATGTATTTGTTGCAGATAGCAGCTGTGAATGGAGCAGGTTTTGGACCAAGTTCGGAGGTTCATGTCACCACAGGTGTGAAAGGTATGAAAAAATATAATAATTTATTAATCAGCTATTCTATTTTGTTGAAGTTGCTGTCATTTTAAGAGCCTGATGGGTTTATTTAGCTCCTCCCAAACCGAAGAAGACGCCGCGGGCAGCTCTGAACAGTGCTGGTGTCATCATCTCAACCTCCAAGACCATCACCATCGAAATGCCTGAATGTTTCTTCACTGATGACCATGGACCAATTCAGAAAGTCCAGGTCATAGTTTCTGAACCCGCAGGTATGAACAACTGACATTTAACAATATATTTATACTACCTGACAAAAGTCTTGTTGCCTATCTAAGTTTTAGAAACAGCAATAATAACATGACATCTAGCTGATCATTTGGTGTCAGAAGTGGCTTATATGAAAGGCAAAGGCCTCTAGATTACGCTTATTTTAGCAAAATAAAATATAATCATGCCTTGATTTTTAATGATTTAATTAGGCCAGTAAGGTTTGACTTTGCTTAGACTAAAGTCTTGTCAGTGAACAGAAATAATGTCCGGTATAGAATATAAAGTCATGGTGCAGTGAAAAAATAATTAATATTGTGTATGACTCCCATGAACTTAGACAACTGCATCCATACATCTCTGCAATGACTCAAATCACTTATCAATAACGTCATCTGGAATGGCAAAGAAAGCGTTCCTGCAGGACTCCCAGAGTTCATCAAGATTCTTTATATTCATCTTCAGTGCCTCCTCCTCCATCTTACCCCAGACATGCTCAATAATGTTCATGTCTGGTGACTGGGCAGGCCAATCCTTAAGGGTCCTTCTTTTACTTTCTTTGCGTTGATGTGGAGGGTGAAGTATGAGAAGGAGCGGTATCCTGCTGAAGATTTTGCCTTCACCTGTGGTATGTGATGTAATGGGCAAATTTCGTCATACCTCAGGCTGTTGATGTTGCCATCCACTCTGCAGATCTCTTGCACGCCCCCATAATGAATGCAACCCCAAACCATGATTTTTCCTTCACCAAACTTGACTGATTTCTGTGAGAGTCTTGGGTCCATGTGGGTTTCAATAGGTCTTCTGCAGTATTTTGATGATTAAGATGTAGTTCAACAGAAGATTCATTGGGAAAATCTACCTTTTGACACTTTTCCAAATGATCAACTAGAAGTCAAGTTATTATTTGTTGCTCTTACAACTGGGATCGACGACAAGACTTTTGTCAGGCAGTTTATAGAACAAATGCAATCTAGAACATAGCAATATAGACTTAAAGGAGATGTGTTTGTAAGATTTTCTAAAATTATTATTATCGTGAAATACATTTTATTTAGCAACAAAGCATTGCATTCTTTAAAAAGTAATAATTTTGTACATATACTACATTTTAATGTGCTAAACATGACGTAAATTTTGTTAAAAAACTTTAATGTTGGCTTGACAAAACAGTATGAATTACTATGTTTGTTAGCATACTGTTTCAAGAGTTTGCATCTTTCTAGCATAGTAAGCATTTTGTAACCTCGATATAATATTAAATAATGTTTTCTAAAATTGTTACTGCCATGGTTTTAGTGTGAGTTAGCATATTGCTTACATTAATTAGTTGTTTGTAAGAATTAGCATGTTGCTAGCATGTTTTGGGCATTAATTAACATGTTGGTAACATGTTTTTAGCATTAATTTGCTTGTCGCTAGCATGTTTTTAGCAATATTCACATGGTATTAGCAAAAATTAGCATGATCTAGGCTTGATGCTTGGCTAGAGAGAAAAATAGATGAAGGATGATTTGGATAGATGCACATTAAATGTTCTGTGAGATTTACTGTATGAAAGTTTTCTGAGTCATCATTAGAAAAGGGAAACTTGGCATAAAGCTTCAGATCTCCCTTAAATTGTTAGACAACTGCAGTGGTTTTAGGTTGAAGGGATGATTTTAGGAAGAAATAAGTTTACAAAATCTGTAATGAAGGAGAAGCATTTTGAATTGTTATAATATTACACAAAATGATATATTATTGTTCTAACATGTTCTGCCTTGATAGGCAAAAGACCTGAAGAGACGTCTTCCAAAAAGATTTTAAAGAGAATGATCTTATATTAAAGGCTTTATAATTCTGTAGTCTTGTTTCTAATGTTGATGCAGTGATGGACTACGGTAATCTATCCAACTGGAAGAGTGTTTTCCTCCACCCCACTGCTCCATACCTGACAGACGATGGCTTCCTGAACCCAGAGTGCCCTAAAAATTCTGAGCGCATGAGCTCAAGCACTAAGACGTATGTTATAGGAGAAGACGAGGGCTGCCTGTCTGAAGATGCAGAGACGCTTTGTAACGGACCTCTGAAACCCAAAACACATTATGTGTGAGAGACACAAGCACACACACATAATAAGAGTTTTGAAAATCTTTATCCAGGGGTCTTTTTGATTTGAACCATGTTTATTTTGTTTATTTATAGGTTCAAATTTCGAGCGACAAACATACGTGGCCAGTTCACAGACTCTGAGTACTCAGACAAAGTCAGAACTGCAGGTATAGACACACTAACACAAGGACCGATATACAGGGCTCACCATATACTGTATGAGTGCACCCCCCACAGATCTCTCATTTAGATTAATATTTTCTGTAGGATGATTTACAATATTATACTTGCGCATATTCATTAGTTTAGCCTGTACTTAAGCCAAATCTGGAGCTTATCTAACAAAATAACTTAAAATAATGGTTCAAAAATTAGTAGCCCAAATGTATATGTCAAGGAAAAATTTTAAATACAATTTTCAAAAAAAAAAAAAGAAAAAATAAAGAGAAACAAAAAATTTATACAATTTTGTTGAAATTTTGTAGTTTGTAATTTTATTTATTTTTTTGCAATATTTTGCATAAATTTGAATGTATTATCTTTCTATTTCTAAAGATGATTTTTAACTAAATTGTTATTTTAATAAATGTTTATGTTTAATAAATCTGTTTTGTTCAAATGCACCAATATATATTACCCATGTTCAGAAATGCATAAAAATATTAATTTTCAAAATGGGGTGTATTTATATATGCTGAGCACTGTAGCTGTGCTTTTGGATTTCTGTTTTTGCCACTGAATAAAAATAAAAACCTACACACGTTTGCTAGTTATTAAGAAAGAATTGTGAGATACATATTTGAAAGTAGATCAGAACTAATGATTAAAATTGTCAGATTTAGGCAGACAGGCTGGCAAGTTTATTTATATAGCACACAAGGATAATTCGAAGTGCTTTACATAAACAAATAAGATACAAGTATAAGAAATAAAATACCAAAGACTTAAAAATGAATAAAATGTGTTAAAACAGGGTTTAAAGAAAAAAAAACACACAATTTGTTTTAAATATTGATTTGAATGTATGTTCAAGGAAGACATAAAACGTAAATTCTGACTTTTATTCTCACAATTGTAAGATATGAACTCATAATTCCAACCACAACACAAAAAAATACCAAGAAATTAATTAATCAATGTCAAAAATAAGCTTTCAAATGGGATGTCTTGCTCACATCTTCCGTCTTTGTCTCTCTATTTCTATTTGTTTTCATTATCACTCATATTGAGGTAAAGGGTTAGTTAGCTCAATGCTTTATTATTCTATAATTTAGCAGTCCTAATTCGTATTCAATGGGACTGAATATTCACACTGGATTGAATATTCTTTAAAAGGGGATTGGGTTTGAAAGGATATTATGTCCCTTTATCAGGAATAAAAAATTTAAGTAAACTTTTCTTTTTAATTATTTATTTTAATATTTAAATAACTTTATACTAAATAATGGTCTTTACTAAAACAAGCTAAGTATGAACAATACTTGTACAGCATTTATTAATCGTAAGTCATAATTTACTAAGGAATGATTAAAATCCAAAGTTATTGCACATTGAGTTAACAAGACCCAACAATTAACAACTTTTCAGTAACTAACATCAACAAAGATGATTAGAAACTTTAATAAAGGTATTGATCATTGTTTTTTCATGTTAGTAAATACAACATATCTAATGGACCATTATTTTAAAGTTTTACCATTAATAGATTTAATATTAGTGTAACGGAGGCCAGCTAGCGAAGTGCTATGCAGGTAAACCTCACTCCTCTGACCTCAAAAGGTGCTCTAGCGACAGACACTAGAGGCCATAGTCTTTAGTTTCCTTGTAAGAGCAACCCACTCTTATGCAAAGAATTTTTAGTTCGATCCCAGTTTAGACCGGGTTAGGTTCGATAGGACCAGTGGGTTACACAGGGGGACTCATACGGGATGGGAGTGAGGTTTAGGGGGATGAGTGTAACGGAGGCCAGCTAGCAAAGTGCTATGCAGGTAAACCTTACTCCTCTAACCTCAAAGGGTGCTCTAGCGACACACACTAGAGGCCATGGTCTTTTGTTTCTTTGTAAGAGCAACCCACTTTTATGCAAAGAATTGCCGGCTCGATCCCAGTTTAGACCCGGTTGGGTTCAGTAGGACAAGTGGGTTACACATGGGGACTCATATGGGATGGGAGTAAGGTTTAGGGGGATGAGTGTAACGGAGGCCAGCTAGCGAAGTGCTATGCAAGTAAACCTCACTCCTCTGACCTCAAAAGGTGCTTTAGCGACAGACACTAGAGGCCATAGTCTTTAGTTTCCTTGTAAGAGCAACCCACTCTTATGCAAAGAATTTCTAGCTCGATCCCAGCTTAGACCGGGTTAGGTTCAGTAGAACCAGTGGGTTACACAGGGGAACTCATACGGTATGGGAGTGAGGCTTAGGGGGATGTGTGTAATGGACGCCAGCTAACAAAGTGCTATGCAGGTAAACCTCACCCCTCTAACCTTAAAGGGTGCTCTAGCGACACACACTAGAGGCCATGGTCTTTAGTTTCCTTGTAAGAGCAACCCACTTTTATGCGAAGAATTGCCGGCTCGATCCCAGTTTAGACCCGGTTGGGTTCAGTAGGACAAGTGGGTCACACATGGGGACTCATATGGGATGGGAGTGAGGTTTAGGGGGATGAGTGTAACGGAGGCCAGCTAGCAAAGTGCTATGCAGGTAAACCTCACTCCTCTAACCTCAAAGGGTGCTCTAGCGACACACACTAGAGGCCATGGTCTTTAGCCACCTTGTTAGAGCAACTAACTCCCTTGCAAAAAAAATCACCGATCCCATCTCAGACCAAGTTGGGTGCATTAGGACCAGTGGGTTAAATTAGTAAAAAAAAAAAAAAAAGTAACTTTATGCTCCCTTGTAATATTTGTCTTATTATTTCTCCTTTTTTCTGTAGACAACCAGATTCAGATGTTTCAGCTTCATACTTTATTCAGCTAGGATACATTAAGTTGATCTGTTATTTATATAAATTAGCATGCAGAATAACATGTTCTTGCTTTAATCTACGTTTCCTTGTCTGAATACTGAATGCAGATGACCGCTTGCTGACCAGAGATGAGCAGATCATCCTTGGAGTCTTGCTGTCATTTTTTCTGGCGTTGTTTTTAATTCTGATTATATATGGATCTGTGAAGTAAGTTGAGTGTGATATACAGTATAATTCAGTTGTGTGTGTGTTTGTGTGTGGGGTTTAATAACTAGACTCTTTCTGATCTCAGGATCCACCGGAGGAAGAAGGAAGGAGGGACGTATTCGCCACGCCAAGCCGAGATTATTGAGACCAAATTCAAGCTGGATCAGCTCATCGCTGTGGCCGATCTGGAGCTCAAAGAGGAGAAGATTAATCGGTGAGACTTTATATATGCTGTACATAAGTAGTGTGTGGCTATATGTGTGTCTCACCCACTAACTAATTCACATATTGAATAACTAACTCACTTTACTCATTGAATAACTCACTCTTTCAGCTTAAAGGGTTAGTTTTCAAAAAAATATATATAATAATTGTTATTAATTACTCATATGTCGTTTCAATCCTCTGAGACCTTCAATCATTTTGCCAAATTAAAATATTTTAGATTAAATCTGAGAGAACACTCATCCTCCACAGACAGCAAGGGTCCTGAGATGATCAAAGTCCAGAAACAGAATCAAACATCAACTATTCAACTATAATCATACGAAGCTCCAAGAACAACTATGTGCACAAAAAATAACAATTACTATGTTCGCCAGTGTTTTCTGCTTCAGATTAGGGTATTTGTTTACTATGGGTAATACAATGCTTGCATGTTGCGCTGCTGGCTCTAATGGCGATATGTCATACTGCCTGTAGTCGACATGTACCCTGACCTGAAAGGCTAACAAAGTTGCATTTTCAACTTATTTGGTGCACAACATTGTTCTTGGAGCTTTTTTGTATTCTATTGCGATCTATAGTGGATCAAAGAGCTCTCAGTTGTCAAAATATCGTAATTTGTGCTCTGAGGATGGATAAAGGTCTCTGCGGGTTGCAACAACATGAGGGTGAGTAATTAATGAGATCATTTAGATTTTTGGGGGAACTATAACACTTTAATACTTTATTTAGCATTCACTTGTTCACCTGCACTAATGCATTCCATCCGTTCACACTCTTACTCACTATCCTGTGTTCTCAGGTATTCCTCCTTTTTCTTTAGAAGGAAGGAGATTTTTGTCATCCAGTAAGTAGACAGTGGTGTTTAGCTGATGCATGGCAGTGTCAGTGTTTTTGTTCATTTTAAAGGGTTAATGTTTTATTTTTCCAGTCGTATGCAGTGATGTTTGCAGTGGTTTAACGGATCACAAAATTCATGGTTCAGATCACATTTTAGTTTTTGAGCCATGAATCTGATCATTTTTTTTAACAAACTAGATCATTTTTAACATCTCTTAAAACAAAAACTAAAACACCTTTTCTTCTGAAGGACATCAAAAAAAGGTTGCTTATAATGGATATTTCATAAGTAAAGTGCTTGCATCTGATGCTTCACTTTCAGTCTTAATTTTAAAGATTTATATTTTTTTAAAATCTCTGTTATTGGCATTTCTGTGTGGAGTTTGCATGTTCTCCCTGTGTTGGTGTGGGTTTCCCCCGAGTGCTCCTGTTTCCCCGACAGTCATGCGGTATAGGTGAATAGAATAAACTAGATGACCGTAGTGTATGAGTGAATGTGTGAATGTGAGAGTGTACGGATGTTTCCCAGTACTGGGTTGTGGCTGAATGGGCATCCTCTGCATTAAAAAACAGGGCTTTAATTTGCCTAATTTTACCGATCCCCCTCCTCAACTGCCCTCCTCCCCCGTCCGCTGTTCATTTTCTTCTGCGACTCCCCATCCCTCTTCACTTTCGTTTGCAACACCCCCGCCCCGCGACACCCCTCCGCCATACACTGCACCAACCCCTGACTTCTAGTTGATCATTTGGAAAAGTGACTGAAGGTTTTTCTGATGAATCATCTGTTGAACTGTCACTCCCAATCATCAAAATACTGCAGAAGACCTATGGGACCCGCATAGACATAGGATTCTCACAGAAACCAATCAAGTGTGGTGAAGGAAAAATCATGGTTTGGGGTTACATTCAGTATGGGGGAATGCAAGAGATCTGCAGAGTGGATGGCAACATCAACAGCCTGAGGTATCAAGACATTTGTGCTGCCTATTACATTACAAACCACAGGAGAGGGCAAATTCTCCAGCAGAATAGTGCTCCTTCTCATAATTCAGCCTCCACATCAAAGCTCCTGAAAGCAAAGAAGTTTAAGCTGCTCCAGGATTGGCCAGCCCAGTCACCAGCAGTGAACATTATTGAGCATGTCAGGGGTAAGATGGAGGAGGAGGCATTGAAGATGATTCCAAAGAATTCTGATGAACTCTGGAAGTCCTGCAAGAACGCTTTCTTTGCCATTCCAGATTTTATTAATCAGTTATTTGAGTCATTGCAGAGATGTATGGATGCAGTCCTCCACGCTCATGGGAGTCATACACAATATTCATTCTGTTTCCACTGCAGCATGACTTTATATTAAATACTGTACTTTATTTCTGTTAGGTGAAAGGACTTTTGTCTAAGTAAAGTCAGACCTTACTGTCCTAATTAAATCATTTAAAAGCAAGACATGATCATATTTTATTTTGCTAAAATAAGCGTAATCTGGATGCCTTTCATATAAGCCTATTCTTATACCAAATGATCAACTAGAAGTCAAGTTATAATTTGTTGTTCCTAAAACTTGAATAGGCGACAAGACTTTTGTCAACTAGTGTATTAGTTAGAGGATTCTACTAATTTCAGGGTTAAAAATGTGTTAATATGTAAATTATTCTAGATCTATTCCATATTTACTCGGACTGCCTTCTGTTTATAGTTTCAGTGTAACTAGTAAAATTATATTACTTTCCTATATAAAAAACAAATTACCTGTAAAATGGTCTTTTGCTGTTCTCGCAAAATTTAGCAAATAATCCCCAAGCTTGAAAAAAAAAGCACAATTAATGCATGGATGTGTGTTCTGATCCTGAACCAAACAGATGGGATCAGTCTAATCCCTAGCTAGTATTAACTGGGATTGAATCAGAAACCTTTATAGTTCTGATTAAACATACCAGAGTAAATTTTACCTGCGTTGCCAACAATTTGGGTTCTTCGGTTTCATAATACTGATCTGTGGTTCTGCTATGCTTTTTGTGCATTTCTGCTTGAAAGATCACATAGAGCGACTCTCAGATTCCTTTCATGTCTGTGTGTCTTCCTCTAATTAGATCGTGTGGTGAGCTTCACATAGGTTCATTTCTTATTTATCACTGCAAGTGAAAAAGTAACCTAATTTTATCTATCCGAGGACAATTTCATAATAATTCTCTACTGTCTAATGTTCCAGGCTGCTAAGTTACAGGAAATCCCTCAAGTAAGTAAAGGAGATTTTGATGGATTTATTATTATTGTTCATTCCATTCCCCAGGGCAGATGATTACCCATAACCACCTGCTACTCTGCAAAAAAATTGTTTTCTTTCTTAGAGTTTTTGTCTTGTTTCTAGTCCAAATCTCTTCACGTTCTTAAATCAAGAAGCATTTCTAGACGAGCAAAAACATTGTTTTCTTTTCATACAAAATTAAAGGTGCCATATACTCCTTTGGTTTAATCAGTTCTCTGATAGTAGCTTTATGGCTTCTGTAAGTTCAAAAATTCTCCAGAGACGGTGTTATAAGCTAATTTATTACTCCATAAAATACCCATAGAACCAGAACGTCCATGATTGACCATATATGGTTAGTGTCGTGAATATTAATGAGCTTCGCTCTGACATACCGCTCTTACAGACACACACACACACACACATACTGAGCATGGTGTACGCTTGGACAAATATGAGTAAAGTTAACCTATTTTACTCACCAGATCTGTTGTGGATAAAGGATAAATCATAATTAAACTTGCCAAAAGAGAGTGAAATTGATGTATCACATTGTAATTTATAGCTATAGTCAAACAAAACACAGCCAGAAATTAATATCAACCTCTGCATGAACAGATGACAGTTGAGCTGAGTGATTTGACATGATTCAGCAGTCTACGGGCCCTATCATACACCCGTCACAATGCAGCGCAAGGCGCAACGCAATTGTTTTTTGCTAGTTTCAGCTTGGCGCAAGAGTAGCTTTGACCTTTTGCACCACGCTGTTTAAATAGCAAATGCATTTGCGCTCATATGTGCGCCCACAGGTGTTCTGGTTTAAAAAAGGAGGAGTGTTTAGGCGCACTGCTGGCGCGTTGCTATTTTGAGAAACTATAATAGACTGTTCAACAGACCAGAACAAAGCAGGTCTAAAGTTCAGCGCAGATCGTGTTAGTTGTGCACCTTGCTTACACACTGCTTAATACAAACAGGATGTACAGCAATACGCAAATGAAAAAGAATTAAAATATTAAGGATATATATATATATATATAAATGTTCATTTCTGTCTGAGAAAAGTGTGTAGCGAGCCTAAAACATCTATAATAATTGTTAAAAACAAAGCGGACTGCTGGGTAATTTTTTAAACACAACTCCTGTGTTTAACAAGGGACCATTGTATTGATGTTTTATTATTTTACTATGTCTTGGTATAATTAGATTATATATTAGGGCACCTTGAAGTTTTTTTGTCCCTTAAAACAAGCAAAATGTACAATACAGATAAAAGTAATTACACTGATGTGGAGTATTTGGAGCATACAAATCCTTTATTTTTTAAATTGAAGATACTTCAGTTCAATGATTTGGTTAAATTTAAAACAGCACAATTCATGTTTAAAGCTAGGAATAAATTACTTCCGAAATGCATACAAACGTTTTTGGAAGAAAGACAAAGGGGTATATAATCTATGACTAAATTATACTTATACTATGTCTGTGTAAAAAAAAATGTAAAGGTACAAATGGAATCAAACATATAATATGTCAAAGATGCCCAAAGGATAAAATATGTCTCATGTAAAAAGAAGAGATAAGTAAAAGAAGAAATAAGTTTAGGTAATAGACGAATGATATATGTGGTAATGGGGTGGGAAAATAAAAAGCTTATGCTTCATCCCACTACATTTTCGACCATGCTGAAATTTATTTTTTGCTAATGATATTTTATGTATGATATTTTTGTTCGAAAATAAATAAATTAAATTAAAAATCAAATCAATAATCAATCAAAGAAATAAAGTTCACTGGGGTGGTACCTTTTCAAAAGGTACAAATTTGTACCAAAAAGGTCTATATTAATACCCCAAGGGTACATATTAGTACCTAAAAAGTACAAAAGTGTTCCTCTTAAAATATGTACTAATATACAGTATACTGTGGAGGTACCAATATTACTTTTACAATGTAGATTGTGTCAAAGCAGCTTCACATAAATGGTCATAGTAACTGGAACAGTGTAGTTCAGTTTTTAGTGTTTAAGTTCAGTTCATTTCAGTTTAGCTCAGTTCAGTGTGATTTAATCATTACTGAGAGTTCAAACACTGAAGAGCAAATTCATTGATGCGTAGCTCTACCAAAGCTCTACGAGCGAAGACTCGTCTGTCCCTGGAGCGTCAATATGGACCCTTTAATATGGACCCTTTAAGTACAAATGTGTACTTTTTGAAAAAGGTACCACCCCAGTGACAGCTCGTGTACCTTTATTTTTGAGAGTGTGGGGTAAATAAAATATGCTCATTTCAAAACAAGATTATTTTGCTCACCACATTGACAGATTAGTTTGCTTCTTATCTGTTGTTTGTCTAAAATGACTCTTGGTTTATTTTTTTGATATTTGGACTAGAAACAAGAAAAAAAGTTGTAGGTGAGAAACATTTTTGCAGTGTATAGTTGTATGTTTAAAGGCCATAAAGAAAGCTGTACTGCAGACTTAATGTGAATAATGCTGAAGTTGATGGTTTTTCATGTTTTGTGAGTATTTTCACACTCTTTCTAACACATTTGCAGGCCAATCAGTAAGAAATCGTTTCTTCAGCATGTGGAAGATCTTTGTGCCAACGACAACGCCAAGTTTCAGGAGGAGTTTGCTGTAAGTTTTAGCATTAAAAGTGTGTCTGTGTGGGTGAGAGAGAAAGAAAGCACTAGTGAACAGTAAAATGAGTTTCAGTGACACTTCATTTTGATTGAACACGTAGAGCTCTGCGCTCAGTGGTGTTTGACTTCTCAGAATATATTCCCTGCTTGATTAAATTTCTCCCCGGCGTGTTTCCTGATTGTACTCTTTTTTTCTTCTGCTCTGTGTTTTAGGAGTTGCCGAAGCTGCTGCAGGATCTGGCCACATCAGACGCTGACCTGCCTTGGAATCGCTCCAAAAATCGCTTCACAAACATCAAGCCCTGTATGGAAACTATTTGCATTCTATCTCTGTTTAGTTGCTGCCATCTCATTTTAAACCTGCATGACTTTCTTTATTCCATTCAGCACAAAAGGCATAAAAGAAGGGTCCCATAAGACTTTGTTGGAAGCTGGAAAGATTTTTGAAAGACATTTCTTTTACTTGCCAAGTTTGCATTCATTGGATTCACTTTTGTTTAAATGAGACCCACAAAATCAGTTATAAGTGTTAATTTTTGGAAATTGAGATTTGTAGTTTATTTGAAAGTTGCATAAATACGCTTTCCATTCATTAATACTTTTTAGGATAGGACAATATTTGGAAGAGATACACATATACTACTGTGACTGGAATATAATAATTTAAAAATCAAAATAGTTTTGGATCTTGCGGAAATTTAGCCAAAGTTCTTTCATACATGCAAAATTTACATTTGCTGCTGTTTAAATTATTCATTTAAAATTCAACACAACTTTTAAGTTTTTTGTAGGGACAACTTAATTGTTTTATGTTCAATTCACTTAAATAAGTAAAAAGAATTAAAAAAACCTAACTTAATAAATTTGTGTTGGGGTAATATGAAGTAATTGTGTGGAAGCCAACATTTTTTACAGTGTACAGTATGTGTATTATTATATCAAAAAATAAGTTTTAGTTAATTTACGGTAGAAAATATCTTTCTGGGACATGATCTGTACTTTCAATTTTGATTTATGGCATGAAATAAAAATCTTTTTTTTTGTCTAACGGTCACAACATAAGATCACAAATAAGAACATTGTAAAATATTTTTGCCATTTTAAATGTAAGATTTTTGTTGCTTTAAATGTCCTTTCTGGATAAAATATATTAATTTCTTTCAAAGAAATAAAAAAATAAAACTACACCTTACTGACCCCACTCCTTTAGATAGTAATGTGTATCTCATTGCTTTTTGTTTTATTTTAAAGAACATCTCTGTTAATAATAATATTAGTAACACTTTAAAATAATGGTCCATTAGTTAGTGTATTTACTAACATGAACAAACCATAAACAACAATTATTTTTACAGTATTTATCAATCCTTGTTAATTTTAGTTGATAAAAATAAAGTTATTACTTGTTACTGTACACTGTAAAAAGAAAAATCTGTAATTTTACGGTTTATTTCCAGCTAGGGTGCCAGAAAAAAAAAAGTAAAATAACAGCAGTTTAATTACTGAAAATTACTGTAAAATAACAGAAGTTGAATTACAGAAATTTACCAGAAAATTAAATTTGAGGAAATTTCTATAATTAAATGTCCATTATTTTACGGTAAACTTCTATAATTTAGCGGCCGTTATTTTACTTTTTTTCTAGCACCCTGGCTGCCAGAAATAAGCCGTAAAATTACGGATTTTTTTATAGTGTAGTTAATGTAAACTCACAGTCCACTTGCTAATGTTAGCAAGCACTACTTTGGATTTTAATAATGCATTAGTTAATGCTAAACTGCAATTAATAAATGCTGTACAAAGTTCCTAGTTCATGCTAGTAAACCCATGAACTTATTAAGCTTTGTTTTAGCGTGTTCCCATTACATTTTATTTTCGTCATGCAGGTTTAATGCAAAAAAAATGCTTTTCTAACTTAGATTTTTTGTCTTGTTTCTAGAATCAAGAAGCATTTTTTTAAGACAACCAAAACAAATTTGACGTGTCCCAATTCGCATACTTTCCAGTCTAAATAATATTCGAAAACAGAGATAGTGTGTCCCAAACTGTATTAGGTTGAAAAGAGTATGCCAAAGGTTCCCAGATGGTTAGATATTTGAAGTTCATACTCTATAATCTTTAATATTGCTCACAATGCATTGCGCGCTGGACATGAATTCAATTAGAGCAACAAACTAATCAATAAAATAAAGTGTAAATAAACTACAAACATGGCGGACACGCAAGACCAACCGTCAAGTACATTACCTGACTAAAGACTTGTCGGCGATCCCAGTTGTCAGAACAACAAATAATAACTTGAATTCTAGTTGATCATTCGGAAAAGTGTCAGAGGGTCGATTATTCGGATGAATCATCTGTTGAACTGCCTCTCAATCATCACAAATATTGCAGAAAATCAGTCAAGTTTGGTGAAGGAAAAATCATGGTTTGGGGTTACATTCATTATGGGGGCATGTGAGAGATCTGCAGAGTGGATGGCAACATCAACAGTCTGAGGTATCAAGACATTTGTGCTGCCCATTACATTATGAAACCACAGGTTGTGTAGAGAGGCTTCGGTAAAGTTGTTTGAATGACTAATAATTAATATATAGCCAACTGGAAAATATTTAATTCACATTCTCTGTGTTATATTTATAAGTATGCGAAATCGGACTCAGCAATGGTCTTGTTATAGGAAATAATGTCAAAATTGGCAAAATAATGGCAAAATAAATCTGCCAATGGGGAAAGCAAAATGATCTTATGTCTAAAGGAAAAGCAAGATTATTTTCTTACCCTGTTGACAGATTATTTTGCTTGTTTTAAGAAAAAACTAACTTAATTTTGACATATTTCCTAAAACAAGACAAGTCTTGAAAATGCTTCCTGATTTAAGAAATTCTAGATATTTGGACTAGAAACAAGTCAAAAAATCTAAGAAACGAGTATTTTGTGCAATGTTCGGCATAAAAACATGGTGACATAATATCTGAGTTTACTTGTAATTAATTTACCAAGTTTTCTGTAAACAAACAATGCAAACAACACTTATTTGAATGTGTCTTTTTTTCTCAAGACAACAATAGCCGAGTGAAGTTGCTGTCTGAGCCAGGAATGCCGGGTTCTGACTACATCAATGCCAGCTTCGTCTCTGTAAGCGCTCCAGATCAGCCCACATATCAGCTGCTGCTCTGTTATTCTGCGCCACGACTTTAATTGAATCGACCTAAGCTTGTGTTTGATTCTGTGTCTCAGGGCTATCTGTGTCCTAATGAGTTTATAGCCACTCAGGGCCCTCTGCCGAGCACCGTCGCAGATTTCTGGAGGATGATTTGGGAAACTGGGACTAAAACCATCGTCATGCTTACTCAATGCTTTGAGAAGGGCCGGGTGCGTATCAGCTAAATGCAGCCAATAGGTGTACTGTATGCTTGAATGTACTCTTATACTAATTTAATTCAAGCAATACGTTCTGCATAAGGGTTTTTCAGTCTGATGTCATAGAAGAATATTTAATTTGATTCTATGGGACCACAAATATTGTAATAAATTAATAGATACTGAAATATAACAGCAGATGTATCTGTGATATTACTATTACATTATGTTACTATTCAAATTAAAACAAACTAGATATGAAATCTGGGCAAAGATTAATCACAGTTAAATGCAAATAAAAAATAGATTTACAAATATATATATATATATATATATATATATATATATATATATATATATATATATATATATATATATATATATATATACACACAAAAATATATATAATACACGTACATATTTAATGCATGTTTCATACACACACATACACACATACTATAAAAATTATTTATTTATTTATTTTCTTTTCGGCTTAGTCCCTTTATTATCTGGGGTCGCCACAGCGGAATGAACTGCCAACTTATCCTGCACATGTTTTACACAGCGGATGCTCTTCCAGCCGCAACCCATCACTGGGAAACATCCATACACACTCATTCACACTCATGCACCATGGACAATTTAGCCCACCCAATTCACCTATACCACATCTTTGGACTTGTAAAGGAAACTGGAGCCAGGCGAACACTGAGAGAACATGCAAACTTCACACAGAAATGCCAACTGACCCAGCCGAGGCTCCAACCAGCGACCTTCTTGCTGTGAGGGGAATGTGCTACCCACTGCGCCACCGTGTCACCATTATAAATTTATACAAAACCAAAATATTTACATAGATATATAAATTTGACTATATTTTGTTTATAATATACAAATATACATTATAAATAAATATAAATATTTTCTTAAATATATGAATTAATGTGTGCATTTATACATAATAAATATAAATAGTACACACACACTTACTGTGCATGTAAATGCAAACTTTTATCTTGGATGCGATTAATTGCTACTTTTGAATGAAACGATTTAAATACATAGTGATTTTATACATTAAATACAATTATATTTACATTTGTGCAGTGAAATATATGTTTGTACTTAAAAGAAATAGATGGTTGCTATTATAATTAAAGCTATCCTGAAAATGATTAACTATCATGATAAGAATATGCGTAGGGATAACAGAAATTGCTGTGGTAATTAGTGGAAATGTTAATACAGTTGTGGATAGAGTTAATTCAGATAACACAATAGAATGCTTATTCACTGATTATTGTTATTATAGTGGGTTATTTGTTAAAAAAAAAAAGGGATTACTTTATAAAAAGTAGTTTTAAAGCAATTAGTTGACTTTACTTGACAAAAGTGAGTACATGCTTTGCCTTAAAAATAAGTAAATAAACTACACTCACCGGCCACTTTATTAGGTACACCTGTCCAACTGCTAGTTATCGCAAATTTCTAATCAGCCAATCACATGGCAGCAACTCAATGCATTTAGGCATGTATACATGGTCAAGACGATCTGCTGCAGTTCAAACCGAGCATCAGAATGGGGAAGAAAGGTGATTTAAGTGACTTTGAATGTGACTTGGTTCTTGGTGCTAGACGGGCTTGTTTGAGTATTTCAGAAACTGCTGATCTACTGGGATTTTCACGTACATCCATCTCTAGGATTTACAGAGAATGGTCTGAAGAACTTTCCAGTACCTTGTTGTATCTATGCCACGAAGAATTAAGGCAGTTCTGAAGGCAAACAGTGGGTCTAACCTGGTACTGTCACGGTTGCAGGTTTGTGCGCTTTTCCGGAGTGTCTGTTTGATCACGTGGGTCAGTTCGTTTTGTTATGATCAAATAAGGGTCTGAGAGGATCCAATTGCAAGTGATAATGTTTATTTGATGTAGTCAAAATAAACCAACAATAATAGTGACAGGCTAGGAGGACGAAGAACACAGGCCAGGTCCAGGGTATTCTCCTCAGGGGCCTGAGCACAGACAACACACACACATGAGCAAGTGTAACGAACTGACAAAGAAACATAGAAGCGTCGCCCAGATATAAGCACCATAATGAGCCTCAGCTGGCGAGCTTATCAGACCAGCTGAGTGCCGTCATAGCACGTGAGCATAACAAATACACATGGGCAACCAAAACAAAACAAACCCACATGATCAAAAAGACACTCCGGAAAAGCGCACAAACCTGCAATCGTGACAGGTACTAGTAAGGTGTACCTAATAAAGTGGCCGGTGAGTGTATACTGTATGCTTACTTAATTAGGTAAACTAACTAATCGGTTTTTACAGTACAAAAGACTGCATTTATAGTAAAGACATTAACAAATCCACATTTGATCTACTGAAGCATATATTTGATGTAAATAATAAACAGAATATATGTTTCAGATCCGCTGTCATCAGTACTGGCCGGAGGACAATAAACCAGTCACTGTTTTTGCTGACATCATAATCACTAAACTCACAGAGGACGTGCGTCCTGATTGGACGGTGCGGGCACTCAAAGTGGAGCGGGTAAACCAATGCACATCTTTATCTTCATTATCATTGTCATCTTTCAGCTTACTTAATGTCAGCGCAGAGCAACAGTTGAAGACAATCTTTCAGAGAGAATCTGCTGACATGTTTACTGCCTGCTAGTTGGATTTACACAGCCAATTAAATGGCGTCCAGTTTAATTTGAAGAAAACTCTTATCGCCCCCTGGAGAAATACATTTATTTGTTTTGAATTAAAGTGGATATGTTTGCATACTGTAAAAATATGTGTTAATTAACATTGTATTGCATTGCATTGTAGAATGTTTATCTCTGCTCTGTCGACTTTTGATGTTGAAACTTCAACTCTACAGTTTAACAACGTGACTTTTATTGATACAATGGTTATAATAATATAACGTATAAGAAATAAAATATAGCGAAATAAGTCTAAAATAAAATAGCAGAAAATGTCCTGGCAGTTTATTACAGTGATTGTGTAATGTAATAAATGTAATATATACAACACCAGCTCAAACAATTGATCACTTTACACTATTAAAAATGTTCATAAGTCACTTCTTCAAAATTTTCAAGGTCAAAAGTTGTTAAATGAAAGATCAAGATCCCATAATGCAACTTAAAAGCATAAATAAATGTGGGAAAATAAAACAAACTATGGAAAACTGCAAATTTATGGATATGTTTTACAGCGTATCATGGTTTACAGTTGAATGCAATATTATTAGCTCTTCTGTAAAGTTTCAATTCTGTTTCAAATATTTAAAATACATATATTTTTTAAAAACTATTTGTTGTTTTGCTTTAGTTTTATCTCTAATAACAGATTTATTTTGCCTTTGCTATGATGACGGTGTATAATATTTTCCTGGTTAGTTTGCAAGATATGAGTATTTTACTTAAAGTGCAAGTTTTTAAGAGCTATGCTTAAAGAAACAAGACATTTGTCAGAAGAAAAATATTATAGAAAATACTGTAAAAAAAAATAAAAATTTCAGAGGAGGGCTAATAATATTGTCTTCAACTGTATATGCTTTGACTTAGTAATGCAATTTGTGTTCTAAAAATGCACAACAGAGAGAGAGAGAGAGAAAGAGACGTACATGGTTCAATGGTTAATTATTCCTCAAGGACGCTTTTAGCCCTTGCTTTCTCCCTCTCTTCTTTTCTCTCCAGCATGGCAGCTACATGATTGTCCATCACTTTAACTACACCTCATGGCCAGAACACGGCGTTCCCGAATCCAGCTCCACACTTGTCCAGTTTGTCAAAGCCGTTCGCTCCAACAGAGGCCATGAAAACACTACCATCGTGGTCCACTGCAGGTACACAGACGCTGCTCTACCACTACATGTTTAGCTTCCAGGCCTCATTGGTTGATACATTCTGCATGGAAGCCCATTTTTACAATGTGACTGTCGAACAATTGGTTATTTAATTGGCTAAAAATTGCACTTTAAGCTGAATACTAGGATCAACCCGTGTCTTCTGTGTGTGCAGTGCTGGTGTGGGCAGGACTGGAGTGTTTATAGCACTGGATCATCTCATCCAGCATTTGCGAGATCATGAATTTGTTGACATATACGGCCTGGTCGCAGAGCTGCGCAGTGAGAGGATGTGTATGGTGCAAAACCTGGTAAAGATTTTTTCACAGACTTGAAAGTTTGCATTTTTACTACTTTAAATATGTAATTACACAATTTTGAATATTTAATTCACATTTTTACTATTAGAAGTTTCATTAAAGATATCAAAATGATTAAACGCAACCAATAATGTTTTAAAAGTATGAGAACAATTGCACTGCGACTACTTCGTTTACCTTTATTTTACATTACTATGTTTCAGCATATTTTGTATTTCGCAAAAATGTAGCCTGAGGCACGTATTTCCATTGAGCCAGCATTGCAAAATCATGCTGTTTCTGCAAATTAATGTGTGTTGGTCCCAACACTAATCAGTGTTTTCACTTGTCATAATTCTGTCATTTCACGAGTGGATCAGTAGATCAAAAATTATATTTCCACTTGTTAAAACATATTTATTACAGTGATGCAACAATGGCGTCATTGCACTGAAATTGATTTCAGAAATTCTCTTGACATCTGTTATTGTATTGTCACTAGTTAAGGCTAGTTCAGTTAAGAACTGAAATTTTTATTGGTTAAAATTTGTATTTCCACAAGTAATTACACCATTTTTGATATTAAAAATTCTCTTTTTTTTACTAATGGAAAATAATTACTGATATAAACGTAATCGAACACAACCGATACTGTTTTTAAAGTAAACATAAGACAAAAGTGCACGGTGGCTACATCGTTTTACCTTTATTTTACATTACTTTATTAGAGCATATTTTACATTTCGCAAAAATGCAGCCTGAGCCATCTATTTCCATTGAAATAGGGGTTGCACGATTATGCTGTTTCTGCAAATTAATGTGTCCTGCTTACAATTAATGTTATTCCTGCTTGCACACTGATCAGTGTTTTCACTAGTCATAATTCTGTCATTTTAAGAGTGGAAATAAAATGGCAATTTTTAATATCAAGAATTAAATTTAGCTTGTTAAAACATATTTATTACAGTAATGCAACAATGATGTCATTGCCCTGAAATCAAAATCTTCTTGGTATCTTATTTTATTTTCACTAGTTAAGTTAATAATTCACATTTTTAATGCTTTTTAAAATGTATATTTCCACAAGTAAAATTAAAAATTCACTTTTTTTTTTTACTAATTGAAATTTTATTACTGATATCAAGATGATCAAACACAATGGTGTTTTAGAAGCAAACATAAGCTTTTATTGTGGTCATCTCCTCAGGCACTTTCCTTTAAAATATGGTCTCAAGTATGTACGCTATTTCCTCTCGAGAAACTCACCTATGACATACACCAAAAGTCTGATGATGTTTGGCAGCTATGGACACCTTTTTGGCATTACATTAATAATTTCTCCTGATTTTCTACTCTATGGTGCATATTTAGCTCCTAGCCTGACTGTATCATCCTGTTTACTTGTTCGTATATTTCCCATTATTTCCTACTGTATAGCTGAGACTGTATTTGTAAGTGTTGATGTATTCAAATCACTGACGAATAATGAAAAATCTATAAAAAAGCAAACATAGGAGAAAATTGCACTGCGATTAAATCGTTTACCTTTATTTTACATTATTATTTACCAGCATATTTTGCATTTTCAAAAAATGTAGCCTGAGGCGAGTAGCCTGCGTTGCAAAATCCTGCTGTTTCTGCAAACTGCTGTGTGTCAGTCCCATTCTCCTGCTCACACACTGATCTCTGCTTCCCTCTCAGGCTCAATACATGTTTCTCCATCAGAGCACTCTGGATCTGCTGTCGGCCAAAGGAAACAGTCAGTCCATATGGTTTGTCAATTACTCCGCTCTGGAGAAGATGGACTCGCTGGATGCAATGGAGGGTAAAAAACAAAAAAACATCTCGCAGTGAACAACGTGTGCCTGTCATTCTTCAGTAGTCATATTTTGTCATATTTATCCTCTCTCAGGTGACGTTGAATTGGAGTGGGAAGAGACGACCATGTAGCCGGGACTCTTGTTCGCTGTCAGTTTTTGAATCTGGTGAGGAAAACATGGGACACACGCTCGTGAATCCTTACACAGACGCTGGGACTTTGGACCCTGGGGCCAAAACACACCGAGCAGATAAAATGAGGAATAGTTGATTCAGAAGCAAACCGATCGTCTCATTTGTATGCAGAAGACACTCTCAAAGTTTTTGTTCAACTTCTGTAATGGCTTTATCTCTGCCTACAGTAGAATACGGTACACCGCCAGCTTAAGGAATCAAACCGGATTAGACAGAATTATGTCTGTTGTTGAAAAAAAGTACACATATTCAGCAGTCTGGGGTGAGAGAGAGGGCTTTTATGTCCTGTATTATGCGCTGTATTATCAAACACAATTGCTAGGAATGGGAGTTGATCATGTTTAGGGGATGAATTATGAGATTATTTTAATAGTGTGGCAGTTTTTATGTAACGTAAGCATACCCACTCTTCCCCGCATCAAGAATGAAAACTATAATTTACACAATAACCTTTGTGTGCTGTTGGGGATGTTTTCGTCCACTCTATGGGGATTTTGAGTCTTAATTTGGCCATAACTTTCTCTGTGTTACAGTTAGCAGAATAATTGTTGGTGGACATACATTTTTGGAAAATGCTTTGAAATTTAAATTAGAAAGCCCAACGATACAATCTGGGCATATTTACTAGCCTTTTGTTATGTTCAGGATGAAAACATCCACTGAATTAAACTGCTGTAAAAGTGCATCAGATTCATATATATATATTTTTTTTGCATGAACCTGTTAATCAATCTCACTCCTGATTAAAACTACTAAATTGTTAAAAGAAAATTACAGGATTTTAACTCTTTAATTGCCAAATTTATAAATTGTGAAACTGATTTGGTGAAAAAAAAAAAGATGTATTTTCAATATAAAAGTAATTGTGGACTGGATTTTTTAAAACTTTCTTGGACATGTGAAAGATTAGTAACAACATTGCCTTTGATGCATTGTTGGTTTTTGTGCAGCATAAGATTTTCATTTTTGTTCATGTTCACGGCTGTTTTCGCCCAATTGACTTCCATTATTATGACATTTTTTTGATTGCAAAACCATGACACCAAATAATCATGCATTCTTGATTGTTGGTGGTTTCCCCTGTTGGGAAGAGGCAACATTTGTATTTTTCACTGTTGATCATCTGCTGGCGGCATTAACTCTTTAGATAGACCTGTGCAAAAAAAAAAAAAAAAAAATCTTAGTTTTTGGATTTTATATGAAGTATTACAGCGAATCAAAGTGTGTATGTATGTGAGTGTGTGAGAGTGACCTTTGCGCACTTATCTTGAGTCAGAGAAAATCAAAATATGCATCTTTAAACAGAGAATCATCTAATATAGTCTAAATAAAGTAAACAAAGGCAAAGTCTGTGTATTTACAGCAGTTAAATTCAGTGGATGTTTCCATCCCTAACATAACAGAAGGTACCAAATTTAAACAGTGCACAAGAGTTAAACAATGATTTCTGTTCATATAAAGCTCAATCTGCGTGTTCTGTGAACATAATTACCCACAGTGTGTACTATAAAATCACACAGACGTCCAAAATCTGTAGTTTTTTGCATTAATCTTCATTTCTGTTATTACCATTTTCGTTTATTATCTCTAAAGCAGACTTTTATTTATTATACGAATACATTATGATATAAGATTTTGAATCATTTTTTAAAATGAACAACTAAATGATCATTCTTTATATCAGGAATGGGAAAATTCTTAGTTAAAATGGATATTTTTAATATCAGAAATGACATTTTCAGTAGTTAAAATGAATTATAGTGTAACAATGACTTCCTTACTCATAGAAACCGAATTCCTGATATCAAAAATTCTACTTTGACATTTAGGAGGAAAAATATATTTTGATACTTGTTATTGTACTTTCAAACATCAGGTACCAATAATTAACTTGTAATTAAATTTCAGTAGCTGAGATGCAAATTCTTGAAATATGTACTGTACACGTATTTCAACATGTTCAATGTGATAATAGAGTTATGAAGAATTTCCACAAGTATTTACTCAGCTTTTGATATTAAGAATGCATTTTTAGTAGTGCAAATTAAATTACTGATGTCAAAACTAGCCAAGATAATAGTTATTAGCAGAAAATGTAATATCCTTCATCAGTGTGAAAACACAGCAACAAAATATTATGTTTTGTCTTGGTTCTAGTTTAAATATGTTTAAAAAATAAATAATAAAAAAAGTAATCAAGAAGTAAAATTTATTGTCATATTTTCAGGAATAAATTGTCAAAGTTAAAGGTTTCCTTAAGACCCCAGTGGCAATTATTTTGCTTGTTTTAAGGAAAAACTTTTTAATTATTTATTTGAAAACTAGACAATTATTACTGCACTCGTAAAATGACGTTTGCTCAAACTACTGATTTAGAAACTGCCGAGTCGAAACAACACGATTCTTGAGGTTTTTTTTTTTTTTTTGGGTTGGGGGAGTAGGGGGGGTAAATCCTCTTAAAAGTGTAAAAACTAATAAGTTAACTTCATTCTTCATGTTGTCCCAATACAAATGAATTGTGTGAAACCCAGCACTTTTTACAGTGCACTAGTGTCTATAATTTGTCCAGAAAGTGCTTCTTGATGTAAAATTTTATTGATGCAACATTTTTTACACATTTGTACTAGAAACAAGACAAAAACCTCTAAGTTAGACGATCATGTTTGCAGTAAAAAAGCGATCCCAACTATATCTATAAATGTGTGCATTATTATGCTTGAAGATGTTTTTTGGATTTATAATTCTCACATTTCTAAAAGCCTAATTGTAACAGCTATTTATCATTCTTGGTGTGAATGGGAAATTATTTGAGTGCTCTAAATATACTTTACCAAAAAGAAGAACGAAACAGCCCCTATTCTTTCATACTGAAGTAAATATTTATTGTGAATATTTTTGTAATCAGGAAACTGTGAAGTTTGAGAAAGTGTTTTTTTTTTCATATAGTAGCCTATATCTCTCCACAATCTCTGCAGTTTTGTATAATTGTGCTGTCATTCATTCAATCGGGATGCATTTAAGTTATTATCCAGCTTTCATTTATTAATCATTAATCTATTAATGCTGAGGCAGAGTAAAGTACAGTAACGGCTCTTTATATGTTTGTTTGTTTGTGAATAATAACTGTATTTGTCTTCTATTGCTGTTTTCATTTGCTCGTGACACACACACATAAGTGAGAGGAACACATTTGTTGTCTCGCTAAATTTCATAACTTGTTATTATTAAGCCAAAATGAGTGTCAGGAGCTGACGTACGATTCTGTCGTGTGTGTATATTTGGAAATCAACAGTATTTGTTTTGAAATAAATATATAAATGTTGTTTTTGTTCTGCAGATGTTGATGGCTGACATGATTTTGGCTGAATTGTTGTTTCAATTATGATCTGTGCTTCACATGGAGCTGTTGTCAAGTATGGAGTACAGTTCATATTTGTTTATTATGTGCTTTTGTAAATTTGGATCTAGATCTTGTGCTCTTTTTTTTTTTTTTTTTTTTTTTTTTGAGGTAAACATAAGATCTTGATTCATAGCTTTGAAATGAGAGAGGAGTAGTCTTTCGGATGAGGCGTTAAACTGAGGTCCTGACTCTCTGTGGTCATTAAAAATCCCATGGCACTTCTTGTAAAGAGTAGGGATGTAACCCTGGTGTCCTGACCAAATTGTCTCCATCCCTTACCTATCATGGCCTCCCAATCATCCCCATCCATTGAATTGGCTCTGTCACTGTCTCTCCACTTCACCTAAAGCTGGTGTGTGGTGAGCGCACTGGCGCCATTGTCCTGTGGCTGCCATCGCATCATCCAAGTCGAGCTGCACACTGGTGGCGGTGTGGAGAGACCCCACATGACTGTGATGCACTTTGGTGTATGGCCATACACAATAAATGCGCTATATAAATACACATTACATTAAGTAAATGGTCTGTGTGGTTACAGGAATGAAATTGTCTCATAATAATGTTTTTTAGGTTTGTTTTTTTAGCAAAAATCAGAAGTATTGTTCATCCCGTAATCAATGGTGTGTTTATTTATTCACCACGGGTCATTCAACATTTTTTTTTTCTTCAGTACAATGTTATTAAAATATAATTAAAACTGAAGCAATTACCACTGCATTTCCGATTAAAATAAGTATTTTGTTAACTCATGCTTCTGATTAATAGATAATATGTATTGTTTGACAGTACATTTAGCAACAAAAAAAATACAAAAGTGTATGTTTATATTACTGGTAAATTTCTGCCAGGATTTGTTGTCTGTTATTCTTTTTTTAATGTATTTTTATTTAATATTTTTACAGTGTAGAACATACACTCACTGGCCACTTTATTAGGTACACCTGTCCAACTGCTTGCTAACGCAAATTTCTAATCAGCCAATCACATGGCAGAAACTCAATGCATTTAGGCATGTAGACATAGTCAAGATGATCTGCTGCAGTTCAAACCGAGCATCAGAATGAGGAAGAAAGGTGACTTTTTTTGCACAGACTGATTGTTTTGCTTAGTAAGCCCAAAATGTTTCAGCAGGAGCCACTTTTTTTTTGCTTTGCTTTGCTTTTTTGACCTTCAAACTGCAGGTTTAGCCATTGGCTTGCTTGCTTATGAATCAAAAAAAAAAAAAAAAAGATCTCATCCTGAAGGTGAGTTAATTAACATCAACTCTTCATTTTGGTTGGACTGCTTCTTTAAGGTTTGTGCTTGTTGAAATGATTACAGGAGCTCAATCTGATACATCCCAGAGTGCCAGACTGTCACTCTCCATGTAGCTGCTTTGAAGAGTGAAAGCAGTAACTCAGGAGTCTGGAGAGCAGCACTAAAGCTTTCTGTCAAGCAGAACAACAGGATCCTTCCTGAGAGGAAGCTGCAGGTATGGAGATGTTTGAGTTTAAAATCAAGCTATTAGCCACAGACTGGCAGTGTCCACTGTACTCACCGAGTAGGTCACTTATTTTGAATTAATAATTACTTTGCAATCTGAGATGGTGTGTTAGTTAAAATGTGCCATGTTGTAATTGTAATGATAATAAACGAGATCACTTCCATTCAAAAATCCGGTCTTATGTGATTGTAAATTCTGAATCTCACAGACAGAAGTAGATCAATCAGGTCATTTTCGCCCACACTTTTATTAATTCTGTGATTTCAGAGAAGTGTTACTGTAGATCCGAAAAAAGTGTGACAATAATATGAAATAACACAATTGTTTTTATTTTATTCTATTCTTCACCATAAAATCACCAATTATTTCAACAGAAATGTATTAGAACCCTCCACCCCTTAATCATTTCATTTACATAATTGTATTATAGTTGGATTTATGATCATTTATAATGTTATAAAAATAACGCTTCAGTAATTTTTAAGTCTGCATACAGTTGAAGAATAAATTATAAAATACAAATAAGTGTAAAATACACTCAATGGCCACTTTATTAAGTACACCTGTCCAACTGCTTGTTAAATAAAATTTCTAATCAGCCAATCACATGGCAGCAACTCAATGCTTTTATCCAGTGAGCGGCAGTTCTGTGGGTGCAAATGCCTTGTTGATGCTAGGGGAAAGAGGAGAATGGCCAGACTGGTTCCACCTGATAAAAAGGCAACAGTAACTTAAATAACCACTCGTTACAACTGAGATATGCAGAAGAGCATTTCTGAACACACAACACGTTCAACCTTGAAGCCACAATATGGACCAAAATCTCTATGGAATATTTCCAGTACTTTGTTGAATCTATTTCACGAAGGATTAAGGCGGAACTGAAGGCAAAAGTGTGTCCAACCCGGTACTAGTAAGTTGTATCTA